GGCTTGATTTTATCTACGAGAACACTCCTAACAGAAGAAAGAGTTACATGGTTATTCTGACAGCCGGAAAACCCACTAGCGGGGTAACCGAATACGATCGTATTTTAAGCAATTCACGATCGTCAAATAACGACAATGTCCCCATATATACTGTTGGATTTGGAGATGATGATTCTTATAATTTCTTAAGGAATTTAGCTTCCGTTAATTACGGGAGATCAATAAGAATTCCACGCGATCAAGCATCACCAGCCCCGATGACCAGCTTCTACAGAGATGTTTCTTCTAGAACTGTTTCTGGTGTTGATTTTCAATATTTACGAAATGGAAAAAAACCAGTTAGATATGAAACCAGAAGCCCATATTCCCGAAATTATTATCCGGGCACTCAATACGTGCTCAGTGGAAGATTTCCCAATATTGGTGATCGTGACTTTTTAGAAAGTCGGGTCATAGGTTATGCTGTTCCCAAACCCATTTACGTTACCCAGAAGTCTTCACCAACAAAGGATATCCCTGACTCTACAGTCGACAGGATGACGTCATATTTAAGGTTTCAGGATCTTATAAGACGATATAATGTGGCTTACAGGCCGACAGACAGAGATACATTACGTAGACAAATCCAATATATGTCAAGAGAGGTAAGGGGGAATAATTTCAAAAAATGCTAAACGAATACCATTTTATCCTGTTTAAAGATGCATTATGTAAGATTTAGATAAAGAGCTGACCGTCCTTAATATAATAGTTTACAAACAGATAATGAAAAAGAAACATATTGAAAACGTAAGGCAAATTACCTCATTCTGAGCAAAGTTATTGATAGCATAGTTTCGTTTTTCATTATTACGATAATAAACATAGTCTCGATTATCCATTTTTAAATTAAATTATTAAATGACGATTGTGTTACAACCCATTGTCCTAGAGAGTTGATTATGTGTTGATAACAGATCCAGAATAATATATATATATATATATATATATATATATATATATATATATATATATATATATTGTTTCGTTGCAGTATAATTTTGTTACGCCATTAACAGCTAGTCTGGCAGCTGATTCCCCAGACAGAGAAACTCCAGGAACTGAAGGTAGGACATAGTTATTCAGTGGTGGCGCTAGGGGTTGGATGGGGGTTGGAGTTAGCCAAGCTCCCATCCACCTGATTTTTCTTTTGTAACTAGTCATATCTAAGCTCCATAAGCCAGACTCCAACATTTTGTTCGATACTAATATGCAATTGATGCCGCTGATCGGGTTCATATTCCAGGAGATATTCCCCCTCCATACCCCCTACCCCCCCCCCTTTTATGAAAAGTCCTAGCGCCGTTATTGTTATTAAATGTGACTTTATATGCACTCGGTGTTACTTGGGTATCTACTGTTATGTACTATTCATCTGTTACCTGCTCAGAACTTACTGGAAATAGTTAATCTAGCCATAATTATCAATTGTATTTTCATTAGGGGTTCAGGAATCCATTTATCTCAATGTTTATGAACTAAAAGTTGCACGGATGCGATAAATGAGAATATTAGATAAAGGACAGCTAATGTTGTTGAGAGTTTTTCGTCTAGCCAGCGTAAACGTATCAGAGGGTTACATTAAACAATTCACTATGTTTGATATGAACCAAGCATTGGATCCAAGTACCAAATTAAATAATAGAATGTTTGATATGAACTAACCATTAGATCCAAGTATCGATGCTTGATATCAAACGAACCATTGGATCTAAGAAGCAAATTTTATACTAGAATTTTGATATCAAGGAAACCATCGGCCCCAAAGTACCTAATTTAATAATTGAAAGTTTGATATTAACCGAACCATAGGATCTAAGTACCCAATTTAGTGACAGGCGGTTTGATAACAACGGAACTACGGGAAAGTACCCAAATTAATAATAAAAGGTTTGGTATCGACAGAACCATAGGACAGTACCCAATTTAATAATAGAAGGTTTAATATCAACCGATCCATAGGGCAGTACCCAATTTAATAATAGAAGGTTTGATATCAACTGATCCATAGGATCTATGTACCCAATTTAGTGACAGAAGGGTTGATATCGACCGAACTACGGGAAAGTACCCAATTTATAAATAGAAGGTTTTGTATTGACAGAACCATAGAACAGTACCTAATTTAATAATAGAAGATATTAAGCAAACCATAGGACCCGATTAGAAAAGTAACAAATGACAATCTATCTCCCTGATGACTTGCAATATATTCCTCTTCTTTGACAAATAAAATAAGGTTTGATTCATATTTTTACTGCAGCACCAGTTACAACACCTGGACGACCAGCAACCACCGATGAAGCAGGTAATTTGTTTTTATACGCCCACATTGAAATGTGGTCGTATATTGTCGCCACCCCCGTCCGTCCGTCCGTCCGGCCGGCCGTCCGTCCGGCGTCCACAATTGCTTGTGGACGCTCTAGTGGCTAAAGTTAAATTTATACACAGTGTTTAAGGTCATGAGACGAGGAAGCCTATTGATTTTCAGCGATTTCCGATAATTACTGCCAGAATTATGGTCAAAGTTAATATCCAATCGACTTTAAATTTATGCACAGTGTTTAAGATCATGAGACGATGAAGCCTATTGATTTTCAGCGATTTCCGATAATTACTGTCAGTGTTATGGCCCTTGATCACTTCAAAAAATCTTGTAAATGCTGTAGAGGCTACAGTTAATATCCGATTGACTTTAAATTTATACACAGTGTTTGAGGTCATGAGACGAAGAATCATATTGCTTTTCAACGATTTCCGATAATTACTGCCCAAGTTATGGCCCTTGATCACTTTGAAAAATCTTGTGACCCTCTAGAGGCTAAAGTTATCATCCGATTGACTTCAGATTGATACACAGAGTTTAAGGTCTTGAGACGAACAAGTATATTGATTTTCAATGAACAACTAAATCCATGGTGTTAAAAGTTTCGTATACTAAACATTAGCATGGGGCAGAACTTTATAAAAACCAAACAAATTCTAATGGTTTTCTGATAATTACTTAATTAGTTGTTACTCTTAATCAGATTTTAATGTATTATAAATGTTTAATTACCGAAAAAAGTAAAATATAGCTGTTGTGGGCGTATGTTTATAATATCTTTATAATAGCTAAAGCCTAGCTCACAACCCTAGCTCACAATTTAACCCAAGCTCTCAAATTTGAGTAAACCCGTGTGTTCGGCACCATAGAAGATCGCAGACGGGCCGGTGATACTTTTGACCAGTTTTATTGACAAAACTTTCACCCGGTTTCCTGTGACCGGTCTGCTGTTCACTTTTATCGAACAACCACGGCCCTGTGTACACATTTGCAGATGGAATTCGTAGAATTGTACATGTAGCTGGAATCGCGACCTCCCCCCCCCCCCCCGCACACTACATGGAAAATAGCTGTCTTCATTAGCCCAGTTGGTACAGTAAAGTAGAACCATTTCATTTCATCAGTCGATATGATCTTTGTATAAATGTCGTTTCTATATTATAGAATTAGCTGAGACCATTAAAGTGACTACAACAAGCGCACCAACTGCACCAAAACCTACTGAAGGTATTATGTTTATGGAATCTGTAATTATTATTATATATTGGACGTTGGACCGATAGTATACCGAAAACGCCTGACCATTTAGGCATTGAAACAGCAAGATCTATATGACAATGACAACGCCAGACCTTAATGACTCTGACAACGGTAGACCTCCATGACACTGACAACGCTAGACCTCTATGACACTGAAAAACCATTACCTCTATGATACTGAAAAGGCAAGATGACACTGAAAAACCAAGACCTCTGTGGTACTGAGAACGCTATAGACTTCTATTATACCGAGAAGGATAGGCAGCTGTCATATTGAAGAGGATATACATGTACCTCTATGCTACTGAAAATGCTAGACCACTGTGACACTGAGTCCGATGTATTATACTGTGTGATATGGCGAACGATATAGTTTTATTATATTTACCTCTCTCATTCGGTATTGAAAGAATATTGACCCTTTAGATCCATTAGAAATTATTTCAATCATTGCATAATTCATTTCAGGCGTAGAAACCCCTACGGAACCGGAAGGTACGTGGTTTTTACAAAATATTATTATCAACATAACAAGTGGTCTATTTATAAAACTATCTCTTCTAATATGTTTTATTTCTTTGACACTCCTTATACAAAACATTTTAAACTTTTTTGGGGAAAGTTTTCTTACACACGATTTGGTGAATATTTCGGATATTATATCATCCTCTGACAGTTTTTTTATCTTTGATTGAAACGTTTGTTACCGGAAACTAGCAATTTAGTTTCTTCTAATATGTATTATTTCTTTGACACTCCTTATACAAAACATTTTAAACTTATTTTTTTGGAAAGTTTTCTTACACACGAGTTGATGAACATTTCGGATATTATATCATTCTCTGACAGTTTTTTTTATCTTTGATTGAAACGTCTGTTACCGGAAACTAGCAATTTAGATACGTGTATCCTATTCATTCAAAATGAAAGCCATCTTTCTCTGGAAAGAAACAACGCGGTGTTTGTTTTACTAACTTTTGTACTAGAACGATAAACAGACGAGGGTGAAACCCACCAACGATCACAACACACACATTGTCTACAGATATGTTCTCTTAAACAAACCATTTTATTACCCGAACTTTGCTATAAACCAGAATTATCACGACATCTCTTCTAACGTAAACGGTGAAAAGAGATACCTTACAATCCAATATAGTTTATAACGACATCTCTTCTAACGTAAACGGTAGAAAGAGATACTTTACAATCCAATATAGCCCATAACGACATCTCTTCTAACGTAAACGGTAAAAAGAGATACGTTACAATCCAATATAGCTTACCTGTTATATTGTTGGCATGACGATGATCCGTATCTAGCTAAAGTGGTTTCTTTATTCTCAAATAAATAAACAATCAGTCCAGGACTGACTTCTCGGGCTATGATAATAATTTTTTGATTTTAATCTCGTACTTTAATACAGGCGAGGATAATGATGCTGACAAAGATATTGATTTTAAAGAGAACGACGAAGACGAGGACGAAGACGAGGACAAGGACGATGACGACGACGATGACGATGATGACGATGACAGCGACGATGATGATGATGATGACGATGACGACGATGACGATGATGACAGCGACGACGATGACGATGACGATGATGATGATGACGACGACGACGACGATGACGATGATGACGATGATGACGATGACGATGATGACGAGGATGAAGAGGATGATGATGATGAGCAGGACGACGACAAGGATGAGGACGACGACAAGGATGAGGACGACGACGATCGAGAAGAGGACGACTATGCACGTGCTCCTGTTGACCAAGGTATTGGATTATGTTACAATCCATAAACGCAATCATCATAATCTTCAACATCATAATCACCATCGTCATTGTTATCGCTATCTTCTATAAAATTAACATCTTTGTCAGCATCACCATCCTCGTCATCATCATCATTTCTGAATTATAAAGGCACAACCAACTGTTTATTAGTTTAACTATTCAGGATCCACGCTTTAAATTTACATTCCTTTCAGAACATGAAACTATAATTTGTAATTTAATATAGCAACTCAAATTGTCGATTGGTGGTTTATTTTAGCAATAAAAGCTTTTATGACTAGCGATATTTTAATCTGCTGTACAAAGATAACATTCTTAAATCAGCTCACAATTTAAATTTATTTTACAGACAACAAAGTACATTCATAAATGTTGGCGATTAAACAAAATCTCCAATTTTGAGTTGATAAATATTATAAAGATTCTGATTCTGCACTGTAGCACTATGTGTGCTATGCGTCGTTGATCAGATGTAGAAAGCCAGTAAGCCGAAAACTCCCCACATCAAACGTGTTACACATACTCTCTTCTGCTACATATTTTCACGTTTTGTATTTTCTTCTTACTATCTCATTAGTTTTAAAAGACATTTGTCTTACCAAGAATAACAATGCATCAGTTCGCTTCTACATTTTATATTAAGCTCTGGTTACATACGTTACAAGCATAGGTTACACTACAATACTTAAAATTCGGCAATACTATATACCGGAAACCACCGACAAACACCGGAAAACAGCGGAAAACAACCGGAGAACAGCGGAAAACTACCGGAAAACTACCGGAAAACACCATTTTATACTTAATACCGGAAAACACCGGAAAAACACTAAATACCGGAAAACACACTAAATACCGGAAAATACCCTAAATAGGTAACCCGGAGACTGTCACCCTAAATAGGTAACCCGGAACCTGGTCCTCTGTGTGCCTGGGTTAGGTTTAAGAACTGGTGTCTCTTGAACCTGGGCGGTCTCTCCCGAATTGGAAGGTTGTCTAAAATCTATAGGACCTAAAGCAGTCTTATAACAATGACAGTGTCCTTGAGACAGCTCTCTCAATTATTTAATTGAACAAATATTACGTAATTAATATAATGATTGGTTACTAAGGCAATTGATGCAATATGAATTTTCCTACACAAGTGATAAACATGATATTCTGGGTTCACCTAGGATCATCTATGTTTTGATTTATAAATCTTTTTATGTGTCAACCACTCAGTCATTTTTGTTAAGTACGTGAGATATGACTTCTCTACAATACGCATATGTGAACCCAATAATTTGTTTATGGTCGCAAAGACCATAATACTACAGCACAATCACGTCCGGTTTCGGAGTTACCGGTTTCACGAAACTCCTATAAGGAAGCATCGGAGTCCGAGAGAAATGGGGTTTAACGCCCACGTCCAGGAAGCGTCGGAGTTGTCTATCCTTGCAACACCGAGTAAACAGCTAGTGTCATATATACTATTCAAAAAAAGTAGGGGATATTTGATTTTGGGGGCATAATACTAAAATATGCAAATGACTACGAAAAAAGTCACTATAGAACCTAACAGAAAAAACCATTTCCAGTTACATGTGACGCCCAAACGCACCAATAGCTACCGCATGGAATGCAGGTGATGCTTGGGATCATCATGGGGGTCCAACCCAAGATTTGCACGACTCTGACTTTGAATGTTACAGTCATTGTGGCATTGAATTCCAGGGTGGAAACATCAGTTTAATTGTTTTAGTGACCAGAAAACAAATTTTGATATGCGTCGGCTTACCCAAAATGAAAGGTTACGTGCCCTTGGAATGCTACAGATCGGCACAACACAGGCGGTTGTGGCGCGGACGATGAATGTTTCTCAGTCTGTCATAAGCAGGCTATGGTCCAGATACCGTGATACACAATCTGTACAGGACAGACCACGCTCAGGTCGACCAAGGGCGACAACTCAAGCCCAGGATCGATTTATCCGTACCTTGGCCTTGAGAAATCGTGTCATCACAGCAAATCAGATCAGCGCTCGTCTTCAAACAGACACTGGTGTGAGAGTGAGTGGCCAGACGATTCGGAATCGACTGCATAGGGGTCACCTTCGCGCCCGACGTCCTCGCGTGATCCCTTGTTTGAGAGATCATCACATTCAGGCAAGACGTCGTTGGTGTAGGGATCGTCAACACTGGGATAATCGACGCTGGAGCAATGTGATGTTTTCAGATGAGTCAAGGTTCACTGTTGATTTTTTGGACAGACGTAGGAGGGTGTGGCGTCGTCGAAACGAGCGCTTCCAAGACGTTAACGTCATCAGACATGATCGATTTGGGGGTGGTTCTGTTATGGTGTGGGGAGGCATCACTGTTGCTGGAAGAACGGCTTTACATGTTGTTGCAGGGCGTGTTACAGGCCAGTACTACCGGGACAACATCTTGGCAGTCCATGTTGTGCCGTTCGCACGACGTCATGGCCGCCGTTTCATCTTCCAGGATGACAACGCAAGATGTCACAGGGCCAGGATCGTTACAGGTTACCTCCAACAACAGAACATCACCACATTACCTTGGCGAGCACTGAGTCCCGACCTCTCCCCCATCGAGCATGTCTGGGACATGCTTGGACAGAGGTTACGTCAACGTCAACAACGTCCTGCCAAAGTCCAAGAACTTGCTGCTGCGTTGCAACAGGAATGGGACAATCTGGACCAAAATGACCTTAGACGTCTCATTAGGAGTATGCCACGTCGGATCAATGCTTGTTTGGCAAACAGAGGAGGATTTACCCGTTACTGACTTGGTTGTGATGCTGTGGTAACTTTGCTGTTTGACCCCGGGTATCATTTTACCCTTATAATGGTCAGTCTGTGCCTTACTTAGTCTAACGATCATTTGGAATAAATCGATGAATGTGAACTTCATTTCATTTTGTCATTTGTTTCTTCGTCAGTTTCATTAGGTGACTTTAATAACACTTAAAAATCAAATATCCCCTACTTTTTTTGAATAGTATATAAAATAACGTCGTGTATAAACCGATATGATAAGACAGCGTATGCTTAACCCTTTCCAGAACATACATATTTTTCCAAAGACATACATATCTTTTGATATTTTGTTAAAATTCAATCCCGTGGATAAAACCAGACGCAGCAGACAACCATCATTATATATATTTTTTGTTGAATATTTTAATCATAATTATTTGTGGTTTTCTTTTTAAATTCAGATACCCAGTTTTCTTATGACGTAAGTTTTTTTTATGCAATCAAGAAAAGTTCACGGGTTATCGTATAATGCTGGATAAACGGGTTTTTAATAGGATTGTTGTAATATTTTAATAGATTAAATTTAAATGTTCAATTAATATAGGATGATTTATTGAAATAATAACCAAAACAATAGCACAGGAGGGAGCTGGGGCCAAGGAGAGTATGGGCCAACCATTATCTCAATTGTGATTAAATGGCTTTTTGTCTGATTTTGAATTACCCATCTTCAGCAGCCCAGTCGGAGCAGAGAAGTAGGACAATTAAACCACATTTCATTTCATTTGCTATGTCACTAGAAATTCTTACACAGTCTCCGCATCTGACCCAATATATCTTATGTATCAATCCAGTCGTTTTCACAGACACTTATTATGATATATTTGCTTTGTTCTAATGATCTATTAAACTTGGGAACCACGTTGGCTGAGTGTGCAAGGCGATGCCTCGCTAGCCTGTAGGTCGCCTGTTCGATTCCTGCATTGGCCGAGAAAGTTCATCGGATTTTTCTGATGTGGTTTCCCCTTGACAATGGCGCAGGTCGGTGGACCTGACAGGAACAGCTGTCTAGACGCTCGGATGGGACAAAAAACCGAAGTCCCGTGCATGCAGGTAAAAGACCCCTTGGCAGTTGGAATTCGATATAAAAGTAGACCATAGTTCCGCTACCCGGGCAAAATGTCCCTCATAGTGCATTGTATGACGTATGTCCGTCTTCATCAGCCCAATAGGAGTAGAAATGAAATGAAATGAAATGGAGTTTAACGTCCTACTTTTCTGCTCCTAACCTGGGCTAATGAAGACGGGCATACGCCATACAGTGTGCTATGAGGGAAATTTTGCCCGGACAGCGGCACTACGGCCTACTCTTATATCGAATTCCAACTGCCAAGGGATCTTTTACGTGCACGCCAATGTGTACACGGGACCTCGGTTTTTCGTCCCATCCGAACGACTAGACAGCTTTCCTTGTCAGCCCCTCCGTCCTGCATCACTGACAAGGGAGAACCACGCCGGAAAATCTGGATGAACTTTCTCGGCCAATGCAGGGATCGAACACCCGACCTCCAGGCTAGCGAGCTAGCGTCTTACCCACTTAGCCACGTGATCCCCCAATAGGAGTAGAACCGTAGGAGGTTAAATCCCATTTTATTTCAGTTCTATTAAACTTACAGATTAGGTAACAAAATGACGACCATGGCCGCAATTGACTAGGCTCTCTCTATATATTTGACCCCGTGGTGACGAAGGGTGGGGGTGGTATGGGGAGATAATCCTCATTAAAGTAATAATGAAATGTTTGCCGTTTTTATTTATATGAATATAATCTATTAGCCAGGAATAATAAATACATGTATTTAAAACCATATTTCAGACACCATACATTAGTCATTATAACGTAGAAACAAATATCCAGTATCGTTTTGCCAATACCACGCTTGAACAGTACATGATAAACGGTGATCAACAACCACGAGACATCTCAGCTACATTCAATATTCCTAAAAATGCTATGGTTAATAGTGTTACTGTGTAAGTATACTGGTAGATGTTGTGTATTCCATATTAAAATCGGGAGATGCTAATTGCAGGCCGATTGGGGAGGTTCGGGTATTTCCGGAGTCCAAAATGGCCGCTTTATATAAATAAGTATTTTGGAGAATACTAAATCATCTGGTGTTCTTTGTTCTTCATGAAACTTGACATGTTTGTTCCTTGGAAAATTGCGCATCGATTGACCTTGAATTGTTGAGACGACGTCACAATTCCAAGATGGCGGCAATGAAATCGTCAGTGTCGGACGCAGGATTATTTAGTTGGGGGAGGGGAGGGGGACGAACATTTTGATAAATCAAAGAGTGAAATGAAGCTTATACCGCATAACTGTATCCGAATATAACATTAAGTTTATTCAGCTACAGCCTAGACCTCCCATCTGGATCCACCACTGTCGATTGTTGCTGAATATTTCGGTTGGAATTGTTCATTAATTCGGTTTACATATTATTAAACTATAACAGGATACAATCGACTGTGAGGAAGTGTATCCATCATATTGTATTAAACTGGGGGATATAGGGTTCCCTATGGCAGTGAACAATCACCCGAGATGAAGTGCATCTAATATAATTTATTGACTTTGATGATACCGAGTTCACAGATGGACGGGAGTAAGGGTGGGTATATGAAGATGTCAGTAATTTTCCGACTGTTAATCCCGCTTCAAGTAATAAGCGGACTACAACTAACGGCCAACTAAAAACAGAACTTAAGCTCCCCCTGTTAGGTTTATGGATATTATGGCGTATGTCCGTCTTCATTAACCCAGTCCGAGCAAAATAGTAGGACGTTAAACCCCATTTCATTTGATTTATGGGTATTATGAAATTATGTTATTTATGTTTAATTTAGTCGAACACGTGATCCCAGCAGCACAGTTGATAGGCCGAGATACACCACTAGACAGATACCTATAAGATCTAGACCAAGTCCTAATCAACCATCCAGTGCCTACATTACCAGGTAATCAATAATCAATAATAAATCGATCGAATATCGAAAAGGTTTAAATCTATCAAATATCGTAAAGGTTTAAATCGATCGAATACCGTAAAAGTTTAAATCGATCGAATGTCGAAAAGTTTTAGTGTATTTAGTGTCTACATATGGTTATATTATGATATAACGTATTTAATTACGCAGTTTTCCAGTCTCGTGTAGTAATATAGGACTTCTTCTTGTTGTGTTTACTTTCTGGTGACCTTTAACAAGACTACAGCATAAAATAGTTTCACAACTTTATTTCTAAGTTGTACTGGCTTTGCAGGTTCCTCGTTCTCAATGATAATGGCTGGTAGGAATTTCTGGGTAAGCTCTGATCCAGCTCGCTTATACCCCCTAATTGCTTCAGGTCTTCGATAACCGTGACGCTAATTTCCACGCCATATAAGGAATAAAACTCTCTATTTCCCACAAATAAGATAGGAAACATGACCTATAGGTCAATAAACAGTCATATTTTGACAATGATTATGATTAACCGAAATATCACTGGTTTTTTTTATGTATAACTATATATTCACGTTCATTAAGTACGTGTGATTTAACTCGATAGACAGAGTAAAGTAACAATTTTGCAATGAACCAAAATTGTCACAAAGACCAAAAGTGTTACACTCGGAAACATAATTTACCCATATGTACTTAAAACACCTTTGTTTATATTTCTAATGATTTTAAAAAAATGGTTTAAGAATTTAATTTTCAGAAGATAAAAAGTTAATATTGAGAGCTAATTAACTCACTCAGATGTCATCCCTCTCAGTGATAGTACCGGCCAAACGAATATTTACTGCTAGTCAGTTTGGGAAATATATTTACACTTCAGTAGAATATGAAGGGGTCACGTTGGTTAAGTGGGTAAGACGCTGGCTCGCTAGCCTGGAGGTCTGTTGTTCGGTCCCTGCATTGGCCGAGAAAGTTCATCCAGATTTTCCGGCGTGGTTCCCCTCTTGTCAGTGATGCAGGACGGACGGCCTGACAAGGATAGCGGTCTAGTCGTTCTGATGGGACGAAAAACCGAGGTCCTGTGTACTTATTGTCGTGCACGTAAAAGATCCCTTGACAGTTGGAATTCGATATAAGAGTAGGCCGTAGTGCTGCTGTCCGGAAAAAATTTCCCTCATAGTACAGTGTATGGCGTATGCCCGTCTTCATTAGCCCAGTTCAGAGCAGAACAGCAGGACGTTAAAACCCATTTCATTTCCAGTAGACTATGATGACAGAACATCGGAAATGATTGATAATTCATGTTTCGTTTTGTTTTCAGAGCACCAGGAAGACAGAGCCGTGTAACTGTAAATCAACGAATTCCGGCTCGTGAGCGGGCTGTCTTCACCGTAACTTACCAAAAACTTCTGAAAAGAGAAGGCGATCGTTATAGCAGCCCTATTTCTGTCAGTTCAACATACCCTGTTCGAAGACTCCGTGTGAACAGTCGAATAACAGAGCCTAGACCAGTAACTAATTCACAACAGACAATTCCAACTTCTCCTCAATTTTCTGGTAATGATTAGTTAACTGGTATTCATTATTGCTTAATTATGGACCAATCACTATAAACGATTACCAAGACGGAATTGTCATTAACAAGCCAACAGTACTTGCACATGTATCGTTTTATAAATCAAAGAGTAAACAGTACTAAACACGTTACGTATCACTCCGCCTAACCGAAGCAGAAAGGCTCGTTATCGAATTTAGTCAAACCAAGTTTCACCGTCCATCACTCAATTAGAATCAAAATTATCATGTTCCAAAGCAGCAAAAAATCACTAACTTTCTGTAATTCGTCTCAGGCAAAAATTTCAACATCGAATTCAGTCACAAAATTCACCCAGAAAATATACAGTCAACGTGAACGTCAATTAGAAGCAGACCAAAAATCAAATTTCGTATCTCTGCTCAGCCTGTGCAGAAAATGCCCGATGAGATGGTGGCCGTGTCTTCGCACACTCGCCATCAAATTCCCACAGTTTCCTATGCAATTCACTATTACTTGTACCGCGAGCAACTCCTTTGGATGAAACTTACCTTCGACGCTTCCCCCTTAAAAAGAATTGTGTTTTTACCCGAAGGAAACGAAATCGAATAGGCCTCCTAATTGACCTCGCGTATCCTACCTATACGAGAATAAGTCTATTATTTGGCCCCGCTTGCAAGATTCTCAGGAAACACATGTCTGCGATATCACCCAAGATGGAAGCGGACGTTACGCCTTAACGTACTAACGAGCCCGATATACTTCATACTCTTAATGCAATAATGCGTATGTTAATATGCTCCCTTCGATGCATTCAAGTTGTATAACTTGACTATAGTAAATTGACCGTAAAAATCCTAATGTGTTTGATAATGCCATTACAATTTGTAGACTGTTCTATTTCCATTATTATTTTTAATCTATTGTTTGTCGTATGTTTTATGATTCGGAATTTTCAGGTTAACTAATCTGTTTTTTTTTATTCTACATTAGGTGGTCGAACAACTACAACATCGGGGAGAGCAGGAGATTTATATTCTACTGTTATAAATTACGAGAAGGAATACCCAGTATCACAGTCTAGCAAACCTAACGGGGAGTTCACTCTTGCATATTCCCAGGATAGTCCAAATCAAGATGATCCTGGTGACCTAGTTGTAAGTATTAATGGACATCGATCGCATGAATGTGTACAGTAATATATTCTATTTTAAGAATTAAAATGGGGTTTAACGTCCACTCGAGACAAACTAAATCATTTCGGGACTTACATGTCGTAAATTTCAATACTTCGCTTTCGCGCATGGGTCTTTAGCAGTGGGAAGAAACCAGAGGACCCACAGAAACCCCACGAGGGCGCGCAGATGACTCTGCTACTTGTCACGTACCACGCCTTTTGACTCAATGACTATGACCCAAAGCGCACGCAATGGAATTGAACACTTTATGCAAATTATGAATCATTTCATTGAAAACCTTGTTGTTTTTGTTTTTCTAGACTTCAGGAAACTATTTCGTCCACTACTATTATCCTAAGACATCTCAACCCGCTCCACGAAATGTCCTGTTTGTTGTGGACAGCAGCCGTCAAATGGCGAACAATAACAGACTTCGCCAATTACAAGAAACCTTACCAAGACTCTTACAAACTCTCGATCGACAAGACACTTTCAATGTGATGTCATTCTCAGATACAACCAACTTCCTCAGCTCAAATCCACTGCCAGCTAGAAATGTACGGAATGCTAACAGGTTTATCAGACGGTTGAGACCTACCGGTGGTAAGTAACAGTATAACAAACTATAACGCAATATACTTATGGAAGAACCCTACTTAATATATTTGGGCGACGTTTCGAAGAGTATTCTCTCAACGTTTTCAAGCAAGTACAGTAACAAATGTGTAGGGCAATTATGTATCGATAAGCAATAACAAACCAGTAACTATGCATAAACGGCAAGATATAGAAGAGGGGTGATATAGGCTTTTCCTGTTCCCTGATCCCTTTTTATACGCCCACATTGAAATGTGGTCGTATATTGTCGTCGCCTCCGTCCGTCCGTCCGTCCGTCCGTCGGTCCGTCGGTCCGGCGTCCACAATTGCTTGTGGACGCTCTAGAGGCCAAAGTTAATATCCGATTGACTTTCAATTTATATACAGTGTTTAAGGTCATGAGACGAAGAATCCTATTGATTTTCAGCGATTTCCGATAATTACTGCCAGAGTTATGGCCCTTGATCACTTCAAAAAATCTTGTGGATGCTCTAGAGGCTCAAGTTAATATCCGATTGAGATTAAATTTATACACAGTGTTTGAGATCATGAGGCGAAGATTCCTAATGATTTTCAACGATTTCCGATAATTACTGCCAAAGTTATGGCCCTTGATCACTTTGAAAAATCTTGTGAGACTCTAAAGGCTAAAGTTATCATCCGATTGACTTCAGATTGATACACAGAGTTTAAGATCTTGAGACGAACAAGTATATTGATTTTCAATGAATTTTTATGACTTGAACAGTTAAATCCATGATATTAAAAGCTTTGCATACAAAACGTTAGCATGGGGCAGAACTTTATAAAAACCGAACAAATTCTAATAGTTTTCTGATAATTACTTCGTGAGTTGTTGCTCTTAATCAGATTTTAGTGTATTATAAATGTTTCATTACCGAAAAAAGTAAAAATATGCGACAACCCTTGTTGACTGCCCGGACGATTTAGTTGCTGTGGGCGTATGTTTCGTTGCCTGGCAACCTATCTTCATTAATTTTTGAAATAAAATATTGTTTACACACAAAAAAACCCCGGCAAGATACAATTAGAGCATTAGTGAAGCCACTGGTTTCTGATTTGTTTTTGCTTGTCTATATATCGATTTGTAGTCAAGACCGCCTGAACATGACTGAATTTCAGTCAGAATAAAGTCCCAGTCCAAGTAAGTCGTGATCAAGAACAGAGGTGTATTTTACGTTCAGGGGAATATATAATTTAGCTTGTGCGTGCGTTTTCGCCAGATATCTCCAAACTGTCACGGATTTTTACAAATTTGATTGCAAAATAATCGGCCGTAAATGTCACATGAATATTGACGTTTTTTTTTAACTTGATGATAAAGGTCATTGGCGCACCAGAATATATTAAGCCTTTCAGGAAAACCAGATAGACAATATGTTGTTTGTACTGTTTGCATGTAAACATTGATATGACACATGACACTTACTTTCGGAGTTTATTTCTGGCGACTATTACTATGTAACCCGTTTGACTTCTCTATATCTTTGGTGATTTCTAATTAAATATCTCGAATTGTATATTATTGTATCTTTGCACCATGCTGTCTATTTATCTTCATTGTAATATGATTACCATTCTCTGTCTGATATCCAACCTCGTGGGTTTTCTCCGGGTCCCCCCTTTTTCCTCCCACTGCTAAAGACCCCTACGCGCAAGCGACTTATTGAAATATGTCATATGTTAGTCCCATATGTGTCGAGTGGACTCCCCCCCCCGTCTCTCTCTCTCTCCCTCTCTCTCCCGCTCTCCCTCTCTCTCTTGCTTGATGAAGACGAGAGAACCCTCGTCGAAACGTCACCAGAAATAAACTTCTAAAGTAACTTGTATTGTGTATACTAATTCAATTCCCGCCGTTTTCATTAGCCCAGTCGGTGCAGAAAAGTAGGACGTTAAACCCCATTTTATTTCATTAAATTACTACATGCCGCTTAAACGGTTTAAACATTGATAATTTCAGGTGCTAATCCGTCGGGTGCGATCGTTCAGGGATTGAGATACATCAATCGGAATCCACTTACAGCCAAACGATCATATATAGTATTCTTTACATCCGGTCAACCCGTTGATGGAGTCGAAGACTATAGTCCACTACTAGGTGACGTCAAAGCTGTTAACACCGACAATGTTCCAATCCATACTGTCTCTCTCAGTGATGATGATACACTCCCTGATGATGACGATGGTGACGATGCTGATAGATCATTCCCTAGAGCTTTATCTGCTAGGAACTACGGTAGATACACCAGAGTTCGTCCAGGTCCCACTGCACCTGCTGCTATCACCGATTTTTACCGAGATATATCATCCAGAACGGTTTCAGATGTGGACTTTGATTACACAGAAAATGGACGTCAACCCGTTAGGTACGAAACCAGACGACCTTATTCCAGAAATTATTATCCTGGAAGAGAAATTGTTGTCACTGGAAGAGTTAATAACGTCCGAAATGATGACCAGTTCTTACAAGGACGAGTGAGAGGATATGCTGTTCCCAAACCCATTGATACCACCACCCGATCTAAACCAAGTAAAGACCTTCCACGAGAAACGTTAGAACGTGTATGGTCGTATGTAACAGTGGAAGACCTTTTACGACAATACAGAGCGGCTGCCGATCCTGTAACAAGAAACGGGCTACGTCAACGAATTCTAACAACTTCTCGCACCGTAAGTGAAGATTATTTTTGGACATTATAACTGGGTGTATTGTTCGGAAACATAATAAACAATTTCTTTCATTTGATGCATTCCCCCCCCCCCCCCCCGAGAAATGCCAGTAGTTGGCATTACGGAGCTCAACCACTTTGATTTAAGCCAATAAATAATTTTGGATGTCGTTGTTGTTCCTGGGACTAGCGTGGTACCTTTAAATTCTTGTTTCTAAATATTATAGATGTATTATGTAAGATTTAGTGAAAGCTGCTATAATGCTTCAAAAGATGATAAAAAATGAATATATGGAAATTTTCATTCAAATTACTTAATTCTAAGCCAAGTGACGAGTGTTTGAAGTTTTGACAACATAGTCTCGATGGTCTATAGAGTTGATTATGGGCTAATAAATGCCCAGTTAATAATTAAAACAATACATGAAGCCAACACAAAGACCTGCAATAGTCATTTCTGGATTAACATATAATTTAGTAATTCGCTTGCCGTAAGGGTCTTCAGCTGTGTGGGGTGGGGTGGGGTGGGGTGGGGTCAGAGAATCCATAGTAACCAGAGAAGACCCGGAAGGTTGAACTTGCGACCTAACTCCCTAGCACGATCAAGCAAGGAATCAAAACCACACCTCTTCATTCAATGACAAACAGTATGATCTAAATCGCACGTTTCAGACAATTCGGCCACCCAACATCTCAGCCCAACCCCACGTGTATTTCCTCATCTTTTAACTTGCTATATATTTCTTCTTTTATAGTATAATTATGTAACGCCTTTCACTGCGGCGCTTTCTGATTCTCCTGACGGTGATACCATAGAAAAAGTAACAGTGGCAAAAGGTAAATTTAACCACATGTATATATGAGTTACTAGAACCGGGCAGCCACAGTGGCTATGTAAGGAAGGCTGGAGGACTCGTGTTTGATCCCGGTGTTTACCGGGTGGTGGTGTAATGCAATGAATTAAAAATCCCCCAGATGACGTTCAGCTGCTTTCACTATGTATTTAAGGGGCATTATGGGAGATAAGATAAATAGTTCACAGTTCTTGCTATAATAGTTAAAAAAACCCAGATAATGTAAATCGAATATGCTGAAAATTTCAGTCAAATTGCTCCACTCTGAACCGAGATATTAGCTTTTGAATTTTTGAGACTAGTCACGTTCATCATTACCAAAGTCAGTACGATAGAAATTAAACTCTCAGTTATCCAGTTTACGTTTGATTTACAAAAAAATCCAATCCGCTAAATATCTCAGGCTAGCGATGGCATCGAGAGTTGATTATAGTCTGGATAAGTTAATTAATACGCAATTAATAGTTAAGATAACATTTCAGGCCTGAAGAAAGACATGCAATAGGAAGATTTAGTTGTTGCATAATGTATGTTTAAGGCAATAAATACAGTAAAGTTCAGTTATTTGAGGATGATTATTGTTAATATATTTTCTTATGTTTTATTAGTTGACCGTGAAGGAGTAACAACACCTACAACAGATGACGGTGAGGCTTTTTTACAATATTCTATCTCAAACCCTATCTACACATAAAATACATTTTCTGTATCTAATAGTAAGTTTACGAGACCCCCTCTACACACAAGACAAACCTGCGGACACGAAAAACTTCATAGAAAATAATGAAACAAATGGATTAAAAATCACTCAAACGACGTTCATCTGCTTTCATTCATTGTACATAAAACTCTGTATTAAGGCAAATAAATACAGTAAAATTCAAATGTTTGAGGATGAATATTTTTAATATATTTTCTTATGTTTTATTAGTTGATCGTGAAGGAGTAACAACACCTGCAACAGATGACGGTAAGAAGCTTTTTAAAATTTTCTATCTCAAACCCTCCCTACTTCTGTATCAAATAGTAAGTTCACCAGATCCACATTACACGCAAGACAAACCCGACAAGACAAACCTGCGGACACGACAAACCTCATAGAAAATAATAAAACAAATGGATTCAAAAGTCCCTCAAATGACGTTCATCTGCTTTCATTCATTATACATAAAACTCTGTATTAAGGTAAATAAATGTAGTAAAGTTCAGATATTTGAGGAGAATTGTTGTTGATATATTTCTTATGTTTTATTAGTTGATCGTGAAGGAGTAACAACACCTGCAACAGACGATGGTGAGAGTCTTTTAAAAATATTCTATCTCAACCCCTACCTAAACATAAAATACATATTCCTGCTCTTTCGGGGGCCCAAATGGTCAAATGCGTGCGCCTTAGATATGTCATTGAGTCGTTGACGTGTTTTCGCTTGCCATTTATAGGTTTAGCCAGTGATCTTGTCCTGTTTTATTTATTCAACCAATTATTATCATTGTATGTTTCAGGGGAATCAAAGCCCAGATTTAGCAAGACTCATGAAGACGTGGTCGCGAAACCCGGAACTACTGTCACCTTATCCTGCAGTATAGAATCCCTCGGAGAGCACAAGGTAAGTAGTCTGGGTGCCATATTTAAATCGCGAAGGAAAGCTATGTCGATATCCTGTAGCCGTATTGCCGTATTTTGATCCTGGCTGATTCGGGAATAGTATCGAATTTCAATCTGTATCACCAACCAGTTGGTTGATAGATGGGGTTCTAGACTATACACATATTAAAGATACATTATGTACGATTTAAATAAAGAGCTGACCATTCTTGCTATTATAACTCAAACAGAGATAATGTAAAATGAAAATATTGAAAATTTCATTCAAATTACTTCATTCTGATCCAAATTATCACTGTTTGTAGTTTTGACAAAAAGTGTGCATTGTTGTAACCAGGGCACTGGTATTTTCGAGATTTAGCCTCTCTATCCCATTTTTAAGTTAAATTTTTAAATGGCGAACCGTTATAATCTAGTTCAAATCTCGAGTGTCCCTGCCATCGAGAGTCGATTATGGTCTTGTTTTGTTAATAAATGTCTCTAGACCGGCAATAGGCAGATTTAGCTCTTGTATAATTTATGTTTAAATGAATAGCTTAAATATAATAGCATTTGTCCTACAAATTAAATACGGCCCTTGTTTCTAGTCGGGGGGGGGGGGGGGGTGGCCGAATGATTAGCACGTGCGCGCTGTATCATACGGCCTGTCATTGAGTAAACTGGCGGGGTTTCGATTGCCCGGTTGTACGTGACAAGGAGTAGGGTCGCCTGATCAACCTCGTGGATTTTCTCCGGGTCCTCCGGTTTCCTCCCACTGCTAAAGACCCCTACGCGCAAGCGATTTACTGAAATAAAATTGAACTACATGTTAGTCCCGAAATGACCTAGATTGTGTGCAGTGGATGTTAAACCCCCATCTCTCTCTCTCTCTCTCTCTCTCTCTCTATCTCTCTTGGCGAGCGTGCTTGCCATATTCGACCGACGGATAGGGCTACACCAGGTGGTATGTCTTTCTACAAATCCCCTCTAGTCTCCAGGCCCCTGAACAAGTGTCCAAGTTGTCCCCTCCCTCCCCTAAGATTCAAATTCGATAATGAATTAGTCGTATTATTCTTAAAACCTTTAGAACCCATAACCAAAACAATGATTGAGGTGTGTCTATTCACATTTCATTTTCAACTGCACACAAATTTCACAAGTTCACAAAGCAAAAACAGACTTAAGAATTTACTCAATTTTCAATCACTGTTTATGAGAAATATCTTTGATCCAGAAACACAATAGTTTCTTATTGATGTATTTGATACAATAAAACAACAAAAGTCTTATAAAGGGCTAATCAGACGAACAATTTTGAGTAAATTCTTAAATTAAGTCTGAGAATGCTTTGTGAACTCAGAGGCTGGTTCAGGTTAGAATAAGTAATGAAAATGAGAACAGAAACATTAGTTGTGTGTGTGTGGGGGGGTGGGGTGGGCATAGTTTCGTCTTGACATAATATTATCAAATGAAATGGGGTTTAACGTCCTACTGTTCTACTCCGATTGGGATAATTAAGATGGACATACGTCATACAGTGTGTTCCGAGCGAATCAGTCCGGAAACGAGAATTGGGGTGAACCGAAGGACTAAACATGGAACATATGATGATCATTCGGCAGATGTAGTTATTTATCTATTTATTTACATCATCGCGCGCCGATGGGAAGGATATTGAAATTCCTCCGATCAGTCCATACGTCCGGACTTGTTTTCGTAGCATATCATCATATAAATAGTATAGGGATCCATTGTGGCTCAGTGAGTAGGTCGTTGGCTGGCTTACCTGCAGGTCCCGTGTTCTATCCCAGCGTTGGTCAAGAAAGTTCATCGGGATTTTCCGTCGAGGTTCCCCCTTGTCAGTGGTGTAACACGGAGTGTCTGGGGCGACAAATCGAGGTTCTCGATAGTTTGAATTTGAAATAAGATTAGGTCGTACAGCCGCTGCCCGGGCAAAATTTCCGTAAAAGCACACTGCATGGCGTATAAACAGTACAATATATCTTTTTGAAACTTTGTACCATAGTAGTTTTCTTTTGTTATTAGTGTCAATTTTATACGTCTTTTTTCATCGTATTAATTAGGGATTCCCTTTAGAACATAAATCTGTCATTGAATCGATTGGAGGTAGAGTGTCCCGTTTAACCTGGTGAGGTTTCTTCGTTTTCTCCAAGGGAGCCACGGTGGCTAGGTGGTTAAGACGCTGGCTCGCTAGCCTAGAGGTTGGATGTTCGATGCTTGCATTGGCCAAGAAAGTTCAACGGGATTTTCCAACGTGGTTTCCCCTTGTCAGTGGTGCACGGAAATAAATTTGACCGCAATGCAAGGTGCGCGGGAAATTGATGACTTGGTCGTGAAGATCCCATTGCAGGCGATATTGTCGAGTCCTAGAAGAACCTAATGTAATAGTTGTGCCCTTTGTTAATAATTTGTGTGTTTCCACGGAAATGAATTTGATTTAATTTTTGATGGTATGCAAGGTGATGACCTAGGTCTTCTCGTTTCTCTTGCAGGTGACTTGGTATACCTCCAGGTCAACCATTTTAAGTGCCGGTGAATTACGTATAACAGACAACCCTAGAATCAGTGTCGAGAGACCAAATATAAAAGAATGGAATCTACGTATACGAGATGCAAAACACAGTGACAGTGGTACATATCATTGTAAAATTAATACAGTTCCTGTTCAAATAAAACGTGTCACTTTGTCAGTATCCGGTGAGTTAATTTCGCCTTCATTAATATTTTGCCCCTGCTTCACAATTTGTGATTTTAAAACATCCACGTGGAAATTCGGTTTTATATTGCCGTCACCTCAGTCCGCCCGTCCGTCCGTCTATTGTCGCTAATTTTTTTGTGAACACTCTACAGACTACATTCATTATCTGATCATTTTGAAATTTGTATATGTTGTTTACACTAGTGCAACGTAGAGGCCCGTTTCATTTTAACCATTTCCGTTAAGTACTTCTAGAGTTATGGTCTTTGAAAACGCTATAACGACAAGAGTTATCGTTATTAGATTTACATGCATTATTTAAATTAGTACAACGAAGAAGTCTATTGAATTTCATGAATTTCCATTAATTACTTCTAGTATTAGTATTCCAGGCGGATGCTTTTAAAAATTATTAAATGGAAATGGTCAATTCTTTATTTAATAAAGGCTTCTAATGGGTTATTAACCATAAACGTACTGTTGACCTTATTTTGATACCACTAAGAAATTGATCTTACTGACGTGACACTCCCCTGAATGATAAGTAATGTTGTGATACTATTGGTCTACAATGCACCCTCGTGCGTAAAATTCAAAACGATTTTATTATTTGTTTGTTCACTGTGTTTGAATTACAATAATCTCCACCGTGGTGTAGTATTTACACACCCAACTGTTTATTTCGGATGCATTATATGAGTTCTGTGTATCTGAAATATATGGGGTTTGTATCTGATTTATAAAGGTTTTGTGTATCGAAATTATATGGGTTATTTCTGAATCTGAATAATATGTGTTTTCTGTATCTGAAATATATAGGTTTAATGTATCTGAACTGTATGGGTTTTCGAAATCTGAATAAGTGTTTTCTGTATCTGAAATATATGGGATGGCTGTATCTGAACTATATGAGTTTTCTGTATCTAAAAGTATTTGTGCTTCTGTAACTGAATTATTAGTGTTTTCTGTATCTGAATTATTAGTGATTCTGTATCTGATTTATATGTGTTCTCTGTTACAAATAGTATGTTCACCAGACCCACACTACACGCAAGACAAACTCGACAAGACAAACCTGCGGACACGACAAACTTCATAGAAATTAATGAAACAAATGGATTAAAAATCCCTCAAACGAGGTTCATCTGCTTTCATTCATTGTACATAAAACTCTGTATTAAGGTAAATAAATGTAGTAAAGTTCAGATATTTGAGGAGAATTGTTGTTGATATATTTCTTATGTTTAATTAGATGATCGTGAAGGAGTAACAACACCTGCAACAGACGATGGTGAGAGACTTTTAAAAATATTCTATCTCAACCCCTACCTAAACATAAAATACATATTCCATCGAGTCTTGACGTGGTTTCGATTCAAAGGTTGTACATTACAAGGAATGGGATCACGCGGGTTTTCTCCGTGTCCACTGTTCCCCGCCCCTATGCTCAAGCGAATTATTGAAATAAAATCGAACCATTTATTAGTCCCAAAATGACTTAGTTTATGACGAGAGGATGTAACAACCCATGTGTCTCCCTCCCCCACTTGCTCTTTTTCTTGTTTTTTTTTTAGAAAGTATGTTAATAGACTTTTTATAAGAAAATCTTACTTTACAGGCGATGGTGAACCGGGAAGAACTGGACGGCCTGGCGAGCCAGGTATGTATAGAGTTCGTTGTAGAATACGCTGAAACCCCACTGTCAGGTTAAAATATCCCCACATTCCACACTGGATGGCGTTTGCCAGTCTACATTATCTCTGTGCGCATAACAGTAGGACTTAAAACCCCATGCCGTGTATTCTTATTCTTTTTCACAGGAAGACCATACTGGAAAACAGTATTGTTCTATGTCATATTTGATTAATTCGGGTTGTTGGGCGACTTAGTGGGATTACGCTTGCGCTTTAGATCATAAGGCCTGCTATTGGGTCAACTTAAAATGCTCAAAGTTTTTCAATATAATTTACAGACGTCTACATATCAGGACCAGAATTTGTCGAGAAGGGAAGTCCCGTAAAGTTGACCTGTACCGCCATCGGAATTCAAGATCCACCTGCAGGTTTGGAATGGTTCAGTAATGGACAGAAACTCAGACCCAACGATCGCACTTCGATAAATACGATAGTGGGTCCATCAGGTCGGGCTAGAACAAGTACCCTGGTTATTTCAAGAGCTGATGTATCTGATGCCGGTGATTACGTTTGTCGTTCGACCGATAAGCAAGTCACCATTACTAGAGTTTCGATTATAGACAGTAAGTAATCATTTATTAGTAGTTGAGAGAGAGAGAAAGAGAGAGAGAGAGAGAGAGGGGGGGAGAGTACGAATTAAGACAAAGATTGAGTTTGATATTTATTGTTTCAGGTGGAGACACAGGAACACGACCAGGTAGGAGAGACGTTTATATACATTCAATATATCGTAAATTATTATACTAACTGATTTACAACAAATTAATTTTTATACGCCCACTTTTAAATGTGGACGTCCGGATGTCTGTCCACAATTTGCTTATGCACACCTTACAATTTTTATCCGATTTTGACGAAACTTGAAATATAGGTCTATCTCCCAAAGATCTCGGTTCCTTTCGATATTGGCATGTATCGGGTCGTAACTTCATGGATTATTGTCCCTGATTGTACGAAAAATTACGTTTTTAACTTGTGGACACTCAAGAGGTCACAATTTTTGAACGCAGAGAAGTCACGAATTTTGTCTGATTTCGATGAAACTTAAAATATATGTTTATATATCGAAGATCTCAATTCCTTTGGATATTCGCACATGTCAGACCATAACTTACTATATTAGGGTCCCCTGATTGTACGAAAACACGCATTTTTAGCTTTTGGATCCGCTAGAGGTCACAATGTTTATCCAATTCTAAAATGCGTTTAAATATATCACCGTTGCACCATAATAAAGGTTGAATTCGAATTTCGAGAAAATCGAAAAGAAATGACCGACAAAATGCCGCTCCATGTGCGCAAATTGGGTAAAAGTATGTAATACGAATGTTGTGGACCCTCTAGGGGTCAAAAATATTATATTGTCCGATTGTGATGAAACTAAAAATAAATTTATACCCCAACGATCACATTCCCATTCGATATTCGCACATTTCAGACCATAACTTCCTGGATTATGGCCCGCGATTGTGCGACAAATGAGCGAAGTAATATTGTGTTTTCGAGATCGAAATGTTTTAATAGAAATACGTATAATTATGAATAGCCTTATTTATTCAAGCATGTCGTTGTGTTACATTACATTAAAGTCCACTTAAATTAAAGTCCACCAATAAGTATAACTCACCTCATATTGGAATAACTCATTACACTACATTAAAGTCCACTTAAATTAAAGTCCACCAATAAGGATAACTCCCCTCATAGTGGAATAACTCATTATACTACATGAAAGTCCACTTAAATTAAAGTCCCCCTAGAAAGAATAATCATTGTAAATAAATGCAGAATACAAATTCGGAATTTTATCATTCCGGAATTCGGAATTCGGAATAAATGCTCACATGTTTTTAATCTGGCCTCGAATTCACAAAGCATTCTCAGATTTAAGTTAAGAATTTACTCAAAATTGTTTGCCTATTTTAACTAAAATATAGCCCTTTATAAAACTTGTGTAGTTTTAATGTATCAAATACATCAATAATAAACTATGTGCAAAGTTTTGTGTTTCTGGATGAAAGATATTTCTCATAAACAGTGATTGAAAATTGAGTAAATTCTTAACTTAAGTCTGAGAATGCTTTGTGAACTCCGGGCCAGTTATTGTGTTAGCTAGTATACAGGTAGATGTATAGTGACGTAAGGTTACCTAGGTGTTCATCCTCGATGTGCCCAGTGGTATCATTCCATTCTACGCAACTAACCCATGGGTCCATTCACGGGGTATTGTAGTACTATAGGACTTCTTTCATGTTGCGTTTGTTTCTTCGCGATCGTAACAACACTACGGCATAAACTAGTTTTACAACTTTATTGCTAAGCTGTAATGGCTTGGCAGGTTCCTCGTTCTCAATAATAATGACTGCTAGGAACTTCTGAATAAGCTCTGGTCCAACTCAATCTACACCATAATTTATACCCCCTAATTTCTGCAGGTCTTCGATAACCTTGACGTTAATTTCCATCCCATATATGGAGTAAACCTCTTTATTTCCCATGACTAAGATAGGAGACATTACCTTATTTTGGTCTACCAACCATAGGTCAATAAACAGTCGGAATTTGATGGATAATTTGGCAATGATTATGATTTAACAAAAATATCACTGTTTTTTATGTATAACTATATATTCATGTTCATCAAGTACGTGTGATTTGACTCAATAGACAGAGTGAAGAAACAATTTTGCAAAGAACCAAACTTGTCTCAAGGACCAAAGTGTTGCATTATTCACGAATTCAAATTATAAAAGACAGATTACTTTGATTATGATTATGTTCACCAATACATCAGCTTGTACGTTTGATAATGAGACATTTTTCAAGAAATTTAGTATCAAAAGAGTGAAATGTACAGAAAATGATGTCCTTAAGGGAGGGTAATTTGACCCTGGGGTTAATGGAGTAGAACGGAACGATACCAGTGGGACTACCGAGGATAGGGGATGTAGGGCTCATTACATTCGCTTCGTGAACAGGCAAACCGACAATTAGATCATTTCGATTATTATTATGAAAGACAATCTCCAATACCAGCCTCTCCGTCTGCTGTTCTCTAGCAGTTGTGTCTCGAAAACTCCATACACCTTTTTATTTGACGAAAGACTGGACCACCTGGCATATAAGTAAGTATAATCGGAATAGTATAGTCATACAGTTTTCATATTATTTTAGATGGTGGCGAACCAGATAGACCAGATCGACCAGGTAGACCGGGACGCCCAGGTAATATATTATTACCATTCTTTATTTAATAAAGTGTTCTATAATGGGGTATTAATCATATGTTGACTTTAGTTTGCCAGCATTAAGAAATTGATCTACATGGGAACGGACGTAAATTTCCCCTTAATTCATATGAATTATTAACTAGACACCCAATGTTGAAATTATTACAATATCAAACATTATCCAATTATTTATTGTTTTAGATGATGATGATGATTATGAACGACCAGGTAGAACAGGTAAGTAGGTGTCTACTGGCTACCCGTGACATTGTAATTGTTATTGATGCATTAAGTTATATCGTTTTAGTGCTGTATTATTTTAGTATTTGTTTTGAAAATTAACGTCATGGCACATACTTTGATTTTCATAGGCTCAAATTGAATACCCTCGCACATATGCCCTATTTTAATTTTCTCATATACCCCTCCCCCCACCCCCCGTTTACCCTTCCTCTGTCTGTGGGGTTTTACCGAATTATTGCCCTTGTTATCAAAAGTATGTAACCAAAATCTGTATTTTATAGGTTTTTTGGTTTTTAAAGAAAAACCAGGGCGACTTAACCTGTAATCTATGTTATGTAAATTATATTTTAGATGACGGAGACCAAGATAGACGAGGTCGACCAGACAGGCGTAGACCAGGACGTCCAGGTAATTGGTATTCTAGATGTATGATCTTTAAGAATACAAACTAGATAATTATTGAATTAGGGCTTCTATTATTAATTGAATAGTTTATTTAATTAGGACTTCAATAGTTTATTTAATTAGGACTTCAATAGTTTATTTAATTAGGACTTCAATAGTTTATTTAATTAGGACTTCAATAGTTTATTAGAGCTTCTATTATTATTATTGGAATATCTCATTTAATTAGAGCTTCTTTAATAATTTGAATAGTTATTTTTTTTTTCAAATTATTTCTTCGATATTAGGACTTCTATAATTAGTTGAATAGGTTTTTTTTTCAAATTAGACATCAATTATTATTATCTGAATAGTTTATTTGAAAAGGGCTTCAGTTTGACTAACCTTGGTGTATGGCTTATGCTCGTCTTCATTAGCCAAGTCGCAGCAAAACAGTAGGACGTTAAACCCTATTTGATTTCATTTCCTTTTTATACCCCCACATGGAAATGTGTTCACATATTATCGTCACCCCCTACCGCCCGTCGCTTTGTCCATCCGTCCGTCGTCCACAATTTCTTATGAACACTCTAGAGAATACATTTATAATCTGATTGTTTTGAAGAAATTGAAATAGGTTATTTAAGTTAGTGAGATGAAGAATCCTATTTAATTTCAATGATTTACGTTAATTTCATCAGGAGTTATGGGCATTGTTTTACTTTATTACACGACAAATATTGAAATATTATCATGCGATCTGCATGATATTTATGTACATCCTTTGAATTAGTGAAACGAAGAAGGCCATTGAATTTCAGCAATTTCCGTTAATTACGTCTAGAGTTATGGCCCTTGTTTCACTTTATTGAACGCCGCGAACGCTATAACAACAACAGTTATCATCCGATCTGTATGATATTTATATGAATGATTCAAAATAGTGCAACAAAAAATCCTATTGAATTTCAGCAATTTATGTTATAACGTCCAGAGTTATGTCCCCTTTTGCCTTTTATTGAACCTCGTGAAATCTCGAATGACGAAAGTTATCATAATTCTGATCTGTATGAAATCATTTAGATTAGTGAAACGAAGAATCCTGTTGAATTTCAGCAATTTCCGTTAATTACTTCTCGAGTTATGACCCTTGTTTCGCTTTGTTACACTTTTTGAATGCTCCATCGGCAAAAGTTATCATCCTTCTGTTTGAAATTTTTACGCATCATGTAAATTAGTGAAACGAAAAAGCCTTCTGAATTTCAGCAATTTTCAATATTTACTTCCAGAGTTGTGGGCCTTGTTTTACTTTGTTGAACAATGTAAATGCTCGAACTTCAAGTGATCATCTGATCTGTATAAAATTTATATGCAGTATTTAAATGCCTCCCATTACCTACAAAAGATTTAATATGCGACAATCCATGTTGCCCATAGGACGATTTAGCTTCTGTGTTTGTATGTTTTGTTGCCTGGCAATCTATCTTTTTTTTTTTTTTAAAAATAAGGACTTTCATTATTATTTGGCTAGCTTATTTAATTTGATTTCTATTGTTTTTTTTAAATATCTCAGTTTAGGGTTTCTAATGAATCATTAACCATACACACAATGTTGAAATTATTACAATATCAATCATTATCCAATTATTTATTGTTTTAGATGATGATGATGATGATGATGAACGACCAGGTAGAACAGGTAAAAAATAGAAATATTTATTTTTGTCATATCTAAGACTGATCGATGAATTGTATTAATCTAATTTTATATGAAATGTATATGGATAATTTAAATTAGTAAAATGGTGATGCATATCGAATTTCAACAAATGTATGGGGTTATCGCCCCTGTTTTACTGTGTAGAACACCTTTGAATGCTCCAATGCCATAAGTTATTAGCTGATCTTCATGAATTAATGTCCGGAGTTATCGCATATGTTTCATTTTGAAGAATCCCGTGAATGTTCGAATGACAAAAATTATTATCTGATTTTCAAGAAATGTATCTTCATTATTTAAATTGTTGAAAGTGAGATGCCTATTGCATTTCAACAATTTTCGTTAATTAATTCTTGAATTATGGCCCTTATTCCACTTTGCAAGTCCTTGTAATTTGATGTTTTCGTATACTGGGTCTCCCTGTCTGCCCGTCCCTTCGTCTGTTTGTGTTTCTTAGGGGTTTTTTTGTTTTTAAAAATAAACAAAAAATGGGGATTTAAATTGTAATGTATGTTATGCAAATTTTATTTTAGATGACGGAGACCAAGACAGACCAGATCGTCCAGACAGACGTAGACCAGGACGTCCAGGTAATACAGCTTTGCAATTGGTATTCCAGATCTATGATCTTTAAGAATACAAACTAGATAATTATTAATTGAGTCACTTATTTAATTAGGAATTATATTGTTATTTGAATAGTTTATTTAATTATTACTTCAATAGTTTATTGAATTAGGACTTTAATAGTTTATTGAATTATAACTTCAATAGTTTATTGAATTAGGACTTCGATGGTTTATTGAATTAGGAAATGAAATGAAATGAAATGGAGTTTAACGTCCTACTGTTCTGCTCCTAACCTGGGCTAATGAAGACGGGCATACGCCATACAGTGTGCTATGAGGGAAATTTTGCCCGGACAGCGGCACTGCGGCCTACTCTTATATCGAATTCCAACTGCCAAGGGATCTTTTACGTGCACGCCAATTTGTACACGGGACCTTTGTTTTTCGTCCCATCCGAACGACTAGACAGCTTTCCTTGTCAGCCCCTCCATCCTGCATCACTGACAAGGGAGAACCACGCCGGAAAATCTGGATGAACTTTCTCGGCCAATGCAGGGATCGAACACCCGACCTCCAGGCTAGCGAGCTAGCGTCTTACCCACTTAGACACGTGATCCCCCGTATTGAATTAGGAATTTTATTATTATTATTTGACTATCTTTTTTAATTAGGGCCTCTTTACTAATTTGAATATCTCATCTAATTAGGACTTGTATTATTAATTAAATAGTTTATTTAATTAATAATACAAGTCCTAATTGAATAGTTTATTTAATTAGGACTTCTATTATTAATTGAATAGTTTATTTAATTAGGACTTCTATTATTAATTGAATAGTTTATTTAATTAGGACTTCTATTATTAATTGAATAGTTTGGGGTTTCTAATGAATTATTAACTAGACACACAATGTTGAAATTATTACAATATCAGTCATTATCCAATTATTTATTGTTATAGATGATGATGATGATTATGAACGACCAGGTAGAACAGGTAAAAAATAGAAATATTTATTTTTGTCATATCTAAGACTGATCGATGAATTGTATTAATCTAATTTTATATGCCCACATGTCGTCTCCGCTGTCCGTCGAAGAAACAATTTCTTGTGAACAATCTACACACTATACGATTTTTTTTAAATGTTTGTATTTATTTACATTAGTGATAGGATGAAGCATATTTGATTTCAACAATTCTGTATGTTTCGTCTGGAGTTATAGCCCTTGTTTTACTTTGTAGAACCTTATGTACGCTCTAATTACCAAAGTTATAATCCGATGTGTCTTATGCATTATTTAAATGATAGTGTTATAGCCAGTGTACGCTCTGAATACAAACGTTCTAACCCGATGTGTCCTATGCATTATTTAATTAATAAAAAAATTAGATTAGTAAAATGGAGATGCCTATCGAATTCAACAATGTCTGGAGTTATCGCCCTTGTTTCACTTTGTAAAACCCATGTGAATGCTCCAATGGCAAAAGTTATTATCTGATCGGTATGAAATGTATATGAATTATTTAAATTAGTAAAATGAAAATGCCTATCATTTGATCTGTATGAAATTGATATGCATTATTAGATATGCAATAAACTACTTGAAAATCGGTAGAAAAATACTTACTATTATATAAACACGATTTATTTATGCCCTCGCACATACTTTCATTTTCGTATGCCCTAATTTCAAATGTGTTCCTATATTGCAAGGACCCCGCCCTCCCATCTCTCTCTGTAACCGAAGTCAGAGTTTCGCAGTTTTCTTGTTATTTTCAAATGTGTTTTTATATGATTGCTATTTTAGATGACGGAGAAACAGGCAGACCAGGTCGACCAGACAGACGTAGACCAGGACGCACAGGTATTTTATACAGCTTTGCAATTAGTATTGCAGATCAATGATATTTCAGAATACAGAACAGATAATAATTATTTTAAAATCTTTTTTAATTACGACTTCTATTATTAATTTGATTATTTTTTTTTTAAATTAGGGATTAAATTATTATTTAAATACTTTATTTAATTAGGGCTTCTATTTCTATTTAAATATTAACGGAACACAAATTTTATGGGAACCAATCACTGGTTTTATTCTGAAAGCACGACTTTTCGACAAGTATCCGCATTATAGTTATCAAGCAAAATAACGATAATAATAGGATACTTATCGTGGGGACATCTCACTGTGCCCCCTGCTATTGTTCTCATGGGGGGGATTAATCAAGCAAGGGGATTATCAAATACAATGGTGTTAAAAGTATAGTCTGTTTTTTTAAACTACTAGGTTTAAACTAATTAACAACTTTATTCACAATAAATTTCATAAAAGTAACAACAAATACATGTATCAAACATAAATCATAACCCTACTAAATGTGATATGGCGTCAGTATATTCAATTGCACTTTTTACTCCATTTAACAGTTTGATTTTTAGATCATTAATAGATTATTCTACTCTTTTATATTTTCGTCTTTTAGGGGGCAATGGTCCCCCGGTATACGACTATTGTATTTTCAGTAAAAGTCTGCTGGTGCTATTGGGTATCGTATTTTTTACTCTGTACTTATACCCCAAATTAACTAAATTTTGACCTCCTTGAGAATTAGGAATAAACCCTATGCGAACTTGAGCCATTTTAAAAGATATAATGTAATTGGGGGTGACAACTATCCTTATATAATGATAGTGAGTTTCTAATCATATATTTGATTGATTTATGAGTACTGTCTGAATGAAAGGTAGGTGAATAATATTGAAGATACTCGTTAACCAATGACACGTGAACTTAACTTATATATTTTAATCATTAAAATAATTAAATTTTAACTAGGTGAACAGTACTAAAAGGGATACAGTCTATAATCCTTTGTTTACTTAAATTTTCACACCACTACCCTATAACACCAGTTGATTGGGGGGCACAGTGAGATTAAACCCTTATCGTAACGTCATGCTTTCAGAATAAAACCAGTGATTGTTTCCCACTAAAATTGTGTTCCGTTAATGTGTTTCCGAATCGGTAAATGCCACTTAAAGATTTTATTTAAATAGTTTATTTAATTGGGGATTCTATTAATATTTGAGTAGTTTAATTAATTAGGGCTTTTATTAGTATTTTTGCTTAGTATATTCCATTAGGGCTTCTATTATTATTTGAATAGTTTATTAAATTGGGGCTTAAATTATTTGAATTGTTTATATAATTAGGGCGTCCATGATTATTTCAATAGTTTATTCCATTATGGCTTCTATTATTATTTGAATAGTTTAGTGAATTAGGGCGTCTATTATTATTCAAATGTCTTATTTAATTGGTTTAAATATCTTTTTTAACTGGGTTTTTCTAATGAATTATTAACAAGACACAGAATGTTGAAATTATTGCGATATTAATCATCATCAAATTATTGCGATATTAATCATCATCAAATTATTGCGATATTAATCATCATCAAATTATTTATTGTTTTAGATGATAACTTGTAATAATATAATTTTATCATACATTAAAATGTGTTATATTGTTTTATAAATTGTTTTGAAATTTAATGTAAAAATAAATTAATGTTTTTTTTTTTGTTTTTTTTTTTTGGAGTAGTTTGTAATGATGTAGTAATAGTTATTATTAATTTACATTGTTATTATTTTCTTAGCATATTATTTGTTTTGAAACTGAGTCTAAAAATAAATGAATATATCTTGTTGTTATTGTTTTAGATGACCAAGAACCCGGATCACGCCCTGACACTGACGGTAATTATACATTGTTATTTCTACATTTGTTTTGCAAACGTTTCATACTTAACACTAAGAAACACTAAGGAAAAACCTTACAGTTTTTGATTTTCATTTACTATAAGGAATGCATAATTCGTCACATAGTTTTTCATCGTCTCTTTAGGGCAAGCAGATATAAGCAATTTAACTTGTTGATTGATCATAATATGGCCCAAAATATGACCTTTGTCACCATTTTTAAGCCAAGTTTGTTCAACTTTTGTCGCTCTTAAGTGATGTTTTTGGCTTCCTGACTTGCTTAGCTAGCTCTTAGGCTTTGTTTCAGCTATGGAGTCTAAATTTTAATTATGGTCACAAATGAGTGCTAATTAATTAGCTCTAAAGTAACATTAGTACAGCATTTTATGCTCCTAAGTAGTCATTTTGTGCAGTGAAACTCATAGAAATGGTGTTAGAAAGAAAAATAATCGGGACAAGACAATTTAATCAAATCCACTCAAACGTCACTATGTGACCCCAAATGTTACCTTTGACCTTTAAACCACTCTTAAGCAAATTTTGTTCAACTTTTGTCGCTCTTAAATGATATTTTTGGTTTCCTGACGTGGTTAGCTAGCTTTTAGACTTTGTTTCAGTCATGGACTCTAAATTTTAATTACAGTCACTAATTAGTGACCTTTGTCGCCTTAGAACCACTCTTAAGCAAGGTTTGTTCTACTTTTGTCGCTCTTAAGTGATATTTTTGGTTTCCTGACTTGGTTAGCTAGCTTTTAGGCTTTGTTTCAGTTATGGACTCTAAATTTTAATTACTGTCACTAATTAGTGCTAATTAATTAAGTTCTTGAGTAGCATTAGCACAACATTTTATGCTCTTAAGTCATGCATTTTGTTTCTTAGTGTTAAGTATGAAACGTTTGCAAGAAAATTGCGCATGGACATTGAATTTTAACTCCCAATAAATTTGGGAGGGTTAGGGGGAGCCCTCCCAGGTATATGCACAGGTTACAAAACTTAAGACTTGCCTTTCCAAAATGATCTAGGGGTAAAATATGTGTTGTAGACCTCAAACCTTTTGGACTCAATATTTTGATTAAACCTCACTGGGCTCCCGGACTAAGTCGGAGCAGAACAGTAGGACGTTAAACCACATTAATTAATTTCATTGATTTTAGATGACGGAGAACCCGGCAGACCAGTTCGACCAGGCAGGCCAGGCACAGGTAGACCAGTACGTCCAGGTACAGGTAGACCAGTACGTCTAGGTAATATAGCTATCCAATTAGCATGCCATATTCATGATTTTTTTAAGAATACAAACCAGTTAATGAATAGTGGGAGATAAGATAAGGAGAGGACAGTTCTGGCTATAAATAGATAGTGTAAAGGTAATTTGCTGAAAATTTCAGTCAAATTGAGCCGAGAACGAAGCGGGTGAAATTTTCGCATAGTCTCGGTCATCATTACTAAAATCATTAATATAAACATCACAGTCTCGATTATCCACTGTTTTGATTTAATTATCAATGGCCGTTAAGCGGCATATATTAATCTAATCCAGCCAACATCGAAGGCTAGCCTTGACATCGAGAGTTTATTATGGTCTGGATAAGTTAATTAATGTCTAATTGATAATTTAGATAACATTTCAGGCCTAAAGAAAGACTTGCATAATGCATGTTTAATTATAATAATATATATATATTTTTTTTTTTCAGGATCTCGAAGATCGGTAAGAAATTCTATATATTATAATTTGTTACGCTTATATGAATATCTAAAACTGTTTGGGTAAAAGAAAATAAATTCTAAGGTCATTCAGTGAAAGTGATATATAATAACAGAGAGCTTTATGGATAACTTTCACTAGGTTTATTAAAGATACATTATGGGAGATTCGGTAACGAGTTGGCAGTTCTCACTATAATAGTTAAAAACTAGATAATGTAAAGGCAATTTGGAGAAAATTTCATTCAAATTGATCCACTATGAACCGAGAACTAAGCGACTGAAATTCCCATAAGCCTCGGTCATCATTACTAAAGTCAGTACGATAAACAGCATAGTCTCGATTATCCATTTAATCGTTTAATCGAGAAGGAAAGTTATGCAGTAAATCGGCTTACAATCCACTAAAGATCGCAGGCTAGTGCTGCCATCTAGAGTTGATTATGGCCTGGATAGGTTAATAAATGTCTAATTAATAATTTAGATAAGATTTCAGGCCTAAAGAAAGACCTGCGATAGGCAGATTTAGCTCTTGCATAATGTATTTGTAACTGCAACGTTTCAATGGGGGTACTCTCACCGCTTTTAAGCGATGATACAATCTTACATCTTACAGCAGGTTATATACAAACAGGTAACAATATACTAATTAACATTTATTCTTGGCCAACATGTTTATAATGGCCGAGCGAGGTTCTCTTATATTATACATCATATTATATCAATATGGCCTGAAGCAAAGCCCAGCTTAACCGCAGCGGGGCCCTTATTCACAAAAACTTAAACTAAGATACAATCGAAATTTTAAGAAATACTGCAATTCGATTGGCTGACCAATATGCAAATTGGATATATGCAAATTGATTTTACTGGTCAGCCAATCGAATTGTAGTATTTCTTAAAATTTCGATTGTATCTTAGTTTAAGTTTTCGTGAATCCTTTCGATTGGCACGCATGGGTAACAGTACACCATTAAACGGTCTGTAATACAAGAATAATTACATATCTGATCACATACGAAATCTATTCAGTTCCGAATGGCATACAATGCGTGGAAATGACATATAACTTCACAGAGAAGGTGAAACTTTCATCATCTGGAATTTGAATTTTTTCTCTTTTTGCCATGAACCGCGGGTTCCCCTAAACCACGGGGCCTTGGGCCCCTCAGACCCATGCCTAAGCTGGGCTTTGGCCTGAAGAGGTTCAAGAGAACTGATGAAAACGTTAGCCGTAAACATGTGTTTATTTCTTTTTTCAACGTAAATTTATATATAAGTATGAAAATTAAAATGTTGAGGAAAGAAACACAGTATTATGCGGCTAGCGCTTTCAGTATAGAAATGAAATGAGATGAAATGGGGTTTAACGTCCTACTATTCTGCTCAGACTGGGCTAATGAAGACGGACATACGCTATACAGTGTGCTATGAGGGCAATTTTGCCTAGACAGCGGCTCTACAGCCGAATTCCAACTGCTAAGGCATCTTTCACGTGCACGCCAATGTGCACACGCGACCCCTTTTTCTCGTCCCACCCGAATGACTAAACAGCTGTCCTTGTCAGGCCCCTCCGTCTAGCACAACCGACAACGCGGAAACCCCGCCGGAAAATCTCGATAAACTTTCCGGGTCAATACCGGGATCGGACCCACGAACTCCAGGATAGGGAGCCATTTCATTTCTGTACAGTGTCTAATAATCGAATACATATCGTATATAGGGTAAGTACAAGCTTGAAACAAGATTCGGACCTATAAATGCGCCCAAATAACTTTCCAGTTTTCAGGTTTTTATTTATTTATTTTTTTATTTTCATTAGGGTCCTGTCATCGATAGTTACAATGTGGATTCTAACGTTGATTATCGTTTCGCAACAACAACTGTTGTAAATGATGTCGTTAACGAAGATGTCAAACCACAAGATGTGATGTTCTCAGTGAGCATGCCTAGTAAAGCCATGGTTACAAATTTCACTGTGTGAGTACTTTCGTTTTCGTCCTTCGCGAAAGTGAACAACTGCCACGTGTCAAACTTTCGTGCTGGCAATGGTGAAAGTTAGAAATTAACTTTTTTGGCCACCAATATAAACGACCCTTAATTATCATTTTGTCAATGAACGTGGTATTATGGACGTCTGAACTAAATTGATGTAGAGTCACTTGGTGGCCATCACCTAAAAAATACATTCATTTGACGTCACTGGCTTAAAGGTGAGCTGTATTTGTCTCTGATAACAACAGATCTCACGAGCTATTTTCGAGGAACCCTGTTCTAGTTCAAGTTAAAAGACGACATTTTGAGACAAGGGATGTATCGTCACGTGGATAATTTTAAAAACGTCATCGTAGACTCGATTGACTACCTGACGAAATTTAGTGAGTATTGCGACTGGTTGACGGAATCTAGAGCAATGAACTTTGGTCCCAATTATTTAATTCCCATCCGTTTCTCACCTTTGTATTATTATATCTACGAAAAGAGAAGAGGTTTGCCCCTGAGTTAGAAATTGGAATCAGATCAGTTATGTAAAAATCTCGCTTACAAACATGGACGTTACAGACTTTAGGCATACTTAGTCATATTTTCGACGTTACAGGCACCTGTGGTGAACTTTGACCAAGTGTATCTTTCATTCTATATAATCTGTCCCCCATAAAATCCCACCTCACTAATAAAATATTTGGCGGGAGAATAACTTCTATTGTCTATACCTCTGTCCATGATCTTTTACAGACAAACAAGTGAGGTTGTTGACGGTGAAATTATATCCAGCAAATACGTAACAAGACCTCTTCGTTTGGCACCAAGACGACCATATAAAGGTTACGGACGTTTTATTACTAGGTTAGTAGTTTCATCTTTGTTATATATTCCTGCGCTTTTTATTAGACCTGGTTTTATCCCCATTTTAAATTTCGTATTTAAACCAGTTTTTGTTGTTGTTTTTGGTATCTAACGCCGCTTCCACCCAGGGTGGGAACCACGGTGGCTAAGTGGGTAAGACGCTGGCTCGCTAACCTGGTGGTCGCGTGTTCGATTACCGAATTGGCCGAGAAAGTTCATCGGGATTTTTCGGCGTGGTTTCCCCTTATGAGTGGTGCAGGATGGGACGAAATCCAAGGAGCCGTGTACATATTGGCGTGCAGGTAAAAGATCCATTGGCAGTAGGCTATAGTGCCGCTGTCTGGGCAAAACTTCCCTCATAGCACAGTGTATAGCGTAATTTGTATGATTTGCGAACGGGTTGCCAAAGCACTAGAAAACTCTCTGAATACAGACCACATCATACAACAGCCAGCAACAAAAGTCTTTAGACGTTTGGAGAATATAGGTTAATTGTTTTCATGAATATTTTTAGAACCCAGGGCCAAAACCGTTACTATGCAAGAGAATCAGTCCCAGCTGGAAACAGGGTGAGGTTTACACTAACTTATAGAAACCTTTTACCAAGAACTAATGGACGTTACAATAATCCCATCTACATTACTCCAGAACATCCAGTCAGAAAACTACGTATTGGTAGCAGAGTTACCGAACCTAGACCTGTTACTTCTTCGGGTTTGTCATTACCCAACGATCCTGTCTTTACAGGTAGGTATTACAAGCGCATGATCCTTATTGCTCTTGATAACGCATTTGTTACTGTTTATGTTATTATCCGTAGCCAGAACCATTTCACATACTAAACAATCATATCACGAAAAAATCAATCGCCCAACATGGCGCCTATCCTAAATTATTTACATTAGCTTCTATTAACAGATATTTATCTGAGCTAATAACACATATCCACAAATAAGTTCATTACGATCTTATAATCAGAAGATTCTTGTTGCTTCACTTTCGAAATTAAAAACGGGAGCCACGGTGGCTAAGTGGAAGTCGCGTGTTCGATCCCTGCATTGGTCGAAAAAGTTCATCGGGATTTTTCGACGTGGTTTCCCTAAGTGGGTAAGACGCTGGCTCGCTAGCCTGGAGGTCGGGTGTTCAATCCCTGCATTGGCCGAGAAAGTTCATTCAGATTTTCCGGCGTGGTTTCCCCTTGTCAGTGATGCAGGATGGAGGGCCTGACACGGACAGCTGTCTAGTCGTTCGGATGGGACGAAAAACCGAGGTCCCGTGTACACATTGGAGTGCACGTAAAAGATCCCTTGGCAGTTGGAATTTGATATAAGAGTAGGCCGTAGCGCTGCTGCCCGGGCAAAATTTCCCTCATAGCACACTGTATGGCGTATGCCCGTCTTCATTAGCCCAGGTTAGGAGCAGAACAGTAGGACGTTAAACCCCATTTCATTTCATTTCAATTCATTTCTTAAATGTTAATACAGCCCTTTGTTATTATTGTTATTCTTATTGCAAAATGCAAGTCACTTTATGTACATATTGATTCCTCTTGTATATAAGTAATATGCGGGTTTGTGTATGGGAGGTTTACATTGTTAAAATTTTGTTTTCAGATGGTACAACCACTAGAGATGTCGAACAGGACGGAGATATACAATCAAGCATAGTTAACTATGAGAGAGATTTCCAAATTACACCAGGTTCTCCACCAATAAATGGACAGATTGGTCACACGTATTCTTTACCAGACACCCCTGAAGGTGGAGATATCTTGGTAAGATGACGGTTAAAAAGAGAGAGAGAGATAGATAGAGAGAGAGAGAGAGGGGGAGGGGGTAACGACCACCAGAAATATAACTAAGTCATTTTATGGTTCAATTTTATTTCAATAATTCGCTTGCACTGAGAGGAAATCGGAGGGCGGGCTACCCTGCTCCTTGCAACGTACATGCGTGGAATCAGACTACTGGTTAGGACCAACTATATGAGTCTTAAAATGACTTGACTATTCTCGATAAGTTTTAAACAATCACAACAAAAACAATGTTATCTAATCAAATATGTGCATCATTTTAAGTATAATTGTGAATTCTTAGACATTTTATTTTCATTTTTTAGACAACAGGAGATTCTTTTGTGCATTACTTTTCACCAAGTATCTCTCAGCCTGCCCCTAAAGATGTCCTCTTCGTTCTTGACGTCAGCGGATCAATGGCAGACAACAATAGACTGAACCAAGTGAGGAGAGCAATGGGTCCTATTTTGGATAGCATGGGCCCCGATGATAAATATAACGTGATGACCTTCTCGGATCGAACAACCGTACTAAATCCAGGTCCCTTAGTTTCAACAGACAAAACACCGGACATGAAGAGACTTCTGAAAGATGTTCAGCCAACTGGAGGTAAATTCATACTCATTTTAAAAGATACATTATGGGAGATTAGATAAAGAGCTGACAGTTCTCGCTATAATAGTTAAAAACTAGATAATGTAAAGGGAATTTGTTGAAAATATCAGTCAAATTGGTCCACTATGAACCGATATATCAGCTTTGTAAATTTCCGCCTAGTCTCGTTCATCATACTAAAGTTAGTACGTTAAAAAGCATAGTCTCGATTATCCATTGTTTTGATTTAATTATCAATGAGCGTTTGCAGCATATAGGAATCTAATCCAGTCGACATCGAAGGCTAGCCTTGACATGAGAGTTGATTATGGTCTGGATAAGTTAATTAATGACTAATTAATAATTTAGATAAGATTTCAGGCCTAAAGAAAGACCTGCGATGGCAGATTTAGCTCTTGCATAATGCATGTTTAAAAGTTTTGATAGTAAATATAATCCACGACTCGATATGAGCATTGACGCGATATGAATTTTTAAAGATTGAGAAACCGAAATAACGCGTTGTTTGGAGTAATCACTGCCTATACATATGTCCACCTTTGTTCATTGTAAACATAAGATTTAAATATTTTACATGTTTGGAGAGGACTTATATAGCTAGGCCTTTGTCTGTTGTTCAATCCAGTTCAGTTTATTGAATAAAATATTGTTTAAAAAACAGAGATAAACAATGGCCATTATTTCCGACCATTGAAAGGATCAGATCATTATGATTAAAGTCGGATTACTGGTAACATATTATTCATGTGGCTTAGACTAAATGCTATTTAAATTATATTTCAGACACCGACATCGCACAAGGTGTAACAGACGGAATCAACTACTTGAATCGGTATTCTGAAAACCCAAAGAATTCAGTTATTTTCTTCTTGACTGACGGTCACGATACATCCAGGGAGCCCAACAGACGAACAATTTTGAACAATATACGAAATAGAAATACCAATAGGGTTCCAATCTACACCATTGCCTTTGGTAAAGGAGCTGACTATCCTTTCGCCAGAACTTTGGCAGCTGAAAATAATGGAAAGTCAACAAGAATCGACCCTGGTCGAACAGCACCAGCAGCCATTACCAACTTCTATAAGACAATCTCATCTCGATCCATCTCTAACGTGGACTTTGCGTATCTAGAAAATGGACGAGATCCTATCAAATACGATTCAACACGCCAATATTCCAGGGACTATTACCCCGGTAAAGAAATTGTTGTCATTGGTAAAGTTCGTAACACACAAGGAGACAGAACTTACGTAGATGGCGTTGTTAAAGGTACTTCCTCTACAGGTCCATATGAGGTGAAAACCAGATCTTATCCAAAAAGAAGAACTTCTCGTCCTGATGTAGACGGAATTCGCTCGTATGTCGAAACCGAGAATCTTCTTAAGCGTTATGGTCAAGTTCTTGAACCAACAGAGAAACGTCTGGTAACGAATCAAATTACGACCGTATCCAGAAACGTAAGCATAGATATTATATACTCCTAAGGCTATTTGATACATTCGCCACAGTGTGCATATTCGTCATATAACACTGCACAAGTTTTCGTAGTGCTCTATGATTTGCAAAGGCATTTAACTCGAACAAATATTTCAGTAAAAAAAATTATCACATGGTTTTAGATAGTGTCATCTCATTACTGCTCAAGGATGAGGTTGATCACTGCAAATTTCAGGTTGATCACTGAGGAAAACTGCATACATTGTTCTTTTTAAAGCGCTCTGTAGAATCTGTCAATCTTATTTAGGGGTTCCATGATAGCATAACTGTAACTGTTCTATCATTTTTATACGCCCACATGGAAATGTGGACGTATATTGACGTCGCCCTCGTCCGTCTGCCCGTCCGTCCGTCGTCCACAATTTCTTGTGAACACTCTAACTCCAAAAGTTATTATCCGATTGTTTTAAGATATACATGTATGTGGTTTACGTCTAGAGTTATGGCCCTTGTTTCATTTTGTTGAACCTTGTGAACGCTATTACGCCAAAAATTATTATCCGATCTTTGTGGAATTGATATGCATTATTTGAATTAGGGAAACGATGAAACCTATTGAATTTCAGCAATTTCCGTTTATTACGTCTAGCATAATGGCCCATGTTTCACTTTATTAAACCTCGTGAACGCTCTAACGCCAAAAGTTATCATCCGATCTTTCCGCTCGGACGATTTAGCTGCTGTGGCCGTATGTTTCGTTGCCTGGCAACCTATCTTGTTATACGCACTCCTTATCTCATTTTTTGTGGAAGCCGTGATGCCCCGTTGAGAATGACTTGCTAACCAAGAGCGCTTTTTATCCAAGTGAGTTCCTCGGGATTTTCGAGGTTCACTTCCCCTTTCCAAAACGGTGCAGGATTAGACGAAAAATCTAGGTACCGTGTATGACATTAGCAGCACGTTAAAAATCCCTGGACTGCTGGAAATCGAACGTAACGCTGCTGCCCAGGCCAAATTGTATTGTATATGCCCATCTTCATTAGGAGAGTTGGTGCAAAAACATCGGACGTTAACTGCAATAGATCATTTAGAGCCATGGTGGCTCAGTGAGTAAGACGTAGGCTCGCTAACCTGGAGATCCCATGTCTGATGCCTGCATTGACTGAGAAAGTTCATCGTGCCCCCAACCCCCCTTGTCAGTGGCGCAGTACAGAGGGTCTGCCAACGTGTAGTTGTTTGGATGGTACGAAAAACGAGGTCCCGCAGACACATTGACGTGCACGTAAAAGATCCCGTGTATGACAGTGGCGCAGTACAGAGGGTCTGCCAACGTGTAGTTGTTTGGATGGTACGAAAAACGAGGTCCCGCGGACACATTGACGTGCACGTAAAAGATCCCGTGTATGACATTAGCAGCACGTTAAAAATCCCCTGACTGCTGGAAATCGAACGTAACGCTGCTGCCCAGGCCAAATTGTATTGTATATGCCCATCTTCATTAGGAGAGTTGGTGCAATAGATCATTTAGAGCCATGGTGGCTCAGTGAGTAAGACGTAGGCTCGCTAACCTGGAGATCCCATGTCTGATGCCTGCATTGACTGAGAAAGTTCATCGTGCCCCCAACCCCCCTTGTCAGTGGCGCAGTACAGAGGGTCTGCCAACGTGTAGTTGTTTGGATGGTACGAAAAACGAGGTCCCGCGGACACATTGACGTGCACGTAAAAGATCCCGTGTATGACAGTGGCGCAGTACAGAGGGTCTGCCAACGTGTAGTTGTTTGGATGGTACGAAAAACGAGGTCCCGCGGACACATTGACGTGCACGTAAAAGATCCCTTTGTAGATGGAATTCGATATAAGAGTAAGCCGTTGCGCCGCTGTCCGAAACAAAAATCCCTCATAGCACACTGCACGGCTATACCAGTCTTCATTAGCCGAGTTGGTGCAAACACGTCCGACGTTAAACCCCATTTCGTTTCATTTATCCCTATGTTTAACACTCGCTACAACTTCTCATAGCTAAAACCCCATTTATTGTTGTTTTATATTGTAGAATAACTATGTAACTCCGTTGACCATCATGCTAGAGGATCCACCAGCAGATGATGATGATAGAGCTTTATCTCTAGATCTGATCAGATCTTATAACTTGCGACCAAGGCCACCCATTACCACAGAAGATGGTAAGTGAACGCTACTATCTATATTCAAGCCCACTGTTCGTCATTTAAATTCTTTGAAGAATATCCGTTCTAAGATGGGAGCCATGGTGGTTAAATGGGTAAGACGCTGGCTCGCTAGCCTGGAGGTCGCGTGGCCGAGAAAGTTCATCGAGATTTTCCGACGTGGTTTCCCCTTGTCAGTGGTGCAGGAAAGAGGGCCTGACAAGGACAGTTGTCTTTTCGTTCTGATGGGATACATTGGCGCGCACGTAAAAGATCCCTTGGCAGTTTGAATTCGATATAAGAGTAGACCATAGTATCGCTTGCTGTCCGGGCAAAATTTATGCTGAAACTGAAATGAAATGAAATGGTGATTAACGTCCTACTGTTCTGCTCCGACTGGGCTAATGAAGACTGGCATAAGCCATAGTGTGTGTTATGAGGGAAATTTTGCCCGATCAACGGCACTACGGCCTACTCTTATATCTTTTACGTGCACGCTAATGTGTACATGGGACCTCGGTTTTGTTTTACGTCTCATCCGAACGACTAGACAGCAGTCGTTGTCACTGACAAGGGGAAACAACGCCGGAAACCCGATGAGCTCTCTCGGCCAACACCGGGAGCGAGCCCGCGACCTCCATCTTGCGAGCTAGTGCCTTACTCGCTTGGCCACCGTGACTCCTCAGTTCATGATAATTTTGTAATCAATGATGGTAAATGAACCAGCATGAATTGTTTGGCCTAGTATATAACGCATTAATATATATTTATTGTTTAGAGTAGTATATAACGCATTGATTCCTATATTTACCGTTAAGCGTATGATAAAACGCATTAATTCCTATATTTACTGTTTAGTGTATTATATATATAACGCATTAATTCCTATATTTACTGTTTAGCGTATGATTGAACGCATTAATTCCTATATTGTTTTTTTTTTTAGATTCTGGAGAGGACACCAGCCCAAACCGAATCTCCAGCGAAGGTAAGATCATGCTACCAAACATTGTCCCATATCCAACTATACTAAACTTAGGCTGTCTATCTATACTTAGCTCCGCTTGAAAACAGACGCTAAGCTAGTTGACGGGCATTTTAAATCCTAATTCTACGATTTTAGTCGAAAACACCAACTATTCTTCGAGAATGTTGTTGAGTACTTATTCTGAAAAAGTATATTTAGTCTTTGTGTGTATGACAGATGTGAGACGGAGTAGAACCGCATTACAAAACAATGTACTAATTTTTAAATATAGCGGCCATTTAGGACGAGATCTATTCTCGAGGAATGCAGTAAACGGATCTTTGTGTGCAGAGTTATGGCAGCCATATTAATTGTAGGGCCTCGGCGGTAGTCGAGTAGGGAATGGGCATTACCCGAACAATACTGCCAGTAATCGAGCTTAAATTGTTAGAATTTCTCATTTAATATGCATTTTATTTCAAAATTTAGTATGATTAAAAGCTGATTAATGAAATGCAAATACTTATTGCCGACTACACTGGCGTCCGGATCCAGTCACTTGATTTGATCTCAGTTACTTATTTCTTGCAATGTCTGTGTAGTTGTCTTGTCCGCAGGTTTGTCTTATCGATTTTGTTTTGTGTGTAGTGTGGTTCTCCTCCACTTACTATTAATATCATTTACAGCATCAGATAGATCTTTTGCAACCGTGTTCATATAATTCCTTCGTTTCTTCTTTTAGGTGGAAGAGATCCACATTTTGTTATTAAATCACCCAAACTTGAGCATCCTCTATGTTTCAATATTCCTGGTAATTCTATGGATGTTGTACAGCTGATTAAAGATCCTGAATCAGGTAATTATGTATTGTTAGTTGGGTGTCTTGGTGAGTAGGATTCTGACTCTCTATTGAGCAAGTTCCGGGTTCGCATCTGGTCCTTGCCGCGAAGATTCCTCGGAATTTTCCAGATTGGTTTCCCCTTCCAGTCATAAGATCTGTCATTGAGTCGACGGTGTGGTTTCGAATCCCCGGTTGTACGTGACAAGGAGTAGGGTCACCTGTCCAACCCCATGGGTTTTCTCCGGAACCTTTGGTTTCCTTCCACTGCTAAAGACCCTTACACGCAAACGATTTATTGAAATAAAATTGAACCACATGTTAGTCCCAAAATGACCTAGTTTGTGTCAAGATGACGTTAAAACCCATTTCTGTCTCTCTCTCTCTCGCTAACCTAGGTGGGTTTTCTAAATAGCACTGTGCCAAGCAATTGATGTTAGGTGTTAAAATGGCCGACTTAACTTAGGAATAAAACAGCATTTCCAATCCTTTATTCGTGATATTAAATATTAATTTCAGGACATCGAATAAATATTCAAATCCACAAAGATCCTTCAAGACCTAGGCTGTTCATCACACAAATAGGAATAGTATGCCACGACTTTACTCTGAAAGTCAAACATCATTATTTGTATATCAACGATAAACTATTCCACTGGAACGCCACCAAAACCCGAGTGTTCAAGGATGCGGAAATTCAGATGTATGGAGGGGATGACCTTGCTGTCAAATTGAAGGATGGTCTTATTGTATATATACAAAAACATGTAAATAATGGTGGCTATTTCTTAAATATTGGTATTGAAAGAGAAGAACTATTGTCTAACAAAACAACCGGTGTATTAGGTAAGTAATAGTTTTATTGAGGGGATTACGATAATGAGTGTCTCCGTGATTAAGACGCTGTTCGATCCTGGTGTTGGCGGAGAAAGGTCTTGGTGCAGGGCCGGGGGACTGACAAGGAGCAGATGGGAAGAAAACCCGAGGTCTCGTGTTCGATCCTGGTGTTGACGGAGAAAGTTCTAGTCGTTCGGATGGGACTAAAAAACCAAGACCCAATGTTCGATCCCTGTGTTCACAGAGAACGCTCGTGGTGCAGGGCCGGAGGGCCTGGCAAGGAACACGGTCTAGTACTTAGGGTGGGACGAAAAACCGAGGCCCCACTGCTTGTAAAAGATCCCTTGGCAGTTGGAGATCAATTAGCCTGATTATTCACAAACGTTAGAGGTTAAACACCATTATATTTCCAGTTACTTGGGGGGGGGGGGGAATGATTAACGGATGTGCGTTGCATTATAAGGTCTGTCATTTAGTCAAGTGGAATGGTTTCGATTCCCCGATTGTGCGTGTCAAGGAGTAGCGTGGCCTGTCCGCCCCGCCCCCCGGTTTCCCCCCACTGCCAAAGACCCCTACGCGCAGCCGTTCTGACCCATAAGTTAGTCCAAAAATGACATAGTTGGTGTCGAGTGGTCGTTAAACCCCATTTCGCCCCTCTCTTATTTGTCGCACATTTGATTGCTGATGAAAATGGCTTTGACGATCCGTTATATGTCGATTTTTGAATTTTGTCACAATATATCAACTAAAATATTAAAGCGATAATATTTCCATTTACTTACTATTTTCTAGGTATTTTCTTGAAGCAAGTTACAAGCAAAGCACCCGAACATTACCGTAAGAGAACCAGACTTATTTCAACCAAGTTTGATGGCTACACCTTAAACTCGAAAGCACGGCTTGTGAAAAGAATACATCCATTAACGCATGATAAAATATTCTGTTGGTCACTGCCCTCTGACGGTGATATTATGAAAGTAGCACAAATGTTCAAAGTTAAGAAAATATTAAGTTAGTTTCATATAGATTTATATATAGTCCTTTATTGTCTCAGTTTAAAATTTGTTTTTTTTATAAAGTATACTAAATATAGTCAATGGGTAGCATTATTACAGATCGGTAGGGCCAGAGTCAAGCATAGAGAGTGTCTGGCCTACGGCGGCCATGGTCACAATTTTGTTACCATGTTTAACAGATCGACATTATAAAACATTAAAAATAAGATGATGAGTGTTAGTGAAAACGAAAAGAATGGTAGTTCTGGTACTCCCAGTGGTAATTACAAATTTAAATTATCTTCCCTTGATCATTTCGTTGGCCACGTAGGTTGTTTCTACGAACCAATCAAAAACAGATTACATATCAGTCTTAGCGGCGTCATTGTTTATGTTCGCCACGATACAGCAGCTTGTGCGTTCCATTATGAGAAAGTTTGAAAGAAATTTAATATCAAAAGAGTTACATGCATACAAAAAGAGCTTAGTTTTAATAAAATGCGAGTTACTTCCCTTTGCCCACTCGCTTTCCATTTATGGAATTACATGTATTTGATATGTCGATAAAAACAGCACAATTATCAAAGGTGGTAATTTGACTCTGTCCCATCGTGGATGTACCTAGGTATTAGTGGAGTAGAAAGGAACCATATCACCTGGGATACCGAGGATGAGACGTAGTGACACCGGGACGGGAATAATTTAAGAATTTGTAATTGCGTAGCACTAAGCATGGACAAGAGGCCATTTTGTTACTGTATGACAACATAAGACAATAGTTGACCAGACACTCTCTCTGTACGTGGCTCTGGGTTGGGCTATTTGAAATGGTACAGAGTTGTATATAGTTTTATGAATGAATAGCTTTGACAATATACATCATATACACTAGAATATCTTAGGTCAAAGTTTATGTAACAATGTATATACTGTAAAGATCTTTTAATAAAACCAAATGATATATTATAGCCTTGTCTTGGTCCAAGTTTTATGAATACCGAGTAGCAACGGTGGTTCAGAGGGGGAGCGGGGTGGTCGCGCTTCGAGCTCTAGCTGACAGCTCACCCGTGGCTTGCGGCAGTGGTTTGGATACTTGGTGGGAGCTTATATGGCTTGGAGAAAGGGGCGCCTTCTCAATCTGGTGGGTTTACTCCGGTTTCGTGCGCTAAGAATAATAAAATAAGACAACCTGCCTGGGTATCACTATAGGTGGAAACGGACATTAAACACTAATAGGTAGTTCAGAGAGATTAGAAAAGTGGTCTACAGTTTTATATAATGGATTACATTTGTCTGGGATGCATAGTAAAATGAAATGGGGTTGAACGTCCTACTGTTCTGCTCCGAACTGGGCTAATGAAGACGGGCATACGCCATACAGTGTGCTATGAGGGAAGTTTTGCCCGGACTGCTGTACTACGGCCTACTCTTATATCGAATTCCAACTGTTAAGGGATCTTTTACGGGCACGCCAATGTGTACACGGGGCCTCGGTTTTTCGTCCCATCCGAACGACTAGACAGCTGTCCTTGTCCGGCCCTCCGTTCTGCATCACTGACAAGGGAGAACCACGCCGGAAAATCTGGATGTACTTTCTCTGCCAATGCAGGGACCGTACAATTGACCTCCAGACCAAACTTTTCTAGAGTAAAACTATTCAATTGTTTTTCAGATAACTAGTATCATTATGTATAACAATCGTTGTGAAAATAAATCGGAGAGATTTCGATTTGACAAATTATACGTATTTTTGAAACAGGTTTCAAAGTGTGTTGGTTCTGTTATGCAAGATCATTTACGACGTTCCAAAGTAAAAGTTCGGTGCTAAGACCCCTAAAGACAAATTTTAAATGTTCCTATTATTAATTAGAACAGGTTTCGCTTTAGTTTTTACGATGACATTTTATTGCTTTAAATCTTCCTAGTGCAAAAACGGTAAATTTCACCTTTTGACCTCCAGGGTCACTAAGACTAAAGGTGAATTTAGCAAGTTTACATTTTTATTGAAAGTGTGATTAATTTCGATCATTTTCAGCTTCTTTTTCATAATACAAGAATGACTGTGCATTCACTTTCAGTGCAAATCAACTTGTTTGACTCCGAATATCTTGAAAACGCTCCAACGACGGACTGATTACCACTCGGCATCCTATTCTACGCAAAATTTTACTCTATAAAGGTTGGGTCTGGTTTTGTGCCCATTTGGTGGACCCCCCCCCCCCCGCGCTGAGCTTCCGGTCTACCAGACTAGTGATGCACAGTGGCTCAGGGAGTAAGGCACTTGGTAAATAACCAGATCGAACTTCTTGTACTCTAGTTCAACTTGTGGTCGCGACCAGTCATACCATACGATGATAAAGCACGGTCGGGATAGTTCAGAGTAGTCGATCCGGTGTAGGATAACAAAGTTCCTAGGGATTTTCTAGCGTGGTTCCCGTGGTCAGTGAAATGAAATGGGGTTTAACGTCCTACTGTTCTGCTCGGACTGGGATAATCAAGATGAGCATACACCATACAGTGTCCTATGAGGGAAACTTTCCCCGTACAGCGGCGCTATGGCATACTCTTATATCGAATTCCAACTGTCAGGGGTTCTTTTACATGCACGGCAATGTGTACACAGGACCTTGGTTTTGCGTGCCATACGAACGACTGACTATACGTTGTCCGTTTCCAGATGTAGGATTTAAGACGAATTTCATAAAATTAACCAAAATGTAGGTTTTAAGCCAAGGAATCATACTCCAGAGCAATCAAATTGTCCACCAGGATGGTCTCATCTAATTTGTAGGTAATTTAAAGGACCCGGAGAAAACCCACGAGGATGGACAGACGAACCTACTCCTTGTCACGTACAAGCGAAATGAAATGGAGGTTAAACGTCCTACTTTTTTGTTCCTAAACTGGGCTAATGAAGATGGGCATACGCCATACTGTGTGCTATGAGGAACATTTTGCTCGGGTAGCGGTGCTACGGCCTACTCTTATATCGAATTCCAACTGCCAAGGGATGTTTTACGTGCACACAAATGTGTACACGGGACCGCAGTTTTTCGTCCCATCCGAACGACTAGACAGCTGTCTTTGTCAGGCCTTCTGTCCTGCATCACTGACAAGGGGAAACCACGCTGGAAAATCCTGATGAGCGAGCAATCGAAGCCACGCCACTTGACTCCAATGACGGGCGTTAACCATTCAGCCACCAACCCCCTATTAACTATACGAGTTCCTAATTAACGCCATTCTTTCATCTGGGCCACCAGAGCTAATAAGTTGACGTTGGAAAATTTGAACAGTGCCATTAACAAAATTCTAATCAATAACAAAGTTCTTGATTTAAAACGGAAAGAAAAATAGATTTATTCATTTATTAAATAGACAAAATAATCTAAGCCCATCAATATAGAGATAAAATATCATAGAAAAACTGAAAGTTACACCAAAGGTAAACATTTGTATTTATAAATAATTTAAGCTCATCAATATAGAGATAAAGTATTATAAACTGAACGTTATACCATGGGTTAACATATAATTTAAACCTATCAATAAGATCAAATATAGTAAACCTATAAGTTACGCCAAAGGTTAACATTTGTATTTATAAATAATTTAAGCCCATCAATAAGATAAAATATAATAAACCTGAAAGTTCCATTTGTATTTATAAATAATTTAAGCCCAGCATTATAGAGATAAAACCTGAAAGCTACACCAATGGTTATCATTTGTATTTATAAAATATATATATGGACGATTAAAGAGAACATTCGAGACATATTTAAAAAATATCTACATTGAAATGGGTAATAGCTTGTTCACTTTAATCGTATGTGTTGGCTAATTATAGTTAATAAGAGCTATTGTCGAATAATAAAGAAACAAGAGTAAACAGTTGGTGTAAACAGCATAAAGAAAAAAACTGTTCGTTAAACAGTCAATGGGTCAATGGGGTAAACAGTCAATGGGGTAAACAGAAAGACATAACCATGCTGTTGTTGAGTAAAACAGCTGAAGAGAGTAAAACAGTCCTGGGATGAGTATAAAAGGGGCTTGACTAACGCAAACAGTATTAACTTAATACAGACGCAAGACCTACAGCTAACCGATATGGAAAATCAAAATATGCAACACTAGTTCCTGATAATGTTGTCAAATATATTCCAATCAGCTTTCAAAAGGTACACATCATCTGATGTACAGTCGAGCAGAGTTAATGAGATACCCGGACAGACATTATTTGCTGGTAATGTCTCTGATAGTAACACGACTCTGTTCTTTGGAGATGTTATAAATTTAATACCATTTGCATTGTCAATGTAGCATGTATTTCTAAGTAATATGATCGAGCTAAACAATCATTTAGTCATTATGACCAGATCTTGCTAGGAAAATCACACTCATTTCCACCATTTATGAGATGATTTAATGGCAAATAGAAACATTCATTGTTCAATCACATTAGACAGATCTATATTTCAAACAATCTAAGGGTTTGTTTTGTTTTTATCTTGGTTAAGTTTTAATACGCTGTCACAATAAGCACATTTAAAACATATTTCAAAAATACAAATGTTTATCTTTGGAAATATTAAACCAATATGAATGTCTACAATCGGAAATATTTAACCAATATAATTGGAAATATTTTACCAATACGAATGTCTATAATCAGAAATATTTTACCAATACGAATGTCTATAATCGGAAATATTTTACCAATACTAATGTCTGTAATCGGAAATATTTTACCAATACGAATGTCTATAATTGGAAATATTTTACCAATATGAATGTCTATAATTGGAAATATTTTACCAATATGAATGTTTATAATTGAAAAATTAAACATTTACAGATAACTAAGGCTTAAGATGGGGCGACATGGAGAATAGCACATGGGAGACATTTCATTTTAGGCATGAAACTGTCTGGTATTAAAAAAAAAAATAAATACAAAAATAAATTAAATGTCTGTAAGACAGAACAATGCACCAAGTTAATTCTTATAATATTTATATACAATATTGTCATTAGGAAAGAATGTACAATGCAAAAAATGGTATTCCATTAAATAAGGGATTAATGTAGCTCTGTGGGAATTCATTATCTGCCAACTTCATAAAATCTTCCGATATCTATTTTTCTTTCTGATCTTCTAAAATGCCCTTAAAACGGGGAAAATAAACCAGATTATATTACCATAGTAATGGCCATGTAACAGTCAAATCAAAGGGAGGTTACCCTCATTTAATAAATGGCAGAATTTTGATCAAGATGTTCCATTTTGTTTATCGTTTTAGTTTTTCCGATAGAGCTACGTTGGTAACTAAGAATTTGATATTAAATTTATTCTTGCACTGGTTAATGATTAGACTGTTACATAATAAACAAAAGAACATGAAAAGAATCATCGAACTTAACAACCCCCGACACCTTTAACTACAATACGATAATAACATAAATTGAGTAGAACACATTATGTACAATTGAATTATGAAATTGAAAATTATATATACAAGAATTTCCCCAGATTAAACATGTTAAATGTGAGTAACAAGTAAAGCCAGAACAACTGTAGCACTAACAGAAAGACCCAGGGATAGCGGTACAAGGTTGGATTTCTTTTCACGTATAACTTCGCATTCGCCCTATAATAAACAAAATCAAAAATCACCAGAGCTAGTTTGGTTTTTGTTTGTAAACGGAAGGTGGATCGTTCATCTGGTCGAAAACCCAAAGAGAAAAATGGGGTTTAACGTCCACTAGACACAAACTGTGCCATTTCGATACTAATATATCATTCAATTTTATTTCAATATTTCGCTGGCGTGTAGAGGTCTTTAGTGGGATGAAACCGTAAGACCATGGTAACACATGAGGTTGGACAGGCAACCCTACTCCTTGTCACGCTCAAGCGAGGAATCGAAACCACGCCACTTGACTCAATGACAAACCTTGTGATTTCCGAGACTTAATCCACGCTAAACTTCACTCAAATTTGTTAGCATTTAATTAATAAGGACGGTCGATAATCTTCAATCAGATCAACAACAGGTGGCGCTGCATTGTTTATATCGTCTGCCGGGGTTGAAGAATTTTATCAAACTTTATTTCAATATATCTTTATAAATACTGCAAGTATTTGAACAATTTCTTGAAAAGAAATTCATTTTAGAGATTCAGCCATCATAATAGTGTAGCCTATGGGGGATGCAAAATACAGCAAATAATGATCACCAACTTTAACATACAGTACGAGATAGAGAAATGGGGTCTTTAGCCGCGAGAGGAAACCAGGGGACCCGGAGAAAACCCACGGGGTTGGACAGGCGACCCTACCCCTCGTACGAGATAGAGAAATGGGGTCTTTAGCCGCGAGAGGAAACCAGGGGACCCCGAGAAAACCCACGGGGTTGGACAGGCGACCCTACCCCTTGTCACGAGCAAGCAGGGAATCGAAAAACACGTCAATTGACTCAATGACAGACCTTATGATTTCACGCGCAAGCATCAAACCACTAGACCACCCAACCCAACATACAGTGTAGCACCTTACCTTACAAGAGACGAGATGAACCTGACCAGAATTTAAATAGTTCTTCTTTTTACTCTGTTTCTTGGCGTTGGTGATATTCCAAGTTACCTGTACGAGAAAACGTATGGCAATTAGAAATAGGTCATCTTTGTTTCTATTTGCATGCAGTTTTTATAGCAAGGTGTATACACGTTTCATGTAACACAAGCCAAATAAAAAGAAATATGTCTGGATATGATTTAAAACGGACTACTTAAAAATGGGCTATGAATGGATTACAGATGAACGGAATACAAATATGTTCTGCTAATGAAGATGGGCATACGCCATACAGTGTGTTCTGTGTGGGGGTGGGGGTGTGCACGAGCAGCTGCGTTTCCACCCATCCTTCAAATTCCAACTGTCCAGCGTTCTTTTACGTGCACGCCAACGTTTACACGGGGCTTCAGTTCTTCGTCCATCCTAACGACTATACGCTGACCATTGCCAGGCTCTCTGTCCAGCACTATTAGATGAACAGGAACGGTGACACCTCCAGCTTAGCGAGCCATCGCAGCTCCCGGACTGCAAATAAATGGAATAAATGGCCTACAAATGGACAACAAATGGGTTCGCGGGTATGTAACTTGCACTAAGGTATATAATACAGCTGCAAGAAAAGCAATGGTGTTTAAAGGCCTACTTTTCAGTTGTGTAACTTGCACAGGCCTGTAACACACTATCATGACCTAAAATGGGGTTAAACGGCACACTTTCCAATTTTGTAACATGCTCTACTGCCAGGGTACAAAAGAGACTGCCACGGACACACGCTGGATTTCGGAATACACGAGTTTCCCTGCCAGATCCTCAGTGGGGAAACCCAGGCCGGAAAATCCCGAGGACCTTTCTCGGTCAATTACGCCATGATGCAAAAATACTCGAGGTACGACACGGTTCATTCTTATAGTACGATTACACCATAGCAGGGCAGTATGTAGGATTTTAAAAGCGGGGGTGCAGCAGAGTGGTGGGGCGCCAAAAAATTGCCCAAGTTACCCATTGGAATGTGGGCGCCCTTAAAACCGATCGACTGATCAGTGCCTTAAGAGCATTACTGTGTGATCATAATCAAGTGTATTATTTTATAATTGAAAAGTTATCGAATTTTTTTTTTTGGTGGGGGGGGGGGGGGCGCCATTTCTCGGGGCGCCATATTTTTCTGAAACCCCGCTAGATACGGCCCTGACCATAGACATTTCAAAAAATTAATCCACAACATTTCACTGAAAGAGATGGGGTTTAACGTCCACTCGACATAAACTAGGTCATTTCAGGACTAACATATGGTTCAATTTTAACCGAAGGGCCCGGAGAAAACCCACGATGTTGGACAGGCGACCCTACTTGTCACGTACAAGCGAGAAATCGATACGACGCCACTTGACTATAAAAGACCTTGTAACCCAACGCGCACACGTTAACCATTCGGCCACACCCACCCTCCTAAACATGTCAGTGGAACCGGTTTACAAGATAACGCTAACCCACACGTACCTCTTGTTTAGATGCTTTTAGAACTTCTTCCAGTGTTACAATGGCTTCTCCAACATAATCATCACTTACCACGTCATCTTTGTCAAACACCGTTATCTATAAATATTTTTATATACAACATAATGACGTACAAATTCAATTTAACAATGGCGGTTATGGAAGTAACTGAGAAATTAAATGGGGTTTAACGTTCTACTGTTCTGCTCCGAATCGATTAATGAAGGCGGCATATACATGTATATGGCATACAGTTTGTTATGAGGAACATTTTACTCGGACAGTGGCGTTACGACCTACTCTAATTTTGAATTCCAATTGTCAAGGGATCTTTTACGTGTACGCCAATTTGTACATGCAACTTCGGTTTTCCGTCCAATCCAAACGACTATACGTTGTCCCTTTATCGTCGTACTATATACAACAAAATGACTCCTTTTACGAATGCCGGATATAAAAGCAGCTGACAAATTAAGTGTGTAGTTATACATATATTTTAACAGTGTTTCCCAAACTGTAGACACACGATCTTGTTTTCTTTATCTGTAATAACGCGCATTTCTCGGCAATCAAATTTTAACGGGTTGTAATCGATTTATAAAAGTAACCTTTTGCCTAGTATATAGTTTATTCTTCTTGTAACCAGATACAGGTAGAGGGTGGATAACTGACTTTATTCCGGTTACTATTATAAAACTTCAAGTAACTTGAATAGATACAAAAAATGAGGTTTAGCGTCAACTCGACACAAACTAGGTAATTTCGGGACTAACATATGGTTCGGTTATTTTCATTCCATTAATTCGCTTGCGCGTAAGGGTCTTTAGCAGGGGGTGGAAACCGGAGGAAACCCACGAAGATGGACAGGCGACCCTACTCCTTGTGACATAGAAGCGGGGATTTGAAACCACGCCACTTGATTCAATGACAAACGAATTGAAAAATTAAATGTAATTGCTTTAAAAATTGATACCTTTATTTGTTTATTTTTGTCTCCATTCCACAACGACAATAAAGGTACACTGAATGGTTTCCATGATGGGTCCAACGTATTCTGAATTACCTGTAAATAGAGTAAAATAAGTTGAGTTTAATTATATATTAAAGTTATTTAACACAAGCTAAATACCGTATCCAGATAAATAACCACTGGTTCTTTGGAGTGTATTCCAATATGGGCGGAGGGAGGTGGGGTGGTGAAAGGTTAAAGTTACTAATTAAGTAATCATACCGACAAGCTTTTTATTTAATTACTCTTTAGACACAACCAAGACCTATCTTACAGAGAGTGTTGTTGAAAACCCCGAGATTGGTGGTTATTGGAGCCCGTTAGAGCCGGGGGGCTATATGCCAAATCTATTTGATATCCCTTTCACTACTAATATACATAGAACACTTGTCTGAAATTTCAAATGAAATGTAGTTTAACGTCCTAGTTCCTTTCACTAACTGGGCTAATGAAGACGGTTATGCACCATGAAGTGTGCTACGAGGCAAATTTTGCCAGGCCAGTAGCGCTACGATCTACTCGTATTCCGAATTCGAATTTCCCCGAGATTTTACATGCATGCCAACGACAAGACCGTCCTACACCGGGATTAAATGCCTTACTAGGTTTTGCCAGCACCTCACACACTTTGCACCCGTGGCTCAACTAAAATTTTAACAACATATTTATAGCAAGTCTAAAGCAAGTGTACATTCCTAGTAGGAAAGTGATTTTTCTGTAAAATAAAAACATTCAAGGCATTTATGATAAAAGATTAGGTTTACCTCAGTTTTATGTAAAACTTGCCATTTGCCTTCTTGATTCTGTTTCATCAAGGTCAAGTAAGGGTCAGATTTACCAATAACATCCTGAAACAATATTATTTTACTTATAAAACAAACTAGGTCATTTCTAGACTAATATGGCAGTTCTATCACATATCGCAATGTTAAAATTTTATCTGGAATGTGTTTAACCAGTTCTATCACATCGCTTTGTTAAAATTATATCTAGAATGTGTTTAACCAGTTTTATCACATCGCTTTGTTAATTTTATCTGGAATGTGTTTAACCAGTTCAATCACATAACGCTTTGTTAAAAGTATATCTGGAATGTGTTTTACCAGTTTTATCACATATCGCTATGTCAAATTATATCTGGAATGTGTTTAACCAGTTCTATCACATATCGCTTTGTTAAAATTATATCTGGAATGTGTTTAACTAGTTTTATCACATCGCTTTGTTAAAATTTTATCTGGGACGTGTTTAACCAGTTCTATCACATATCGCTTTGTTAAAATTATATCTGGAATGTGTTTAGCAAGTTCTATCACATTTCGCTATGTTAAAATTATATCTGGAATGTGTTTAACCAGTTCTATCACATATCACTATGTTAAAATTATATCTGGAATATGTTTAACCAGTTCTATCATATCGCTTTGTTAAAATTATATCTGGAATGTGTTTAACCAGTTTTATCACATCGCTTTGTTAAAATTTTATCTGGAATGTGTTTAACCAGTTCTATCACATCGCTTTGTTAAAATTATATCTGGAACAAGTTTAACCAGTTCTATCACATATCGCTTTGTTAAAATTATATCTGGAATGTGTTAACCGGCAGTTCTATCATATAACGCTTTGTTGAAATTATATATGGAAGTGTTTAACCAGTTGCATCACATAACGCTGTGTTAAAATTAAATCTGAATTATATGTTTAACCAGTTCTATCATATATCACTTTGTCAAATTATATCTGGAATCTGTTTAACCAGTTCTATCATATATCACTATGTCAAATTATATCTGGAATGTGTTTAACCAATATGTAATATTGGTGGATATCAACATTTGTACTTGAATATATACATACCTTGCTATCAAGCCGGGACGCTTTAAAAGTCAGCTGAACGTAATCTTTAGCACTTTCATCTGGTTTTACCTGAAAATCAAACCAAATTCACTTTGTTACATTGATAGCTTCCATGCATGGAAACAATATTTTTATTCCGATTTGTATGGACAAGGTATAATTATTAGAATATAAATTAAATTACCTAACCCTAGAAATGGCCTTTTATCCTTCGAAATTTAAACATACATTATGCAAGAGCAAAATCCGATTATTGCAAGTCTTAATTTAGGCTTCAGATGTTATAGAAATTATAAATTAGATCTTTATTTAAACAACAAGCCCAAAATCAACTCTGTAGACCCACGGATGGCTCGGCTACAGCTCGGATTTAAATAGGATTTCACTTATCAATTAATTCAAATATGGCGCATCCTGATGAGAATACGTCAGTTAGATCGAGGCTAAATGATAGAGTGTACTTAGCGAGGCCGCTGTAGAGCGTTTCCGCATGCCATTGAAAACTTTACTTGATATTCGAGATATGTAGGTGGAGTTAACGCCTGTCAATCAAACGATCAGCCACGGTGAAGGCACATTTCACTACCATTTCTAGTCAAATATTACAACGATGATAACTATGTTCAGAATAAAGTAATTTGACTGAAATTTTCAAAATATTCTTCTTTCATCTTCTACTTTTGAACCGTTATAGCAAGAATGGCCAATTCTCTGTAAAAATCTCCCATAATGTATCTTTAACTGCCTGCCTCTTACTTTGTTTACATTACAATAGCTCTTTAATTTCTAAACTATAAGTTACCCTACCTTCTCAGTCGATGCCGATTTCTGTTTTACTTTTGATGGATCATTCTAGAAATAACGATATTTTATGTTTATTTTATATACTGAAAGACTGCACAACACACGACAAAAACAGGGTGATGACAAAACAAATTAAAACATCAGAATGGAACGGGTTTAACGTCTCTTCAAACAAATTTGAGACTAACATCACGGTACTTTTTATTTCTATAGTTACATGTGCATCACAAAATCGAACATTTTGCCAGAGTAACGCTGTTTTCCCCCCACTCTACTTCCAACGAATGATGGCCGTTTTTCGTCCCATGTAAACCACTAGGCACACTTTGCTCGTGAGACTGACGAGAACTACCAGTGACCAGCGAAGGTAGAAGGTATATTTGATAATGCCGGTGAGGTTTGCAATTAGTTCCCGAATTATCTTGTCTATACCCTTGTTCTAGTTGAAGCGGCAAGCTATTGCTGCGATTATCAAGTTTTAATCATACAGTGGAAATAGTAAGAGCAGGGGGGAGGCACCACAAACAAGCAATTACAAAAGACAAACCCACGGACACGACACAATATACAGACACCACAAACAACAACCGTATATATCAGATCAAGTGAGTGGATCCGGGAGCTAGCCGTAAGCGCGAGAGCGAGCGAGCGAGCGAGAGAGAGAGAGAGATGGGCTTTAACGTCCACTCAACACAAACTAAGTAATTTCGGGACTAACACAAGTTCAATTTTATTTCAATAATTCGCTTGTGCGTAGGGGTCTTAAACAGTGGGAGGAAACCGGAGGACCCGGAGAAAACCCACGAGGTTGGACAGGCGACCCTACTCCTTTTCACGTACAACTGGGGATTCGAAACCACGCCTATTGACTCAATGACAGGCCTTATGATACAGCATGTTCTCCTCTAGCGTCCACTGCACTCTACAGTCGGGCCGGCAATAACACAGGCTTCACTTAAAATGTAAAAAAAAACATGGAAATACAAGCAAGACGTAATGCGACAGGTGTTAACAGTGCTGGTCTTCTGAAAGCGATTCTGCCAGTTGACGTCATGAGTGCGTATGCCAAAACGTTTAACAATAATAAGGGCGATAATCCGGATATAATTTTGGAAAACTCTAAAATTAATAAATAAATGAAATCCGGGTTATCGGAACTGTTAAGCGACTATTTCCACGCGGCTTTTAAAAATATCTCGATTAGACATGTTTAATGAGGCTGTGTCGTCATATTTGGACATTGCTTATTTAAACCCATTTTTACCAAAATCCCCACCCCTGTGAAATCTTTGACAACTCTTAATGGTGCTTACTTCTTTAACAGAAAAAGTCGTGTTCTTTGAGATGGTTTTCTGTAAAACAAATTAATAAATTAGAAAATGTGTGGAGCTAGAGCCATGGTATTTTCAATTTGAAGGGAAGCAATTACAATTTAGGGCTGTGTTTCTCGAAATCTTAACTAAAGATAAAATCCAAATTTTAGTAGATACTTCAATTTTGATTGGCTAAGCACTAAAATCGAATATTATCCAATCAAATTACTAAAATTTGGATTTTATCTTAGTTAATTTCGTGAAACAGGCCCCTGATCTCAATTTAGCTAGCAATGAAACCTTTGTTTCCATTTTGACAGCACGGCCTGAATGGCCACCCAGTTTTGTGTCGGCAATGGGTAATGGTAATGATAACTGACATTACTTAGAATTTCATAGTACAACCCAATACATTTTCCTTGGGAGTCAGGGTGGCTCAGTGAGTAAGACGTTGGCTCGTTAATCTGAAAGTTCGGTGTTCGATATCTGCGTTGCCGGAGACAGTTCATCGGGATTTTGCGGCGTGGTTCCCCCTTGTCAGTGGTGCAGGGCAGACAGCCTGATAAGGGATAACGTATAGTCGTTCGGATGGGACGAAAACCGAGGTCCCGTGTACACATTGGCGTGCATGAAAGAACCCTTGACAGTTGGAATTCGAAATATGAGTAGGCCATAGCGCCGCGCTCGGGGCAAAATTTCCCTCATAGCACACTGTATGGCGTATGCCCGACTTCATTAGCCCCGTCGGAGAAGAATAGGACGTTAAACACCATTTCATTTCATTTACATATTCCTTGGTTCAACATCTTGGATTTATATTTAAAGCAATGACATGTAGTTTAATGTCTTGGTTTTCTGTCTGCCCAAATGAAGCCACGAACATTATCGCACGTCAATGTAGTGTGCTGTGGAGGACATTTGGACTGGCCAGCGAGGATACCGCCTACTCATCGAATTCCAACTGTCAAAGGTTCTTGGGTGTGTACGCCTACGAGGAGATTACAGGTGGAGAATCAAGGGGCTGTTGTTGTGATCGGATATGGGGTTATCGATTTCAGGGGTGGAAATCAAGAGGCTATCGTGATCGAATATGGGGCTAGCGCCTAACGGCCCCCATATATTTCTATCAAAAATAAAGCACATATGAATGATTTACCTTAGGAGTTTCTGATTTCTTGTCGGTTTTCTGTAACAGAAGGAAATTTTGATTATTATATTACTGACCTATAATCATACACCTGTAAACATCAGTTGATATAAATTAAATGAAATAGGGTTTAAGGTACTACTGCGCTGCTCCGAACTGGGCTACAGAAGACGGGCATATGCCATACAGTGTGCTATGAGGTAAATTGTGCCCGGGCAGTGGCGCTACGACCTACTCTTATACCGAATTGCTACTGCTAAGGGATATTTTACGTGCACGCCATTCGAAGTTGATATAAAAATGTTCAGAGCGTTTGCCCATCATGTAAAACGGGACATATATCGAGATCCCCCAAAAAACGTGTGTGGTAATTTTAAACAGAATGTTTACTAACAAACTATTTACCTCAGCTGGTTTTGATTTTGACGGTGTATTTGACGGCACTGCTGCAGGACCACTCTGAATTATAAAAAAGGAATCAAATAATATATTTTACGTCTCTATACCACAATACTTCGGTTGCTTCGACTCTATCAAAGTAATAAACTGTGGTCTAATGTCATACTTCGACTTGGCTAATGTAGACGGGCATACGCTATACAGTGTGCTATGAGGGAAATTTTGCCTGGACAGCGGCACTATGACCTACTCTTATATCGAATTTCAACTGCCAAAGGATCTTTTACGTTCACGCTAATTTGTACACGGGACCTTGGGTTTTCGTCCCATCCGGTTGGCTAGACAGCTGTCCTTGTCAGGCCTTATTTCCTGTACCACTAACAGAGAGAGAAATAGGGTTCAACGTCCACTCGATACAAACTAGGTCATTTCGGGACTAACATATGGTTTAAGTTTATTTCAATAATTCGCTTGTGCGTAGGGGTCTTTACCAGTGGGAGGAAACTGGAGGACACTACTCCTTGTCACGTACAACCAGGAATTCAAAACCACGCCAGTTGACTCAATGACAGGCCTTATGATAGAGCGCGCACATGCTAACTATTCGGCTATCCACCCCCCCCCCCCCCCAAAAATAAATAAATAAAATACTTTCCATTTTAATACTTGTGTTTGTAGTGCGAGTATGGGGGTATACGTGTACAACAATGTGTACACACGCAGACCTCAGTTTTTCGTCCCAACCGATAGACAGGGCACCGTTCTCGTCAGCTTGAAATACCGAAGGTTCTTCTCGGATTACTATAGTTGGAGATTTCCAGAATTAAGAGTGCTACCTCCACGCAAATTAAGATCTCATATCAGATGACATAATTACACGGGTTCAAGATCTGGGTTTATTACTAGTCCGATTTAAAATGTGTCATATTTAGTAGAATACCATATCGCCCATATCTTATTTTTAAGTTGTAAATACTAAATACCTTATTTCTAGGTGTAAATACAATACTAAATACCTTGTATCTGGTACATACTAAATGGTCAATATCTTATTTCTATGTGGTAAATACTAAATACCTTGTATCTGGTACATACTAAATGGTCAATATCTTATTTCTATTTGGTAAATACTAAATACATTATTTCTAGGTGGTAAATACTAAATGGTAAATACCTTATTTCTAAGTGGTTAATACTAAATACCTTGTTTCTAGGTGGTAAAGCATCTGGTGTAATGCCTAACATAGAAGGATCTTCATCAGAGTCAGTTTCACCCATTACATATTCTTGACTATCTGTTGATTCTAAACCAGGCTATATATGGATATAATATGATTCGATTTAAAGGGGTATTATGGACAATTAGCAAGAGAGCTGACAGTCCAAATGATACTGACGTCCAAAAGAAAGTATACACACTAAAAGTATAACTAAGTTTTGTTTAGATTAAAAACATTTGATAAAGCATTACTAGGTTTGTCTCTTGCGTCCAAACTCAACATTTCTAAACCAAATAAAAATGTGAAACAAATTGACATTCTACCCTAATACCGTATACCATGGACAAACGACTTTGGTTGATGCAGCACAAAATGCACAGTGTATACTTTCTTTTGGACGTTAGTATATAATAGTTGAAAGCTAGATAATGTAAAGGGAATATGCTGAAAAATTTCAGTCAACTTGCGCCACTCTGAACCGAGATATTAGCGATTGAATTTTAGGGTTTGCCTCGATCCCCTTTTGAATGAGCCTTGAGCAGTTGATCGAGTTCAAGTCCAGTGAAAATCCCGACACGTAAGATGGCATCGAAATCATAAGATGGTCACAGATCAATCATGCTAACGTTTACATTTCCTAACCTGTCCTTGGCTCAAATAGAAATTAACTGTTGGAAATCAAATGCTACGTTGCTAGGTAAACAAAACCAAATGAAATGGGGTTTAATGTCCTACTGTTCTGCTCCGACTGGGCTAATGAAGACGGGCATACGCCATACAGTGTGGTATAAGGTAAATTGTGCCCGGAAATCGGCGCTACGACCTACTCTTATACCGAATTCCAACTGCCAAGGGATCTTTTACGTGCACGCCAATGTGTAAACGGGACTCCGTTTTTCGTCCAATCCTAACGACTAGACAGCTGTCCTTGTCAGAACCTTTTCGCACCACTAACAAGGAGAAAACACGCCGGAAACAAAACCAGACCTCATAATCTGGGTCTTCATCACTCATGTACTGCGATAAATCTAATTTTCTTAAATGATCCATGTAAGTTTGTTCTTCTTGATCATCTGTAGAATCATCAGACAGAATATCATCAAACTTCCTTTTCTTCTCACCATCATCAGATTTATTGGGACTGCAATCTGACAAAATATTAAACATCATCTCAGGTCATATTTGTAAATATAACACGAGAGTTGTCCAGAAACTCGGATTTCGAAAAAAATAGAGACTGCAACGGCATATCTGGAGTTTTCAAAATTGTCAGTTTTGAAATTGGGTTTAATGTCCTACTGTTCCACCTCGACTAGGCTAATGAAGCTGGGCGTACGCTATACAATGTGCTACGAGGGATATTTTAGCCGGATAATGGCGCTACGACCTACTCTAATTTCGAATTCCAAGTATCAAGTGTTCTTTTAGGTGCAAGCCAATGTGTACACGGGACCTCGGTTTTTTATCCAATCCAAACGACTATACATTGTCCCTTGCCAGGCCATCCGCCCTGCACCACTGACGAAAGGAATCTGCGCTGGAAAATACCGAAGAACTTTCTCGACGAACACCGGATGCATCCCAAGAAATCCTTAACAGCGATACAGCGTCTTACTCATACAAGCACCGCAGTTTCTAGTGGAATATGAAATCGCGAGAATCTATTAAAACTAACCTTTCAGACTGGGATCAATATCTTTAATGAAACATTTTGGTCCGAAGAAAGGAAGAATGCGATCTAAACCAAGGAAATGTATAGCGGTCTTACTCCATGATTTAATAGTTGATGGTCGAATGCGTTTCCTTGGTGATACCTGTAACAAATCAATGAGATAATATTCAAACTTAATTTCACCGGAAAAACATTAACATTAGAGTTTCATAGAAAAAAACTTTGCTTTTATTCAGGGCAAAACGTTAACACTGCAGACACATAGAAAAAAGAAAGAAAGAATGGGGTTTAACGTCCACCCGACACAAACTAGGTCATTTCAGGACTAAAATATGGTTCAATTTTATTTCAATAATTCGCTTGCGCGTAGGGGTCTTTAGCGGTGGAAGGAAACCGGAGGACCCGGAGAAAACCCACTAGGTTGGACAGGTGACCCTACTCCTTGTCACCTACAACCGGGAAATCGAAACCACGCCAGTTGACTCAATGACAGACTTTATTATACAGCGCGCACGTGCTAACCATTCGGACATCCAACACCCCACATAGAAAAAAACCTTGGCATTTATTTAAAGATACATTATGGGAGATTTTTATAGAGAGTTGGCCATTCTTGCTATAACAGTTCAAAAGTAGATGATGAAAGAAGAATATATTGAAAATGTCAGTCAAATTACTTTATTCTGAACATAGTTATCATCGTTGTAATATTTGACTAGAAATGGTAGTGAAATGTGCCTTCACCTTGGCCGATCGTTTGATTGACAGGCGTTAACTCCACCTACATATCTCGATTATCAAGTAAAGTTTTCAATGGCATGCGGAAACACTCTACAGCGGCCTCGCTAAGTACTCTATCATTTAGCCTCGATCTAACTGACGTATTCTCATCAGGGTGCGCCATATTTGAATTTATCAATAAGTGAAATCCTATTTAAATCCGAGCTGTAGCCGAGCCATCCGTGGGTCTACAGAGTTGATTTTGGACTTGTTGTTTAAATAAAGATCTCATTTATAATTTCTATAACATCTGAAGCCTAAATTAAGACTTCCAATAATCAGATTTTACTCTTGCATAATGTATGTTTAAGGCAGTCCGAGATTTCACAAGTCCAACTAAAGCTGACGATAAAACTTTGCCTATTGTATTGATCAGGTCTGAAATTCCCAGCTACTACTATTTAAGAGGTCTACACAACAGATAACAGCTTACTCTCTACTAAAAAGACAGACTTAGCCCATTGTTTGACAATTCTTCCATCCATAAAAAAAAATAAATACCTTGCGTCTACTTTTGATTTCCGCGGCCTTTTCTGGTGACAAGTTCTGTTTTTGTCGATCTTGTTCCTCAGCGTCAGCCAGCAAAAGATGGAGCCACAGATGTATCGTCTGTAGAAATCTCGTCTGAAATAGAAAGGGGATTTAACGTCCACTCGAGGTCATTTCGGGACTAACGCATGGTTCAATTTTTATTTCAATGATTCGCTTGGGCGAATGGGAGGAAACCGGAGGAACTCGGAGAAAACCCACGAGGTTGAACAGGCGACTCTACTCCTTGTCACGTACAACCGGGGAATCGACACCACGCCAGTTGACTCAATGACAGACTTTATGATACAGCACGCACGTGCTAACCATTCAGCCATCCAACCCCGCCCCCACTCGACAATCTAGGACATTTTGGGACTTACATATGCAATTGTATTTCAATAATTCACTGGAACCGGAGGAAACCAACAGGGGGTGAGCAGGCGACCCTACTGCTTGTCACGTATAACCTTGGTATCGAAATCATGCCATTGGACTCAATCACAGACATTATGATGTAGATCACTAGAATTTTTATTAAAGCGATCATAATGTGATCGCCTTCTTGGTGTCATGAACGTAGGGGATATTTCCTTGGTACCTGGAAGCCAAATTTGAAAAATCTGGACGCTGGAAACGGATACAGATGAAGATACTTACTGTAACTTCTAATGGGAGTACAATGGTAAACTCTACAAATGTACAAGTTGTCTCTCGCAGACTGTTACGTCTCTAAAAAATAAAAGCATTTTACGGAAAATAAATTTTAGTTTAAAATAGAGCATTCTAAATGACCGTCCCCATCCCCGAGAAAAAAAACGAAAAAAAGATTACCGAGACTCGGTTATCAATATACCACATTGTATCAGACACCCCGATTATGCTACCCGCTTTTAGTGGACATAAACGGAGTTCCAATTTATGATGTGAGGGATTAGCCAATGAAACGGTCTGTTACGACGAGTGTTTGGCCTTGAGATGCAAGTTTGGATAAACGACTAGAAACGTCAACGATGATTTATTAATCAATGTTTGACGTAATAAACTCAAAAGCCGGTCGTATGACATCCGACGCGACCTTCCACTAATACTGGTCAGATATTTATGTAGTGGAGGCCGTTGAAAGTATAAAAAATGAAACGAAATATAGATCTGTATTTTAATCAGATAGGTTGTTGTGTGTACACAGTCTAAAATATATTAAAGTTTTTATGAGATGGTTGTGATACAAAACAGATACAGAATAATGGACAGAACCCATTTGATCACCTCTCCCTCAAGGTCGATCAGAGCGAGATAAAATTCAAAGATTAGTACTAGTACCTTTTTCTTGTCCGGGCTCTTAAGTGGACTCTTGAGAATACGCTTGTCTGTTTTATGTTTAGATTTTGGCGGTTCCTGTGGCTGAGTATTGGTAGCATAGTATACGGAAGACAGCACCCTGTCAGAAACATTAGAAGCTGCGCCTATACCCCATACTACCACTTTACCAGGCGAAGTTTGAAGGACAACTTGAGTTTTCTTTAAACCCCAATCAATTACTCTACTCTTGGTTTTACGGAACATCTGAAACAAAAAAAAAATTAATACAAATCACCTAGATATGTTAATGATGCATTATGTAAGATTTTGAGAAAGGATTGATCGTTCTTGCTATAATAGTTCAAAAAAAGATAAGAAATTAATTTATTGACAATTTCAGTCAAATGATTTTATCCTGGGTCAAGTTTTGAGTGCTTGAAGTTTCGAAAATGTAGTCGAGATTGTAAAACAGTTCTACCATAAGTCTCGATTAACAAGTGTATCGTTAAATCATTAAATGGCGAGCGGGTTCTAATCCTTTCAACATCTAAGCCACCCGATGGTCTAGATAGTTGCTTATGGGATTCCCATGCCAATAAATGTCTAAATAATAATTTATATAACATTTGAAGTCAAAAAGAATAGGTTGATTTGGCTCTGAATACATCTAATGTCAAATAGATCATTGCAGCAATGAGTATACACAATACTTCTGTCATTCTTGCATATTTCCATGGTTGAGTATGCTGTACGGGGGAACTGAATAGTACTGTGTAAAACAAAAGTAATGTATAGAATGAAATAGGGGTGGGGGACCTAGGTGTCATGTATGCCATAGGTATATTACATACACGCGGTTAGAGATATCGAATACAATATGAAATTTTTTTCAGACCACTGACCGCATGTCCTCAATTTTTAAGTTTTTATTCGGAATTCAAATGAAATGCAAATAAAGCCTTTAAAGGTCTTATTAGTAAGTTCAGACCCAGACGAGTTAGCAGATTTTACTTACGCCTTTTGGGGTTTTCTTTATAATTGGATAGTTATCTTTGGTCCGTTTCAAATATTCCAATGCCCGGTTTTCTAGTTCCTCTGAAATACAATTTGGAGGGATATAGAATCATAAATAGGCCGATGTTTCCAGAATGATCTCAATCAAATAATACAACTTTTTTATCCACCTGGACGGAGTTTTAAATAAACTGTGGTCTCTTTGATCTAAGATATTAGCCAATGAAATGTTCTGTTATGTTAACGTGTAGGCGAGATGTGCTGGGAATTATGGGAGAGATCTATAGGGCAATACAGAAAAAAAATATATTTCCTTTTGGTTTACTTGCAACTTATTCATATTTTTTAAATATTTATCTAAGCTGCCATACATTCATTTGGGTTCTATTTCTCGACAGACACCATTAGAAAATCCCGCAAAATTATATGAATATAAAAAATTCGGCCCGGATTTAAGTCCCGGAGGTCATCAATTCTAATAAAAACGTCATATTGTATTAAAAAATTGTGATTTGTTCAAAGAAATATTAAAAGATTCATATTGTGATCGTAGACTGGAGACATATACACAAAAAAGATGCGATTAAACGCGGCCTTTATAAGCCTATCAAATGTGGCCCTTGGTAAATATCAAACGCGGCCGATGATGCTATCATACGTGGCTTAAGAATGCCCGGATTTTTAAAGTTTTGATTAAAACTTATATTTAGTATTGGACTAAAGGTCACCTTGTCTTGAGGTTCTGAGTCTTCGCCAATACGAGGTCATAATTAGAGGAAACATATTACCTGGATTCCCAACAAGATGGAGCAGTCTTCCGCCAACCATGCCGCAGCTCGATTCCACCATATTTAGACTCGTTTCAAACACATAATGTTTAGATTTAATATTTTCATATGTAGTAGTAAAATAGTTTATCACTGGCAGATTGTTCAGCTCAGATTTCAACCCCCTTCTTTTCTTAAAGCCCTGGATTTCCTTCGCCATGGCGTCAATCAACAGTCACCACCCACTCGAAGGTATACACGTGCTTGCTTGAACGTATTATCTCGCCTGTGATGACAAAATGATATGCACTGCGACGGCGCAGCGAGGTTTCTTATTGGATTATGGGATTGTTTGCTTTAAGTCTGTGAGCGCTAATTCACGAATGAGTTTCGTTCATTATTGTTTGTTTAGATTTTATTTGTTTTGTTCATGAAATTTCACATGTAATTTTTAATTGTTGTGATTTGAAAATGATTACGAGTTAGCATTTAAGTACCGGGAATAATCGTCTCTTAAAATATTTTCAAAATTATAAATAACTGAGTTCATAATGCGCCCAGACGGTCCTCGAAAGTCTCGCAGCGTTAAAGGGACGATACCCTCGAAAATATTGGATGGGGTCGGGTTGTCGTACAGTAGAGATTATGATACATCCATGGACCGAAAGGGTTAAAACATGTATTTGATGCATTACTTTAATGATTCTGCGAAATAAATTGTGAAATAAATAAAGTTAAAGTATATATTGATTGGGAATAAACATTATTTTATTAAAGAGACGATTCCTGTATACAAGTCGTTATGCATAAAGTATGTTTGATGTGGACCTTCCCGGTCTAGCAACACGAGGTACGAAAATTTTGGGGGGCGGTAGGTGGGGGTGGGAGGGTGCAATTTAAACGATGGACGACATGGACACATTAAGGAAGACTAAATATTGCAACCCACTCCCTAAAAATATGGTTTCATATATTTTGGGGTGGGAGGGTGCAATTTAAACGATGGACGACATGGACACATTAAGGAAGACTAAATATTGCAACCCACTCCCTAAAAATATGGTTTCATATATTTAGATGTATTTAACGGTCGAAAAAGAAATATTACAACGTTGAACGTTTGTCGCCAATATTCACGGCCGGCATTAATAAAATTTCCAGTGAAAGCAGTATATCCATTTTTCCAAAAACGTAATTAACTTAGTTTTACCGCCAGAGCTTGATTTCTGGCAAACTATCAAGGTAACAGAAAATAAAAGGATATTGAAGAACGTATATTGTCGTCGCCCCTGTCCGTCCGTTCACAGTTCGTTTGTGGAATCTCTACATCTCTACAGGTCACATTTTTATCTGATTTTGACAAACCTTGTATAGGTTTATGTCCCAACGATCTTGGTTCTCTTCGATAATGGCATGTATCGGACTTTAACTGCATGGATTATGGATCCTGGTTGAATGACAATTCGCGTTTTCAGACTGTGAACACTCTGGAGGTCACAATGTTTATATCAAAAAGATCTCGATTCCTTACGATATTAGCGCATATCGGGTCGTGACGTCCTCGATTATGAACCCCTGATTTTACTAAAAATCGCGTTTTTAGCTTTTAGATCCTCTAGAGGTCACACTTTTTATCCGATTTTGATGAAACTTTACACATATGTTTATAGTCCAAAGATCTCAGTTCCTTTCGATATTGACGCACGTCGGACCGTAGCTTGTTCTCTGTCAATCTCTTGCACAATGCGGGCGTATCTTGCATGGCAACCACTTTTTATTATGTCAAAAATAAACCGTACAAAATGAAAATGATACATTACAAAATTTTTCAACTACCCAGTGCATTTTATAGGCTAATAACGACGGGCATATGCCGTACAGTGTGCTATGAGGGTAATTTTGCCCAGACAGCGACACTAACACCTACTCTTACATCGAATTTCAACTGTTAAGAAGGGATCTTTTACGTGGATACCAATATGCAAGCGGTTTTTCATCCCATCCGAACGACTAGACGCTTTCTTTGCCACACCCTCCGTACTGCACCACTGACACTGGAAAATTAATTAATAACCCGGTAGGTGCAGAATCAGGGAGAGAGAGAGAGAGAGAGAGAGAGAGAGAGAGAGAGAGAGAGAGAGAATGGGGTTTAACGTCCACTCGACACAAACTAGGTCATTTAGGGACTTAACACATGGTTCAATTTTATTTCAATCATTCGCTTGCGCGTAGGGGTCTTTAGCAGTGTGAGGAGACCGGAGGACCCAGAGAAAACCCACGAGGTTGGACAGGCGACCCTACTCCTTGTCACGTACAACCGGGAAATCAGGTGCAGAATCAACATTTGTTTTGTGAAATCTAAGTCCAGAGATTTAGATTGCTACAGGTGGCGTGCATTACATTTCTCGATCGTCTGATAATTCTTCTCGAGTATCTGTAAGGTTCACCTAACTGTACAAAGGTAATTGATTATTATTCTTTTTCTCCTTATTTGGTTGAAATGGCAGTCAGAACAAACGTAAGATTTATTTTGGCGCGTATCGTGTTCCATAACAACACTTTGACGCGGGAATAAAGCGTTTCAAAGGCACGTGCACTTTCAAAGTCAACAACTCAGACACAGTCGCCAAGACATTAAGCTTGTCTTTCAAATTTATCTGGATATACAAGACTAACAGAAGACATGACATCCAGATCTGTAGTCCCGTTCAACATTACTAAATTTTAAAGGAAGGTGCTATCAGTCAGTCGATGAGTTGGATTGAAGGTGGGAGGAGGAGTATTTGTATCGTTCTGTAGTTTCTTCTGGTTCTGTTTGAAGCGAAGGAGAAAGACAGAAAGGTGAATGAATAACATATTGATGTCTATGAATACAGAAAAGATTCTGATAAATTAGAATTCATTATTCGGTTTAAAGTCCCAATTCAAGAGACGCCATCATCATCAACGAAAATAATTAAAAGTCCTTGACCTCATGATGATGTCAGTAAATTTTGAGGACTACAATTACTGTTTATTACTTAGCGGGTTTCCACGGCATCCATGTTTGATGTGACTTCCATTTTTGTGTCTCAATATTTCATTGTATTGTGGCACCACCTCTAACCCTGAATTTATAGGTTTTAATCTTAAATACCTGACCCTAACCCTAATAGAAAGTAGGATGTTCTATGTGGACACAGTGATGGAATGTAAAATTGATGGAAATAGAAAAGGAGAGTCGGATCAAACATGATCGTCGGTTTCCACTGGGATTCAATAGTCGTTATAGCTCAGTCATAACGAATAATTGTATTCCATATAATTGTGTCCTGGGTATGTATTTCAATTATTAAATGCCATTGGAACATTTTATGGCATTCATGTTTGATGTGACTCCCATTTTAGTGTCTCAATATTTCATTGTTGTTGAAAATTTTGTCGTACTCATTGGTTTTAATCTTAAACCCCTAACCCTGAATTTATAGGTTTTAATCTTAAATACCTGACCCTAGCCCTACTGTCTGATTCATCGTAAATTTTAAACGGATTTCTTCGATTATGAACAAACTACTTAACGTTGGTTATTATAAACTTACCTGTGTGTTTGTAATGAACTCCCGTTCGATAAAATCCATTGCACAACTAATTATCACAACGATGAAAACAAGTTCTCTCTTGAAAAATTGAAATATCACAAACTTTTCCCAGAGAAAAATACCAATATGGAAGATGGTTACGTCACTCTGCGGAAGATATCATTTCGTATTAGGGGTGACAGCATAGGAAATTCAAGTACAATTACGACAAGAATCCATGACCACTCGGACCAAAGATCACTCGGTTCAAGACCAGTCGGACCAAGTGATAGACCACTCAGCCCAAACAAATAGACTACTCGGACCATACAAAAAGACTATTCGGACCCAACAGAAAGACGACTCGGACCAATAATAAAATGTTGTTTTAATAAATTGATAATTGCGTTTGTTTTAATATAATTACTCGAACCAATAATAAAGTGTTATTTTAATAAATTGATAATTGTGTTTATTTTAATATGACTACTCGAACCAATAATAAAGTGTTATTTGAATAAATTGATAATTGTGTGTGTTTTAATATGACTACTCGAACTAATAATAACGTGTTGTTTGAATAAATTGATAATTGTATTCCAAATCGCAAAATATCGAGAACCACACTTGTAGTCACGTTTAAAAAGGGGCATATAAACGTCCGGTCTGCGTATTATTATGTGCTGTTTATATTAACGCATCAAGGGCGGATAACTTGAAAACGTGTCTCCACCCCCCCCCCCCCCATATATAGTAACCCAGGGGTTAGTGGGGTAGAACAGACAAGAACAGTATACCCGTATATGTAGAATCTGTCAAAAGTCTGGACATACCGAGTCTCATTGCAAGAGTAAAGAAAAATTAGATTGATAATTTTTTTTGGCACCATTATTAATTAATTTTAAAACTAATCGTTGATTTATTTACGTACACAAAATTGAACCAAACAACTCTAAATATAAGAATTCCGTATAAGAATTATTTGCTTCTTTGTATTGTGATTTAATAATAAATAAATAGCATATTGTCTAGCCTTATAATATAATTTAATTGGTCCGACTGGTCTTGTTTTGGTCCGACTGGTCTTAGTCCGAGTAGTCTTTGGTCCGAGTGGTCTGGATACCTGCGACAATTAGCATTGAGTTTGAGCGTTCGCACACATAACTACCCGCATTCCTGTATTTAGTTACCGTCTTTTACATTCTAGTAAAATCTCTGCAAATTTTATAGCTTTACTTTTTGAAATATTTTGTTCTAATTATTTGATTAGCGACTCGGATGGGATTATTTACTTTTGAACACGCATGCCGCACAAACACAACTATACATTCGTTTTACGGGCTTTATCACACTTCGGTCAAAACTGTCGAATCGAGAATTAATGTTCCGCTTCTTACGGGGTCATACGGGCTTAGTAGCATTATATACCCACCCGGGCACCCAATACGGCAATAGACACGCTGAGGGCTGCCGCAACACGCTTAAAGATGTTACTGAAGCGGTTATTATTCGATCGAAAGAATGCGTATAAAATTAAAAATACACTCAGAGAATTCGGAGGTAAGCTTCATGATCCTTGTTAAATTATTTATAACATAAAGAAGATAGGATATTTATAGTTTATTCATGACTTTATTTTTACGAGTATCCGTGCAATCAGTGATATTTTAATTGTGAAGAAAATTTGATAGACTGGCGATCAATGGTTTCCATATAAATCTCCTATGTAATTGCCTTCAATTGATATTTTTCGTCGCCCAAACCCATATACGATCAAAATGATCGCGCTGTCAAACTATCTTTCAATGTTAACCAACCCCCGCAACAGGTATATTGGATTCGACCAATACGTCACGAAGACATTGTTGACATCGACTCTGTCGAAATTACAAGTAAATTTTCAAATTTTTCAAGAGAGAAATTGTTCTCATCGTTGTGATAATTAGTTGTGCAATGGATTTTATCGAACGGGAGTTCATTACAAACACACAGGTAAGTTTATAATAACCAAAGTTAAGTAGTTTGTTCATAATCGTAGAAATCCGTTTAAAATTTACGATGAATCAGACAGTAACCCTAATCCTAAAATGTAAAAGTGATGGAATGTAAAAATGATGGAATGTAAAAATGATGGAAATAGAAAAGGGAGTCGGATCAAACATAATCGCCCATTTTATATTTCTGTAATAAAGTTATTGAATTTTGCATTACCAATTCCAGTGTTTATATATTTCCAATTCCTGTATAACTAATCCGTTGTATTTATTTGAAAAGTTTCAATTTTCTAAAGTTGTATTTAATTGCAAATTTTTAATTTACACGATAATACTAGATTGAGGATTGAGAAAGATGGAGTGTAAAGGTCAAGGTCATAGTAAAGGATTTATTGGTGGAATAAGTTGTAGATTTCCACAATCTGATAATATACAGGTACTATCATAAACAATATAGTCCTTTCTGATACCAATTGGGAGTCGCGGTGGCTCGGTGAGTAAGTTGCTGACTTGCCAACTAGGCGGTCCGGGGTTCGATCACGTTGTTGGTCGAGAAGATCCCCGGGATTTTCCAGTGTGGTGTCGCCTTGTTAGTGGTGCACATTGGGCAGTGTCTATTTGTTCGGATGAGACCAAAAACCAAGGTCCCTTGTACAATTTGGCGTGCACGTAAAAGAATCATTAACAGTTGGAATTCCATTTAAGAGTAGGCCATAGAGTGCACCCGTCTCCAATAGTCCAGTGAAGAAAAGTAGGGCGTTAACCCCAATTACATTGCTCAGTTCTCTTGAACTGGTCCGCAATAATTTACTTTTATGGTCTACAGGGTTACAGAAAACGACTGACAACCCCATCCCCAATCAATGCCGTTCTTAAGGATGTGCGAACTGTGCGTTGTTGGGAAATCTAAACGTTTTCATTTTCACTGCCCATTTTTCTTTTTTGGATACTGATATTTTAAATCAAACATTCTGCTAGCAATGAAACAGGAAAGGGCGCGTATACTCAAATACCCAAGATACCAATTAAAGGAAATATTGTTTTGTTTTGTCTTTTAAAAGTAGAATCTTTGTTAATGAAATTTGTGTCAGTTTATGAGTATAATCTTAGAAATAAAACATTATTTAAATTAAAAACATTTCAGGAGTTTTGGAAAAACTTGGAATCTGGTAAAGATATGATCGGATGTACAAGATGGCCGCCTAAACTCTACAGCCTTCCTCCTCGTTCTGGTTGTATCAAAGATCTGTCCTTGTTTGATGCTGAATTCTTTGGTATTACATCTCATCAGGTAGATATAAGAGTAATAAAATACAATAATCGTGTGTATGTATTTTCCCAAGATATAAAGAAATCAAGAGGTGAAATCAGCAGAAACAAATCTTCACTTAAAGATACATTATTGGAGATTTGATAATGAGTTGGCAGTTCTCACTATAATAGTTAAAAACTAAATAATGTAAAGGCAATTTGCTGAAAACTTCATTCAAATTGATCCACTATGAACCGAGAACAAAGCGATTGAATTTCCGCCTATCCTTGATCATCATTACTAAAGTCAGTACGATAAACGGCATAGTCTCGATTATCCATTTAATCGTTAAATCGCGACGGAAAGTTATGCAGTAAATCGGCTCACAATCCACTAAGGATAGCGATGCCATCTAGAGTTGATTATAGTCTGGATAGGTTAATTAATGTCTAATTAATAATTTAGATAACATTTCAGGCCCAAAGAAAGACCTGCAATACGCAGATATAGCTCCTGAATAATGCATGTTTAAATGTCGATTACATAACTCAAACTAGAATTCGCCGATTTTAATAATAGTTGGACCTAAATGTGTTTGATATAAGTAGTTTTGTTGATTGTGTGTGGTTTCAATCTCTATATTTAATACTTAACCCTAATCTTGATATTTATGTACAAGTTGAATCGTAACCAGACTGGGTGACCTTTATTTACTTTCACACTTAGAACATTCTATCACAAAATGAAATAAAAGCGCATTAGAGTAAAAAACAAAAACCTTTTGTTTTTAAATTCGAATTTTCCATTGATTCTTAAGGAAGCTGATGAATTGAACCAATTAGAAAGGATTTTGGCGGAAGTGACGTATGAAAGTATTGTGGATTCTGGCTTGGATCTAAGTCATCTACAGAAGGATGTGGTTGGGTATTATCTGGCCTGTACGTTTTCTGATGCTGATGTTGTTAAAACCAGTCAAACACTACACGCTAATAGATGTAAGTTGCTGTAACAAATTACAACACCTGTTTATGAAAACCCCGTCTTCATTAGCTCAGTTCGGAGCAGTACAGTAGGACGTTAAACCCCATTTTATTTCATTCCATTTGTTTACGAAAACTAAAGTATATGGCTTATGTCCCATAACGTTTAAATAAAACTCTCTCACAACACTAGTATAACTTACCGGAATGGAGTAAAATGGCTCGTCACCGGAATACGTTGACCATTTTGAGAAACATATGGCAGTTTGTATTTCTATGGTTACGTGTACAATACCAGAGGCAGGAAAACGTTTCCCGGATATCAGCGGTTCGTTCTACTTTTTGTTCCATTTGGACGAGTGGACCTTCCTTGTCAGCCCTGTGAAGACTAACCTTGAAAACTACCGAAGACCCCCCCCCCTCTCCCGTCTTCGTTAGCCCTATCGACTAACCCCTTCTCTCTCCCCTTAGTATGTCGTTAGTATTGTGCTAGTGCCCAATATCCAGTACATCGCTCGGCTACCTCTGAAGGATTCCGGTTCCAAGGCATCAATTCCGAATAACGTCTCGCCCCTAGTCGGTTCAATTCATCCCGGAAACGAAATTGTATTACTAATACATTCCACGAAATTCTGAATAACGTCTCGCCTCTAGTCGGTTCAATTCCTCCTGGAAACGAAATTGTGTTACTAATACATTCCTCGAAATTCTGAATAACGTCTCGCCCCTAGTCGATTCAACTTCATCCCGGAAACGAAATTGTGTTACTAATACATTCCACGAAATACTGAATAACGTCTCGCCCCTAGTCGGTTCAACTTCATCCCGGAAACGAAATTGTGCTACTAATACATTCTACGAAATTAATATATTTCAGTAAACCATGGGTCATCAGTTTTAAGTTCTGTGATGTCAAAGTTCAAGTTTAAGGGACCAGCATGTTCTATCGATACAGCTTGTAGCTCTAGTTTTAGCGCACTACATACAGCTTGCAGAGATCTGGAGATGGGCAAATGTAAATACGCCATTGTTGCTGGTAAGCTTTAATGTTTCACTTTAAAAGACAATATTGGTGTCCACCATATTTAAATATGTGATAGAACTGGTTAAAAAATAAATAACAGATCTTTGCTAGAAGAATCTCTAATGTGACGCAAATAAAGGAAAGCAGTTATTGTAGCCGTCTAAAGTAGAGAACGACAGCGGCCACATAGACGATTTTTAGCTCACTGATAATTCCTGTGAAGAAGAAAAACTATGAGGGTGTGGCAAATGTTCTTGCTGCACCACTGACAAAAGGGAGCCAGGCTGAAAAAGATTACACTCGAACTAGAACGTATATTCCCTTTTATTGTCTTCATACTCCTCGCAGTGTTTCGTTTGATTATATCTAATCCCACTAAACACTGCTATAACGAAGGCAAATTTCTGTTCCAAATTATGACTGGTAAATGGTCCAATTAACAACCAATAGCTAACTGCGTTACAAAAGCATTACGCTTAAAACAGAGCTCCAAATTGGATCGAATATGTTTACATAACGTTACGTCATGACTCACGATTTTATTATGCCCAATTAACCAGTGCATAGCAGAATATTGCAGAAAAACTAATTGCGTGACAAACGACCCTATCAAATCGAAAACAATGTAAACAATACTGTTTGGAGACAAACATACTTTCACCGTTTTTAATACTTTAAATCACTCTCCAAAGTTTCAGGGAAGACCCAGATTAAACGAAGGGCTTTGCTTCAGGAATATGTATTGTCTTTGGATCTGCATTTTCGAAAGACCAATTTTTGCTCTCCATTAATAATTAATCAAACTAATAATATATTACTTGGCGGGGGGGGGGTGTGGAATGGTTGAACGTGCTCCCTTTAGGTCATAAGGTCTGTCATCGAGGTCTGTTGCGTGGTTTCGATTCCCAAATTGTACTGACTAGGAGTAGGTTCGCCGTTCCAACCTCTTGGGGTTTCTCTGGGTCACCCGCCCCCCCCCCCCCAAAAAAAAAACCCTCTACGCGCTGGCGAATTTATGAAATAATTGGACCATATGCTAATCCCGAAATGACCTAGTTTGTGTCGAGTGGACGTTACCCCCCCCCCCCCCGGTTTCTTGATTTAAGGCTACATTAATTATCTTTTCAGGTGCTAATCTAATAGATAATCCTAACTGTTCTCTAAAGTTCCATCGACTTGGTATGTTAAGTCCAACTGGTACCAGTAATGTATTTGATAAAAGTGCGAACGGATACGTCAGGTCAGATGGGGTAGCGGCCATTTTAATTTCAAGGTTTGAATTTATATTGATAAAGCCCTATTAGTTGAAGAAGGAATCCACATTGATGCAGCAGTTTTTGAAGATACAGTAATGGACTGTAGTTTTTAGAAAATATTATGTAAACTATCGCTGATCCTAAGATATCCAATTATCTGGAGCCGGTTTCACGAAATTTTAACTAAGATAAAATCCAGATTTTAGTAATTTGATTGGATAATATTAGATTGATTTTAGTCCTTAGCCAATCAAAATTGAAGTATCTACTCTGGAGCCACTGTGGCTTTGAGTATGGAGCTGGTTAATGAATTTTTTCTCTCTCCATTTAACCATACTACTAATATATCTGAGAGAGTGGCGGAATGGTTTAATGTGCGCCGTTTAGATTATAAGGTTTATCATTGAGTCAAATTGCGTGGTTTATATTCCCAATTTGTAGGTGATAAAGAGTGTAGTCTCCTGTCTAACCTCCTGGGGTTTCTCCACACACACTTGGACTTGGAAAGACCCTAATGCGCAAGCCAATTATTGAAAAAAATGAAATAAAATTAAACCATATGTTAATCCCGAAATGACATAGTTTGTGTCGAGTGGAGGTTAAACCCTATTTCTGTATCTTATATTTGCAGAAGAGAAGAAGATATGAAGAGAATATATGCTAGTATTGATGATATTGGTGTCAACTGTGATGGTTATAAGGAAGAGGGTAGGTTTCTAATTATAATAATCTTCAAATAAAGCACCTTTCAAATTATCGGTCAAGCTTTAAAGAATTTAGATAAAGAGCCGGTCATGCTCATGCTATCTATAATAGTTAAAACATTTCAGTGCAATTACTCGTCGTTCTGGGCGAGTTTATCAGGTTTTGGAGTGTTCAAGGTACATTCTCGATTGCCAATTCCCAATTAAATTACTAAGTCGCGATCGTGTTTCAATCCATTGAAAATCGCGACCATCCGATGGTTATGATGATTATGAGCTTAACCCGTGAATAAAATGTCTAAATAATAGCTTTTAGCCCAAAATAAAGACATGCAATATGCAGCAATATGCCCGGGACTGTACAGCGCAGTGGACGCTTACGGTTGGCCCCCGGATCCATTCACTTGATTTGATATTCGTTTGTTTGATGCAATGTCTATTTTCTGTCTTGTCCGCAGGTTTATCTTGTAGATTGTTGTTTTACTGTAGTGCGGTCCTCCTGCACTTACTATAATGTATATTTAAGATTGTAAATATATCTTAACATTCGATTTGGCCACATTGCAGTTAAGTGTTAGTCATGACGCCCAGAAAATTATCTGTGAGGCATTTAATTTTACCTTGAATGTTCACCTAATACTAATATCCGATTTATAGCGTTTCGATTAATTGTTTCTTCTACGCTACAAAATTTAGTACACGTGATGTGGTTTTAAGACGGATACATGGCTCAAAGAGACCTAATCGAATAGCCAGAAGATGTTGCAGAAATGTACAAATTTGCCCAAACCAATATTTTTGCTGATGTTGAATGTGTGTTTTATTGTATTAATAAAAATGGCTTTCTTAATGGTGGATCACGGTGGCTAAGTGGGTAAGAAGCTGGCTCGCTAGCCTAGAGGTCTGGTGTTGGATCCCTGCATTGGCCGAGAAGGTTCATCCAGATTTTCCAGCGTGGTTCAAGACGGAGGGACTGACAAGGACAGCTGTCTAGTCGTTCGGATGGGACGAAAACCCGAGGTCTCGTGTATACATTGGCGTGCACGTAAAAGATCCCTTGACAGCTGGAATTCGATATAAGAGTAGGCCGTAGTGCCGCTGTCTGGGCAAAATTTCCCTCATAGCACACTGTATGGCGTATGCCCGTCTTCATTAGCCCAGCTCGGAGCAAAACAGTAGGACGTTAAACCTTATTTCATTTCTATTTGTTAATCTTCTGTTGTACAGGGATTGTTTACCCAAGTGAAAGTTCCCAGGCCAACCTATTATCATCTCTTTATAACAAGATCTCAGTCAATGACGTAGCTTATGTAGAATCCCATGGTACAGGCACACAGGTCAGTGACATAATATTGATCAATTTATATAAAATCTAAAAATTGATGGTCTTTATTTTTGTCAAGAACATCACCCGACTCCAATTCATCCGAATATACCAAAAAGCTACTTTCAGTTTTTGTTAATAATATTATTAGTAAGATTCTTGGAAGGAGAAAGGGAAATGGGGTTTGACATCCACTCAACCCAAACTAAATTATTTCGGGACTAACATATGGGTCACTTTTATTTCAATAATTCGCTTCTTTAGCAGTGGTAGGAAACCAGAGGACCCGGAGAAAAACCACGAGGTTGGACAGGTGGCCCTACGCCTTGTCACGTACAAAGGGGGGGGGGTATTCTTGGTACAATAGGTTAGAATATTAGTCTCGAATTGTCCGAATTATCGTCATCACGTTGCCCAAATCGTTCACCTATATGCCACTGATAGCCAGACTGAGAGCTAATCGGAGAGATTTCACACAGGGCCACCCATGGACAATCAATCCCGACTCTTTAACTTGTCAAAGTTGTGTTCTATTATTTTAATGTGTAGGCTGGTGATAAAATAGAAACCACGGCTATAGCATCGGTATTATGTAAATCCAGAAAGAAACCTCTACTAGTTGGATCTGTTAAAAGCAACATGGGACATTGTGAAGCCGCTGCAGGTAAAACTACACCAATTTGATTCTTTTCCTCGAGAACACATGTTAAACGATTTTCTTATTAATTCGTGGAAAAAAGATTGTTTGAAATCCAAAAGAACCTGGTTGCATTGGTCAAAATCTTTTAGTTCCAAATTCCTGTGGCTGTTGTTTTAATTGAGCCATGATGCAAGACATGTTTGATCCCTGCTTTGGCCGAGAAAGTTCATTAGGATTTTCTAGCGTGATTCCTCCTTTTCAGTGGTGCCTAGCAAGGGACAGCTGTATAGTCGTTAGGGTTGAAAGGAAAAGAACCCTTGGTAGTTGGAATTTGATATAAGTGTAGGTCGTACTGCCACTGTCCGGGCAAAATTTCCCTCATAGCACACTGTATGGCGTATGCACGTCTTCATTATCCCAGTCGGAGCAGAACAGTAGGATGTTTTACCCTGAGGACCGTAGATTAATCGGTCATGGTAGAACAAACCCGTGTCTTGAGACACTGGATAACCTGGTCTAATTGAGGTCATTCTTGTTCGTACATCGCTGTGCTATTCTGATGTCAGAAAAGGCGGGACTGTCTTAACGCATGGGCAGGCTGGGTAATTAATTGCCCGAGGGCCCACCCACATAGGCGCCTCGTGAGTATAGGGGGCCTATACGACATGTTTTGGTTTTTTTAATATCCCAAAACTGATATTGTTGGAAGTACCATATAAATATGTTTTCATGTAATATAATCGACCATTTACATTTTTATTCCTGTGAGAGTTTGTATAGCGAAGGGTCCCCGATACACTGCTTTGTCCGGAAGCCTATAATACTGGGAAGACGGCTCTGAATTGACTATATTATTTCCATGCTTACATCTAGGATGCTTGTTGTTGGATGTGCCAAAATCAATTTCTATTTGATACGATTATTGTAAATTAAGGTTATGTTAAAACCTCGGGGTATTGGATTGCTGAATAGTTAGTACGTGCGCGATGTATCATCAGGTCTGTCATTGAGTCAATTGGTGTGGTTTCGATTTCCTGGTTGTACGCGACAAGGAGTAGGGTCGCCTGTCCAATCTCGTGAGTTTTCTCCAGGTCCTCTGGTTTCCTCCCACTGCTAAAGACCCCTTAGCCCAAGCGATTTATTGAAATAAAATTAAACCGTGTGTTAGTCCCGAAATGACCTAGTTTGTGTCGGTTGGACGTAAAACCACATTTCTCTCTCTAACATAATTATTCAATTCATTTTTGCCATTAAAACAATTTTTGTCCACAGGTTTGGCTGGTTTGATCAAATGTCTTCTTTCTATTCATCATGGTAAAATCCCTGGCAATCTGAACTTTAAAACACCCAATCCCGCCATAGATGCTCTAAACAATGGCCAGGTTTCAGTTGTTGACAAAACCACCCCATTACCAGGTATTTTAGAGTTTTTTGATAAGTCACACGGAAGAATTGTTTCACCATTGATTTTTATAGTACAATGTATTATTATTTGTGAATCGGACGATAAACCGAGGTCCCGTGTACACATCGACGTGCACGTGTACGAACCCTTGACAGTTGGAATCCAATTTCCCTCACAGTACACTGTATGTCGATATTCCTTAGCCCGTCGGTGTAGAACAACAGGAAGTTGAAACACATTTCAGTTAATTTCTTTGCAATTTTTATCAAAATGCGAAATAAAGTTAATGTAATGATAATATGGAAGACTGGTCTAGGGACATTCTTGGCGAGAGCCCGGTTTTGCTCGAGAGCCCAGTTCCGCTCGACAATCGTGGTTCAAAAATAATTGGTTTTTAATATTTCAGATGGTTTAATTGGAATCAACAGTTTTGGATTTGGTGGTGTAAATGGTCACGCTATTTTAAAACCATATAAACAAGACAAAACACATAAGGGTAAGTAAAACCCTTACCCTATTTTAAAACCAAAGGGGTAATTAAAATCCTCTATTTTGAAACTTTAGAGGCAAGGAAAACCTATTTTAAAAACACACGGGCAAGGAAACCCTTACCCTATATTTAAACCATATGCACAAAACGAAAAAAAAAAAACAAAGGCAAATAAAACCGGATCCTATTTGGAGCTCCTTTTTTGTTAAATAAAGCCACGCCAATTTGAACATTTGTTACAATTTTGTTTTTTTAAACGTTGGAGAATATGGTGGGAGTGGTTTTCTCCGGGTCCTCTCTTTAATTAAAAGAACACCTTAAAATAATTTCAAAGCGGTCATTTTTACAAACAAATCGCATATCACGATGTTTACTGAGTTCTTTGATTGTAGAGCATGGTATGAAGATTATGTTACTGTCTGCTAGAACGTCGGCCATGTTGGATAAAATGAAAACGTTTATAAAGAACAACCAGAATGAACATTGTTTATTAAGATTAATATCTAATTCTATGATTGGATGCGAGAAAAGATATCCTGTTCGCGGTTACATCACTCTAGATGATATGAAAGGTAAGACAAACGGCGGTTTGGGTGGCCGAATGGTTAACGCATGCGCCTTGGATCAGAAGGTCTGTCATTAAGTCAAGTGACGTGTTTTCGATTTCCCGCTTGTACGTGACAAGGGGTAGGGTCGCCTGTCCAACCTTGTGGATTTTCTCTGGTTCCTCCGGTTTTCTCATTTCTCCCCCTGTCTCTGAAACACAGAACACAGATGTTTGGGGAAAAGTGATTTAACGTCTTACATTTCTGTACCAACCAGGGCCCTAAGTTACAACCGAAATTTTAAGAAATACTGCAACTTCATTGGATATATGCAAATTAATTTTACTGGTCAGCCAATCGAATTGCAGTATTTCTTAAAATTTCGATTGTATCTTAGTTTAAGTTTTCGTGAATAAGGGCCCAGGCCATGCAGTATGCTGTGATAGAACGATTGTCCAGACAGCCACCTGGTATTCTTATTACTTCAGAAACACTCGATACTCCGTGGTCTTGAGCTCATCTGTGGTTGTCTCATTAGGAAACTGAATGCCCCGGTTCGAATCACTGCATGGGCCGAATGAACCTTCTGAATTTTTGACAACAGTTTCTTACTTTTGCAAACTTCCATTACTACATGACCATTACTTCAAAACATAATTATTACATTCCATTACTCATTACCATTACTTCAAAACATATGATTATTACATTTCATTACTATTATTCAACACCATTACCCCAGCCCTGGTATATTTGGTGGACTTTAAACCCCAGTCCATTCATTTACAAGAACAATGTTTTGTAGATAGATTCATTTTGATTTTGCAAAGTATGTTTTATTTTTTTATCTATATAAATGAAATAATGGTTAAGTTTAATAATATTAATAATAGTAACGGGTGATGTAAGCTAACGAACAAGCGTACAAGAAACGGGCGGGTATCGAGCTATTGTTGAATATTTAGATTGTGTAATGATTTTATCGGTGGGTTTTCTAGGTGAATCAAGTGATGAACTAAAGAAAGAAAAATCATTATGGCTGATTTTCAATATACCACTGAGTCATGATTGTCCAAAAATGTTCTCTGAGATCTCCAAGGTAATAGTTGAACTTATTACACACGTTATATACCTGACTACTAGTCCAGGACCCTGTTTCTCGAAATCTTAACTAAAGATAAAATCCAAATTTTAGTAGATAATTCAATTTTGATCGGCTAAGCACTAAAATCAATCTAATATTATCCAATCAAATTACTAAAATTTGGATTTATCTTAGTTAAAATTTCGTGAAACAGGCCCCATTCTTCATCACCCTGGGCAGTTGCTGCAATAGAAATAGTTAATATGTGCTATGGCGACCCATCAATATTCTAATATTAACGTATAATTTCACGTTAACCGAATGTTTCCTGCAAGGCTGAAAAGGAAAGTGCATATAGTCGTTCGTATGGGAAGTAAAAACGAGGTCAATTGGTGTATATATTGGTGTGCAAGAAAAAGAACCCTGGGCAGTAAACATTCTCTCCTTGCATTACATATATAACCATAGTAATGAATTTTGAAATGTTAGTCTCAAACTGATCAAAGTATTGTACTAACCAGACTTTAAACCCCACTGTATTCCTTTGCTAACACTGAACTATGGCGTGGAAATAACCTTTTATTCTTTGTTAAAATTACAGATCTTCAAAGAATGGAAATTAGAAATGCCTAAAGATGAGCTATTGGAGAAATACATGAATGAACATAAAATCCATTCACAGATCGCTATGTCATTGGGTTTTATATTTATATATTTCATTTAATTTTTAGTATGCTAGTACTGCAGTAGCAATCAAAACGCGAAGCAGTCAGCAGGTGCCCCCCGCCTCGCCTCGCCTCATCGAGGTCCTGAAAAGGTTAATATTAGCTAGTTGGATCCCAGTGGCTGCACCAGTCCCCTTCTGATTTCAATCTGGACAGCAATTTCAACGAACTTTCTTCCGCTACACTCTAGACTGTCAATCGCGACTAGTACCCTTTAATTTGTTTCTGCGACATCACCTTCTGTGCAAGCGGACGTTAATGCCTTGAGAGTAATCATCCACTCATAGAGGTTAATTCTCAAATAATTTATGGATTTTATTTATAAATTAAGGGGGGGGGCGGGAATGGTTACCACGTGCGCGCTGTATTGAGTCAAATGGCGTGGTTTCGCTTCCCCGGTTGTACGTGACAAGGAGTAGGGTACCGTTGCTTGTCCAACCTCGTGGGTTTTCTCCGGGTCCTCCGGTTTCCTCCCACCGCTAAAGGCCCCTACGCGCAAGCGAATTAATGTAATAAAATCGAACCATGTGTTAATCTTGAAATGACCTAGTTTGTGTCTAGTGGACGTTAATAAACCCCATTTCTCTTTTATTTATAATTTTAGTGCTGGTTAATGCTTTTAAAATGTGTAAAATGAAAGTTGATGGTGTTGCTGGTAGTGGATTAGGAGAGGTTGTTGCTGCTTATATGGATGGATGTTTAGATATCAGACAATGTTTACAAATAGAAGAAGCCATATTGGACTCACTAAAGGAATGCCAGAAAGGTGATTTATACACTGTTAAAATTATTATGTATTTTTACCCTTTTTTAACTGGCAGAAATATTGCCATCGTAATAACTGTATTTTAACAGTGTCTGTTATATCACAGTCTGTAATGGGCAGTGTGAAGTTGAATCGTTTTTCGTTATTCGTTATTCACCAATAACGAATAACGAATAACGAAAAACGATTCAACTTCACACTGCCTCTGTAATGTATCTTTACCTCCAGCTATTATACATCCAAGGTAAAATTGCATATCTGTAAATGGAATACAAGTCATATAAAATTACCATATTAATTTACATAAATTGGTACAAAAACGTTTAAAACAAAACCATTTATGTATTTTGAATGAGTTTATGTAATAATACCACATAACTATTGTATAATTACATATTTTGTAATTTGCTACGTAAAATTTTTAAAAGGAACGTGTTTGTCCCCGCTTGGCTAATTAGTCCTATGTTCGATCCTGGCGAACACTGAAAGTTTTGCGGACCTTTCAGTCGAGTCGAGCTATGAAATAAGATCAATAATGTAAAGAAATTAAATAAAATGAGGTTTAATGTCCTGCTGTTCTGCTCCTTACAATGGAAACAGTAGGTGGCATGACACAGTCCAAGCAAAATGTCCTACACAATCCAATATATGGCACGTCTGTCTTTATTAGCCAGTTCGGTGCATTCAGATTTTGAATAGTCTATTTGTCTAAAATAGATCGACTAAACTGACTGACAGAACACTAAATATTTAATATGTGATCAAAGGGGGAATAACCGATGAGACCACTATTTGACAGTAAATTTACAATTTTCTGTAAAAATATTTCAAATGACATTTCTGTAAATATACAGCTCACTGACATATTGTTATATTACTACATTCATTTTGATGTAATCTTACATAAGCCCTGTATTCATATGCACTTACCTCGTTTTAAATGTAAGTTAACAAACCATATGATTTAACAAATCCGACACTGTATTTTTACTATACTTATAACTGTAAATATACATATAATTGGCTAACAATGTTGTACTTTAATATTTAACTTTAAATTTAATTTGTAGCTAATAACCACGTCCTCCTTGGGTAGAGTAGAGCCGCCTGTCCAACCTTGTTTCTATTGTGCTAAAGACACCTACACGCAAGCGATTTATTGAAATAAGATTGAGCCATATGTTAGTCCCGAAATGACCTAGTTTGTGTCGAGTAGACGTTAAACCCCATTTCTCCCTCTCTCTCAGTTAGGAGATAAACACTTCCTGTTTCTCATTTAGAGGGGTGTTATTGTCCAATAGACATGTCCTGAGATGTAAAATCTAATGTAAAATCTCAGGACATGTCTATTGGACAATAACACCCCTCTAAATGCAAAACAGGAAGTGTTTATCGACATTGTAACATGCTATTTTAGCATTTTAAAAGAAATTACTAAAACAGAGGGGTGTTATTGTCCAATCGACATGTCCTGAGATTTTACATTAGATTTTACATCTCAGGACATGTCTATTGGACAATAACACCCCTCTAAATGAGAAACAGGAAGTGTTTATCCTTAAACACCCTTAAGCATGTTATAATTGAGTTTAAACCGCACGTAGAAATGTGGGTTCGTCATCAAAGTCCGTCACTAAAGCGAACCACAACAATGTAAACCAGAAATAAACTGTACAAAGCGTATCGACTTGACATCGCTACAATTTATATTATATATATATGAACATCTATCCAAATGTTCTTGGTTTCTATTTCAGTTTATCCATTCTATAATTTACATATACCAGTCGATCAGGCTTACCAACTTGGCCCAAAGGTCAAGGTCGTTTCTGTTTATAAAGATAATGGAGTCATTGTCATGTTGACATCAGACAGCCAAGATAAACTTCATAACATATTAAAACTTATTCATTCTAAAGGTATGTTGAATATTATTCAGACAATCCAACCTCTATGACCGGCGTACCCATTCTCCCAAGCAGAGTTGTCTTTCCTTTACACTAACGAATGGGAGAATGAGGCGTGCCCTAAATTGTGACTAGATACTCCTGTCTGGGATGGATCCCTGGGCTGGAATTCATACAACTCTATCGGGTGATCCAAAGGGAATTCCCCCGACCAAGTCAGAATTTGTGGCCAAATGGATAAGACGCTGGCCCGCTAGTCTGGAGGTCGCGTGTTCGATCCCTGCATTGGCCGAGAAAGTTCATCGTGATTTTCTAGTTGTTGGGATGAGACAAAAAACAAATTTCCTTCATAGCACACTTTATAGCGTACGCCTGTATTCATTAGCCCAGGACGTTAAACCCCATTTCATTTTTTTTAATCAAGTAAACCTATACATTGACAGGTGGGGTGTATCATTATATGGGAGAATATCCACCAATATTTACATCTCTATATCAAGAATATACAGACAAGTTACATACTAAACTAGAAACCATAATTACCAATCCAAAAAGAAGGTAAATCGTTTAATTTTCATTTTAACTAGACATTAATTTTATTGGTTTTAAGTCGGGTTGAGTAACCGAATGGTTAGCACGTGCGCGGTGTATTATAAGGTCTGTCATTATGTCGACTGGCGTGGTTTCTATTCTCAGGTTGTACGTGACAAGGAGTGGGGTTGCCTGTCCAACCTCGGGGGTTTTCTCCGGGTCCCCCGGCTTCCCCCACTGCTAAAGACCCATACGCGCTAGCGAATTATTGAAATAAAATTGAACCATAAGTTAGTCCCGAAATGACTAGGGGGGGTTGGATGGCTGAATGGTTAGCGTGCGCGCGCTGTAGCATAAAGTCTGTCATTGAGTCGACTGGCGTGGTTTCGAATCCCCGGTTGTACGTGGCAAGGAGTAGGGTCGCCTGTCCAACCTCGTGGGTTTTCTCCGGGTCCTCCGGTTTCCTCCCACTGCTAAAGACCCCTACGCGCAAGCGAATTATGTAAATAAAATTAAACCATATGTTAGTCCCGAAATGACCTAGTTTGTGTCGAGTGGACGTTAAACCCATTTCTCTCTCTCTCTCACTCTCTCTCTCTTCTCTCTCTCTCTCTCTCTCTCTCTCCCTCTTCCTCTTATCAGTTTATTTCTAGACCGATAATCCCCTCTCACGATATTAACCTTTTTTTACATTTTGGAACATTGACCTTGCCCATACCTAAATCTTTTTCTATAATTAAAATATTGTTTATAAAAAAAAAACCATGTATTTTGTTTTGAAGAACAAATTCCTTTTTGAGTGCCAGTCATCAACCCGCGGTCAACAAGAACACCATGAAATGTGACGTAATAGATGCCACATATTTAACAAAAGTGTTGACCACGCCCTGTAATCTACACCGATGTCTTCAATCTCTGCCATCAACTGTCAGTGTACTAGATGTATGTGTTGATGATTCTGGCCACAGGTTTAATCCTGGCAAGATGAGGGGGTTGCATTGTTTATTAGATACAGTTGGTCATCTCTATATTTCTGGTAAGTTTAAAGGAGCTAAATCCATATTCTTTGGCATCTAGAAATGGACACAAATGGGTCGCAACGCATATAATAATGTAATATGAATGTACATTTTTCTGTTTTTACTGTAATTTACTTTATTGGTTTAAATTGACCATCGAGGATTATGGATGATATTGAGTTAAAGACTTGACTCCTTTAAAGGCAGTCCTTCTAATCACCGACAAGGTCCGACAAGCACGTTTTATGGTCAGCAGCGCACTATAACCCATAATTTTGTCAATTTGTTTTTTTAATAAAATCCTTTAAATATTGGACATGTGTAGAATGTGAATATCTATAACATATCTTTCATATATGACTAGACAGCAGTCCTTGCCAGACCCTCCGTCCAGCACCACTGACATGGGGAAACGACGGCGGAAACTCCCGATGAACTTTCTCGGCCAATGCAGGGATCGAACACGGGTCTTACCCACTTAACCACATAATGTTTGGAGACATTTCATTGTGTAGGTTGTTTTATTTTCTAGTCATTTGGGGGGATCACGGTGGCTAAGTGGGTAAGGCGCTGGCTCGCTAGCCTGGAGATCGGGTGTTCGTTCCCTGCACGTAAAAGATCCCTTGACAGGTGGAATTCGATATAAGAGTAGGCCGTAGTGCCGCTGTCCGGGCAAAATTTCCCTCAAAGCACACTGTATGGCGTATGCCCGTCTTCATTAGCCCAGTTCGGAGCAAAACAGTAGAACGTTAAACCCCATTTCATTTCTAGTCATTCGGATCGGGACGGAAAACCTAGGCCCTTTACACATTGGCCCTTTAGGTGGCTGAATGGTTAGCACGTGCGCGCTGTACCATAAAGTCTGTCATTGAGTCAACTGGCGTGGTTTCGAATCCCCGGTTGTACGTGGCAAGGAGTAGGGTCGCCTGTGCAACCTCGTGGGTTTTCTCCGGGTCCTCCGGTTTCCTCCCACTGCTGAAGACCCCTACTCGCAAGCGAATTATTGAAATAAAATTAAACCATGTGTTAGTCCCGAAATGACCTAGTTTGTGTCGAGTGGACGTTAAACCCATTTCTCTCTCTCTCTCTCTCTCTCTCTCTCTCTCTCTCTTCATTAGCCAGTCTTCATTAGCCCAGTCAATGCACAACAGTAGGACCCCACTACTTTGTTTTTTAAAATTTCAGGTTTTGATGTTAATGTGGATAAAATCAACAAATCGTGCGATCACCTGCCATTAGATAGTAAACAACCACCTATTAGTCATCTAGTCGGCTGGGATCACTCGAAGAAATGGCAAACTATAAATTGGCATCAGTACTCTGCTCAAGGTTAGTACAGTTTACTCCAACTGCTAAAGACCCCTATGCGCTAGCGAATTATTGAAATAAAATTAAACCATATGTTAGTCCCGAAATGACCTAGTTTGTGCCGAGTGGACATTTAACCCCATTACTCTCTCTCTCTCTCCCCGCTCAAGGTTAGCTTTATTTTATCAAAGTGGCTATTGTTACGAGTCTGAGCCAAGTTTAGAACGAATTCCAAAATGGCTGCCAATCTCCCCAACGCCAGCTTTGAAAAAGGAGCAGTATTTTCAACGTTTTCAGAACTGAAGGCAGCAATTAAGAGATGGGAAGGGTTAGGGTTAGGACTATTTTTACGACTATTCAGTTTTTAACTTCGCCGATAGAGGGCTGTGAAAGCATCGTCGTAACAATAGTCTGAGGACTATTTTTACGACTCGTCGTAACAATAGCCACTGGCTTATTTTATTATCTGGCGCAGAACGAATGTACACAAATTGATTATTTAACAAATTTAAGAAAACAAAAGAGAAATATCAACGGTAGACACCGTCCCGGTATGGATTCAATTGTTTTAAAAGAGGTTCATCAAATCAATTCATGTATCGAAGATTGCAGCTTAAGTTAGGTTGTGGCATCCAGTTTATATCGTCTACAGTGAATGCCGAATCACGACAGTTTTTTAGTTCACCATTTTTGCTACTTTCGATTTTCACAATATTGTAGTTGGCGAGGGGATTCCCCGATCCCCTGATGATATTCAGAGACTTTTAATTCGTCTGTTTTATTTTCACAGAAAAAGATGAAAAACCGGAAGTGTATACATTTTCTGTGAGTAGTGATTATTGCGCTGAATCGTTGTTCATCTACCATATTTGGAAAGCGGCAATGTTGAAATCTGAGGTAATAGCGTAATAATTCTACTTTCTCTTTTTCTTGAATTAATCTGTTATCACAAATGTAGATGTGATGATGGTTCATCTATCTTTATGTAAGCTGCGGCATATCATCTTAATTTGGAACTGGGGAGCCAAGGTGAATCGGTGACTAAGGCGCTGGCTCACTAACCAATCAGTCCCGGAGTTTTCCAGCGTGAGTTTCACTTGTCAACGATGCAGTAAGAAAAGGCCTGACAAGAAAGAGCGACTTGTCTTTCGGATGGTATAAAAGAAAACAATGTCGCAAGTACACGTTGGTGTAAACGTAAAATACATTGGCAGTTGGAATTATATATCCGTCTTCATAAGCCCGGTTGGTGCCGGTCGCGGGACGTTAAACCCGAACTGGTAAGACAGTAACGGCGATGTGTCACATACCCCATGTCTGTGATCTCTATATTTGTAAGTTTCGAAATGACTTAAAACATACCTATTTTCATATGATGAAGGTTGAAGAAGAACAGTCGATCAAGATTAATATTACAAATGGAAGCCCTCATATCTTCTTCTCGGCTTCTATACAAACAGCTAGTGTTAATATTATGCCGGGTTCCAAAAAGTTCACCATCACATTTTCAGGTTGGTTGAATTTTTTACTAGTTTAATTTCTATCCTATCTTCGTAACCTTTTATATGTAATACCACGAAAATCACGGGAATTAAACATTGTAGCAGAGAAAAAGATCTTTGTTACAATCGGGAATAACAACTTAAACTGTGCAAAACACAGTCGCAATGTAAAGAAAATTAAGATTTTACAATATATTGGTGGTGGCTAAGTGGGCAAGACGCTGGCTCGCTAACCTGGAGGTCGTGTGTTTGATCCTTGCATTGGATTTTCCGATGTGGTTCTCCTTTGTCAGTGATGCGGAGAGCCTAGCAAGAACAGCTGTCTAGCCGTTCGGATGGTACGAAAAACCGAAGTGCCGCGTACACATTGGCGTGCACGTAAAAGATCCATTGACAGTTGGAGTTCGATATAAGAGTAGGCCGTAGTGCCGCTGTGCGGGCAAAATTTCCCTCATATCATATTGTATGGCGTAAGCACGTCTTCATTAGCCCATTTCGGAGCAGAACAGCAGGACATTAAATTTCATTTCATTTTACAATATAGTGTTAAACAAAATTAAAATGATAAAACCAATTTCATTGCAATATATTTGAGCAGGACAGTTAAAGGGATTTTATTATAATATATGCATAATTGTTTTGGGTTTCTTCTACAACAGATTGTCAAGAAAATTATCAGATTCTTTCTGGTTCCTTTGATCTGGTTGATGACCTTGAACTTCCAAGAATTCCCGCATATGAGGCAGATATCAACCAAAACGTAGAAAAGTCTGATGGCAGGTATGACATGAATTGCCACCGAGAGAAATTGTATGTGCCGAAGAAAAGAAATATTTTACCCCCTGAATCGGATTGGGGGCTCGTGGCCTCAGAGCCTTGTACCGGCTGCCCCCCTCTTTCTTTGGTCGTGATGACATGAATTTAAATGCATACACATAATTCCTCATTCTGATATACATTATTTCAATTCCCCGCTTGAACATGGCAAGGAGTAGGGTCGCCTATCCAACCTTGTGGGTTTTCTCAGGGTCCTCCGGTTTCCTCACACTTCTAAAGACCCCTACGCGCTAGCGAATTTTTGAAATAAAATTGAACCATATGTTAGTTCGGAAATGACCTGGTTTGTGTCGTGTGAACGTTAAATCCAATTTCCCTCTCTCTCTCTCTCTCTCTCTCTCTCTCTCCCTCTCCCTCTCTCTCTCTCTCTCTGATATACATTCAATTACTAAACTACCTGTCTGATCATAGTCGACCTTTAGAATACATAAAGTTGGAATGATAGATTATAACAAGGACATCTCGGGTTCGCTAACGGTGTTGGCCAAGAAAGTACTCCGAAATTTTCTTGCGCGGTTTCCCCCTTGTTAGTGGTGCAGGACCGAAGGCCCGAAAAGGACAATATCTGTTCGTTCGGATTGGACGTGCACATAAAGAAGCTTTGAAATGTGAAATAAAAGTAGGCCGTAGTGCCACTATCCGGACAGATTGTCCCCATAGCACACTGTATGGCGTATGTCCGTCGTCATTAGCCCAGTTAGGAGCATAACAATAGGACGATAAACACCAGATCATTTCCAATAAGAGACTTATAAAATGAAGAATATTTTGATTTGTAGTGAAGATGATATTCAGAGAACGGACATCACCTGGGAAGATAGTTGGTTAGAATATCTAGACAGTGTAGTTGACTTTCCTGTTAGTCTCACCAATTCTGATATAGTTCAAGTTTATATTGATGCTAAACAACACTGGAAGGAAGTCAACGGTTGTGCCAATATATTTACCATGTATGAACCTTCCAGTGGTAAGTGAATTATTTTCCTTTTTACACAGTAACTAGACAAGAGTATCTTCTGGTTTGTGGCTCTGTTCGTCTTCATTAGCCCACAGAACTAGAATACTAAGACGTTAAACCCCATTTCATTTTGGTCTGTAGTTCAGTGATCTGTGTCGATCCCGATGATGACCGAGGATACTTAGAGATATTTAAGCCTGATTTCCCTATGTCAATGATACGGGGAGGGCATGGCAAAAAAAGGTGTCTATTAGTTCCAATGGGACCGAAAAAGAGTCCAAGCCGTGTTCTTGGTGGCGTGCACGTACAAGAACCCTTAACAATTGAAATTCTGTGAAGAGTAGGCGGAAATCCCGCTGTCCGGACAAATTCTCTCATTGTAAACTACATATGTCTATCTTCATTAGGCCGATTGAATCAGAAAAGTACTTTTATGTCTTGCAGACCATACTTTCGCATTAAAAGATTCTCCGCGAATCAGTTGAACGCGTGCTGTGATAAAGGAGGAATTATAAACATTTCATTTAAAAATAGACCGTCTTCATTAGCCCTGTCGGTGCAGAAAATTAAGACCCTAAACCTCATTTCATTTTATTTCATTAAAAATTTAATAATGAATATTTCGCCCAAGACAATTGCCGATATCTCCCAATAACATGTGTTATTGAAGTTTTATATACCTTTTGGGCGGGGTGGTGGTGGATGGCGAATGGTTAGCACGTGCAAGCTGTATCGTAAGGTCTGTCATTGAGTCAACTGGCGTAGCTTCGATTCTCCGGTTGTACATGACAAGGAGTAGGATCACCTGTCCAACCTCGTGGGTTTTCTCCAGGTCCTCCGGTTGTCTCCCACTGCTAAAGATTCTTACGCTCAATCGAATTATTGAAATAAAATTGAACCATGTGTTAGTCCCGAAATGGCCCCATTTCTCTCTCTCTCTTTATAACTTTTTATCATTCCCGTAGGTATATGTAAATCTGGTGGAGTAGCTCTTCAATTTGGCATCACCCCTACTTCCAAACTCCGTAAAGAAAACAAGATCTTCAGTGCATCGTATACTGATCAAGTCGCCGATTCTAATGTCAAGGAATTATCTATTAATACCCTTGAATCAGGAGCTGTGTGTTTATCTTATTCTGGTGAAAATCTACAGAAGGAAACAACAATAGGTTTGATGGCCATTGGTGGTAAGTTTCAACATCCGGTTTTACATTTTAAGAGAAGAGTCTGGTAGAATAACCTTGCGAATTTATTCCCGGCTATAACGTCTTGAGGGGGTGGATGGCCGAATGGTTAGCACGTGTGCGCTGCATCATAAAGTCGGTCTTTGAGTCAGCTGGCATGGGTTCGACCCCCCGGTTGTACGCGGCAAGGAGTAGGGTCGCCTGTCGAACCTTGTGGACTTTCTCCGGGTCCTTTGCTTTCCTCCCACTGCTAAAGATCCCTACGCGCAAGCGAATTATTGAAATAAAATTAAACCATATGTTAGTCCCGAAATGACCTAGTTTGTGTCGAGTGGACGTCAAACCCAATTTCTCTCGCTCCCAATAACTTCTTTTAGCACCTGTTGGCGTAATAAGGAGTATGCGTAGTTGTGTACACGTTGGCATGCACTAAAAACAACCTAACAGTTGGAAATAGACGAAGACGCCACTGCTTCGGCAAAATTACTCTCTCCCATTACACAATGAGGATGTAAATAATTACCATACGCTTGTTTCAATTTGACCTAAGTACTTTTAACATTTTCTCGTTGGAATATAGATTTGGGGGTTGTACAAGCCACAAGGGCATTGGGTGGAATGAAAAGTAAGACAGATATTCAATGATTACAGTTTCCCTTTAATGGCAATGGGCGGGGGGGAGGGGCAAGATGGGTGTGAAGTTAGAACACTGTCTCGTGTACAAACCCCAACGTCATACGTGTAAATGGGCAATCTACGTTAAAGACCCATGCCCCCCCCCCCACCATCTAGTAATGCACACATAATAATAGAAAAACAGTTAGCATTTCTTACCATAATAGGACAGAAAGAAATCATGAATCATTATTGGTCAATGTGTTTAAACCACACAGCTTTGAATGACTGTCTTTATGAATAACCTTACAATTGAATTTTTATTTCAGAAGGTCAATTTCGTCATCAATCTGTGGGCCTAGATTCCTGCCTGCCCAACTTGAGAATCTTCTTACCATACATCATAGCTTCTCACTATCTCCATGTTAAAGTTCATATCAAACCAGAACACAGTATCTTGTTCTTGTTATCTAATGCAAGAATAGGTAAGTCTTAATATTGTGTGGGTTGGGTGGCCGAATGGTTAAACATAAGGTCTGTCATTGAGTAAAGTGGTGTGGTTTCGATTCCCCGCTTGTACGTGGCAAGACGTAGGGTTGCCTGCTTAACCTCGTTGGTTCTTTCCCGTGCATTGGGTTGCCCATACAGTTAAAGACCGCTACGCGCAATGAATTAGTGAAATAAAATTGAATCATATGTTAGTCCCAAAATGACCTACTTTGTGTCTAGTGGACGTTAAACCCCAATTCTCTCTTTTAATCTTATCTATCCTTGTGTCAAATTATCTTTTCTAGATTCCCCCTACTTATTCTTTACCGGATGGAACCTGACATTTTTTTGTAAACATAGCTATGACAACATAACATAATATTGAACAGAATTACTACTTTAATTAAAGACGTTTCCTTGTGTGTCCTCGATACGTTATCAAAAATAATGACATATTGGTAGTAAACACTTTCTGGGAGCCACGTTGGGTCAGTTAGGGTGGTGCTGCCTCAATAACTAGATGGTCCAAGGTTCCATCCCGATGTTGGCCAAGAAGATTCCTCTGTGGTTTCCTTCTACTATACCGTTACATTTTCAAATTGGCGCGCAGGTGATAGATTCCTTGGCAGTTATAATCCAATACAAGAGTAGGCCGTAGCGCTGTCTGGGCAACATATTCCCCCATAGCACACTGTATGGCGTGTGCCCGTTTTCATTAGCCCAGTCGGAGGAGAACAGTAGGACGTTAAACCACATTTCATTTCATACGTTATTTGATAATTTGTGTCTTTATGGTACAGGCTTGTCTGTGAATGTCGTTTCGACTTGATATCAAACGTTCATTTCAGATGAAGTTAATATGGTTATGATATATTTGGCCATGTCTATGATGTGTAAAGTGTATGTGGCCATTTTAAATGATATGATGGTGGAAGGGGACATTAAAGCATTGGTTCCGGACGTCACAACTTTATCACTAGAAAATCTCAACTCACAGATAAAGAAACTGACGAATGGAAAAGGCTGTGATGTATGTGTGTCAATACCGTGTTCTTTGTCGGACCAACATATACGTAAGTATCTGTTTAAATAGCGCTCCCACTCCCATCCCCACCTTGTCCGTGGTGCACTGCGGATAGTCTGGCAAGGAAAGGCGCTAAAGATCAGGTGTCAGCTGGAAATCGGAGAAGATTTATAATTACTGGTTCGAACGCTGGTTGTCCTGTAATTGTTTTATTTGTCGATTAACGCATGTAAACTAAACAGGACAGCTTACAACAACGTTTACATTTCCAACACAGGTGAAAACAATATACGGACGCCGGGTACCCACTATCGTGCATAACCGCATCTAACCAATAATATTCAGTTACCATGACAATAATATGGATAATTCAACCGGACACATGGGTGCGGCGCTCGTCGGCAGCTTTCAGTGTTGTTCGTCTTATTTAACACAAAACATTAATGTTTTGGGCATAACAGAGAAGATGTTTATAAGTTGTGTAATCGGTTTGTATTGTACAATATAACGTCGATGCAATATCACAAGATTAAAACATACATTATGCAAAAGCTAAATCTGCCTATTGCAGGTCTTTCATTAGGCCTGAAATGTTATTAGACATTAATAAACTTAACCAGACCATAATCAACTCTCGAAGGCATCGCTAGCCTGCGATGTTTATTGGATTAGGTTCCGATTTGCTGTTCGACTTCCGTTATAATTAAATAAAAAAAATGGATAATCGAGACTGTTTTTATCCTACCGACTTTAGTAATGATGATTAAGGCTATCCCCAATATTCAATCGCTAAAATCTCGGTTCATGGTGGGTCAATTTGATTGAAATTTTCAGCAAATTCCCTTTACTTTATCTTGTTTTTAACTATTATAGTGAGAATTGCCAGCTCTTAAACTAATCTCCCATAATATATCTTTAAACTATATTATAGGTGATTTTGCATATTTTTAAATTACAGCTCTAAAGACTTCTATAGAATGGTTAGCTGATCATGGACATTTTCTGTTGAGTAAACCTATCCAACATGGCCGTGATATAGGCATGGGTGAATTTCTTAGGAACATCACCCTTCATGTTTGTGAACCTATACAGGCTATTATAGAATTAGCTGATAAAAGTACTGACGAAATGAAGGAATTAACACTTGGTCTTATGACAGACGGTTTCGCAAAGGTAGATATATATATATATATATAGAGAGAGAGAGAGAGAAATGGGGTTTAACGTCCACTCGACACAAACTAGGTGATTTCGGGACTAACATATGGTTTAATTTTATTTACATTATTGGCTTGCGCGTAGGGGTCTTTAGCAGTGGGAGGAAACCGGAGGACCCGGGGACAACCCACGAGGTTGGACAGGCGACCCTACTCCTTGCCACGTACAACCGTTGATTCGAAACCACGCCAGTCGACTCAATGACAGACTTTATGATACAGCGTGCGCACGCTAACCATTCAGCCATCCAACCCCCCGCAAAGGTAGATATCAAAAAAAAATACTTTAAATAGAATGTAACGGATCCGTTGTGCCTAAATCCAATTTGCATTTTTTCCGACTTTGACTTTGGTGCACTTTTTAATAGACTCAATGAGGGGTCAATTTAAAGATAATATTGTTTAACCTTTAATGTAAATATAATCGACTTTCGGAAGAAAACGAAAGTGCGGACAAATTTTAACATGGCTGAATTGTCTGAAGCATGCGCTTTAGATCCTAGGAGCTGGCATAGTCATGTGGCAGGGTTTCAAGCACACATTTGATTGAGAAGGGGGGGGGGGTAAATCGGGTCTGCCATCGAGTAATGTGGCGTGGTTTCGATTCCGCTCATGTACGTGACAGGGAGTAAGATCGCCTGTCCAACCTCGTGGGTTTTCTCCGGGTTCCCCCCTCCCTGTTAAAAGACCCCCACCTCCTTGGTCCATACAAATTATTGAAATAAAATTAAACCATATGTTAGTCCCAAAATGACCCAATTTGTGTTAGATGGACGGTAATCCCCCTTTCAATTATTTATTTATCCAGCATCAAGATTTATAGAAGCCACAAACTTTATTTCTGAAACGATTTGAAAAATTACATTAATCATTTGTTTAAACATACATTATGCAAGAGCTAAATCTGCCTATTGGAGGTCTTTCTTTAGGGCTGAATGATATCTAAACTATCAGTTAGACATTAATTAACTTATCCAGACCATAATCAACTCTCAATGCCATGGCTAGACTGTGATGTTTACTGGATTTGAATCCGATTTGCTGCTCAACGCTCATTGATGATTTAATCCAAAAATGTACCGACTTTACTAATGATGATCCGAGGCTAGGCCCAAAATTCAAACGCTAATAGCTTGGTTCAGAATGGAACAATTTGACTGAAATTCCCTTTACAATACCTAATTTGTCACTGTTATAATGAGAAGTGCCAACTCTTCTTCTAATCTTCCATAATCTATCTTTTAAGTTGACGTCCCAACTGTACAGTAAATACGATCCTCCAGTCAATCAAGTGTTTAGTTTCTCGGTGCCACTCAGTCTACATAAATTGATGTATGTAACAGAAGAACCTGGTGTTAGGATAGAAGATGTTATGGATGGTCTCTCACAGGCTGATTTAAGTGTCATCGAATTACTTCAAGACACTCTCTCTTTCCTTCCTAGGGTAAGCCGATCGTCAATCTTTTCGGATCTAGATTGATTTATCCCAAAATGAAATCAGTTTGAATATCTTACCGTTTTGCACCAATCGTGTTGTCTATGGGCTACAAAGGACTCCAGGAGAGCCAAGGTAGCTTAGTGAGTAGGACGTCGGCTCGCTAACCTGGAGGTCCCGTGTTCGATCCCTGCGTTAGCCGGCGTGGTACCCATTGTCAGTGACGTAGGACGAAGGGCCTGGCAAGGGACAGCATATAGTCGATCGGATGGTACGATAAATCGATGTCCCGTGTACACATTGGTCTACACGTAAACGATCCCTTGGCAGTTGGAATTCGATATAAGAGTAGGTCGTAGCGCCGCTGTCTGGGCAAAATTGTCCTCGTAGCGCACTGTATGGCGTATGCCCGTCTTCACTAGCCCCGTTGGAACAGAACAGTAGGATGTTAACCCATATTTCATTTCACAAAAGACTTCAAGAAGCGCCCAGACCGACACCGGGATTCAACCAGGAACCTTCTGATCAGCTCCGTACTCATCAAGCAAACGTGGTTGCAATATTCTTGGATAATGCCCATTGTCTCCATAACATCACTTTCTATAAACAGACGTTATTTTCATGTCCTACCAATTTAAGAATTATACTTTTTAACCGTTGTATTTGTGAAATATGTTTGTAAGATTCTATAAGTTTACAGATGATCATAATTTACCAGGGGATCGCGTGGCTAAGTGGGTAAGACGCTGGCTCGCTAGCCTGGAGGTCGGGTGTTCGACCCCTGCATTGGCCGAGAAAGTTCATCCAGATTTTCCGGCGTGGTTCCCCCTTGTCAGTGATGCAGAACGGAGGGCCTTACAAGGACAGCTGCATAGTCCTTCGGATGAGATGAAAAACCGAGGTCCGGTGTATACATTGGAATGCACGTAAAAGATCCCTTGACAGTTGGAATGAGATATAAGAGTAGGCGATAGTGCAGCTGCCCGGGCAAAATTTCCCTCATAGCACACTGTATGGCGTATGCCCGTCTTCATTAGCCCAGCATAGGAGCAGAACAGTAGGACGTTAAACCCCATTTCATTTCATTTTCATTTCATAATATAGTATGTTATAACTCTATGTAAAGACTGGGGTAGGTGTTTTAATAAATTAATAACAATTTTAAAACTTAATTATTGCAAAGAATCCACATGTTCTGTACAGTCATTACTTCTTATTTAACTTTTCCTCCTAGGAATACTCTCTTGCACAAGATACCTTAGAATCTTTAGCACCAGATTATAAGCTAAACAAAGCAACGTTCTTAATTGATGAGACCACCCTCACACCTAACAACCTTGCGTCTACCAAATCCCACCTAACACCATACCCAGCCATTGATGAAGTCGACGGCGATTCGAAAACTGTACCGTCGAAAATAAGGATTATATCATTATCGGGAACACCTTCAAATACATCGAAGCATTCGGCTTGTAAACAATCCACATCGACTCCTATAGTCACCATTAACATTCAATTAGCAGCGGATGATTTAGACCAAAGTGCCATATCTTTGAACTATCCACCTTTAGAAGAGAATTGGAGCTCGCCAAAGTTCGCAAGTAAAAGACACCCGTCTCTCTTAGCTTCGCCAGCATTTACAAGAATTCGTGGAAGATCCAGAAAGAGTAGCAGTGTGACCAGCTTGGGTTGTCCAGAAGTCATGAAAGCTTCACCAGCCAAGGAATCAGAACAGAAACCAAGATTGGGCACGCCTAAAGTACAATAGTATGTATTGGATACGTTTGCTTGGTTTCTTCTAATGTTTAGCATTCAGACACAAAATAATTTTGTTTGTGAATTTTTATAATTTTTAATTGACTTACTATTCCAGACCTTCAATCTTGCACGAAGAGCCCATCTAAATAAAATTTCTGTACTATATTAAGTCTTCTTCCAGACAGCAAATCGATGTTTTATGTTTGAGAGCTAAAAAACTTTACAATTAAAATGTTCGGCAAGCTTTTGGAGATACATTAATTTAAATGCGGTCATTTCAATTTATTCTGCACTTAGCGGCGACATTTGATATGCTTTGCCATGATTTTCTTTTGACAAATCGAGTTCCAAAATTTATGTACATGGTCTGAAATTGCTTTCCGCCCTACCTAAATAATTGCAAGATTTGACTTTTAGCGCTAGCGAATCAGAAGTACATTCCTGGTTTGGATCCTTTAGTCAGTTTGTGCCAGTTTTAGAGATCTTGTTACCCTTGGACCTTCAACTAGTATCCAGTCGAAAAAGTTAACACATTAAATTTAGGAACCCTGCCAATAACCACCTAGAATGAAACTAAAACTTTAATGGTAAATGACTGATAACGTTTCGCGACATACGCATGCACACCGGTATGGAACTGTGCATGATAATTTATACTCGTGTAAAGACAGTTTCGTTTTATTTCAGCCTTGGCGGGGTTGGATGGCCGATTGGTTAGCCCGTGCGCATTGTGTCATAAGGTCTGTCATTGGGTCAACTGGTGTGGTTTCAATTCCCTGGTTGTTCGTGACAAGGAGTAGGGTTTCCTGTCCAACCTCGTTGGTTTTCTCTGAAGACACCTACGCGCAAGCGAATTATTGAAATAAAATTGAACTATATGTTAGTCCCGAAATGACCTAGTTTGTGTCCAGTGGATTTTAAACCCCTTTTCTCTCTTTATTTCAGCCTTGATCTGCCATCAACTGTAGATTTATTGTTAGTTGGTCCACCGAGATCACCTTGTACACCGGAAATGAAAAGAGGTCTAATATCCAGTAAATTTGAACCTACCATTATACCACTTAATACTAAAAAGGGCAAACCACTGTATATTGTACATCCAATTATAGGTAATTGATATACCGTATCCAAAGTACTTATGGAATGTGTTACCCAGCTCTTGTGTTTCAGAGAGGGGGCCACAGTGGGTAAGACACTGGCTCGCTAGCTTGTAGCTCACGTGTTCGATCCCTGCATTGGTCGAGAAACTTCATCGAGACTTTTTGACGTTGTTTTCCCTGTCAGTGGTGCAGGACGATGGGCCTGGCGAGGACAGCTGTCTAGTCCTTCGGATGGGACAAAACCAGGACGTTAAACCCCATTTCATTTAGTTTCTATGTCCAAGGGTACAAATAATACGTATAAGCATGTGGGTATAAGTTAAGCTTTTTCTGTTTTGTAGGCGGAGTGAAGATATTAAAGCCATTAGCAGAGAAATTGAACTTCGCTTGTTGTGGAATACAAAGAACAGCAAACACGCCCACTATATCTATCAACAGTGTGGCTGGGTAAGTAGTAGTAAACACACCTACTATATCTGTCAATAGTGTCGTTGGTGGTAAACACACCCACTATATATATCAATAGTGTGGCTGGGTAAGTAGTGGTAAACACACCCACTATATCTATCAATAGTGTCGCTGGGTAAGTAGTGGTAAACACACCCAACATATATCTATCAATAGTGTGGCTGGGTAAGTAGTGGTAAACACACCCACTATATCTATCAATAGTGTCGCTGGGTAAGTAGTGGTAAACACACCCAATAGCGTGGCCGGGTAAGTAGTGGTAAACACACCCACTATATCTATCAACAGTGGCTGTGAATGAAATGAAATGGGGTTTAACGTCCTACTGTTTTGCTCCGAACTGGGCTAATGAAGACGGGCATACGCCATACAGTGTGCTATGAGGGAAATTTTGCCCGGACAGCGGCACTACGGCCTACTCTTATATCGAATTCCAACTGTCAAGGGATCTTTTACGTGCACGCCAATGTGTACACGGGACCTCGGTTTTTCGTCCCAACCGAACGACTAGACAGCTGTCCTTGTCAGCCCCTCCGTCCTGCATCACTGACAAGGGAGAACCACGCCGGAAAATCTGGATGAACTTTCTCGGCCAATGCAGGGATCGAACACCCGACCTCCAGGCTAGCGAGCCAGCGCCATACCCACTTAGCCACCGTGATCCCCCAACAGTGGCTGTGTCTATGCATGTAAAACAACGTGCAGTGATTTTAAGTATATGCATTTTAAATTGTTTTTATTTCGAAAATATATTTCGTTTTGCATTTGGGGGTTATACGCGACACCTGCTTATTTCAACCCTTTGATAACTATATCTAAATCAGTTGTTAATTTGAATACCACCCGTTCCTTAATTCTCCTGCGATCAAGGGAAGTAACTCTATTGAAGGTTTCTTGACAACAGGGATTGAACACTAGACTCGGTTATCAGAAAATTGTAATGGTTAGTAAAATAATTCGGATTAAACATTCTTTTTTGTATTTTTCTGAAGGTATTATCTAAATGCTTTAGAGATGATGGACCCAGATGGGCCGTATAACATAGCTGGTTATTCGTATGGTGGAATGATAGCTCTAGAGTTAGCACTCCAGTTACAAGCTAAGGGCAAAACGGTAAGGCAATATGATAAAAATAATTGCGAGGTCATTAAGAAACACTAACTGATAATATATTTTAAAAAGCATCTGAGTTGCATTAAAGATAGTTTTTGTACCATATGTTACTTCTGAAATGACAGTTTTTGTCGAGTGCTCCTTAAACCGTGACTAGTGTATAAAAATGAAAGTACTTTACATGTAAGTAAAACATTTTGTTTTTATATAGGTGAAATACCTTGTAATGTTAGATGGTTCTCCTAATTATGTCAAAGCCCAGATCCAGTTTATTTATGATAGAATACCTAGAAGTGTCATCACATCTGTCAAATCACCAATCAGAAAGGTAAATAGCCATACAACAATTGTATAAAGGTGTATTTTAATGCACGGTTAACTATGCTAAGATACTAATATATTTACTATATAGCTTTCAAACTTCAATATTGTAAAAATTAAATCTCTAAATGGAATAACGACACAAATGGTCCATTTCCATTCTGTATGTACAACATGGGATGAATCGAAATGTTCTAAACATTCGGCATTCACAGCAATCTGAAAGACAGACCGTAGACCTTACTTGCAGAGGAAAATCTAGCTGACATTTAATTTTCGTACATTAGTTACGTACGCATTCATAGCAGACGATATACACAATCCACCAGATCCTATAAGTGTCACTGTCCAGGCAAAACTTTCCCTCATAGCACACTGCTTAACGTATACCATAGTTTATTTCCATTATATTCCCCTTACTGACTCGTTAATTTTCAATAACTATAGGAAGCGGGGATGGATGGCCGAATAGTTAGCGCGTGCGCTTGCATCATAAGGTCTGTCATTGAGTCAACTGGCCTGGTTTCGATTACGTGATCGTACCTGACAAGAAGGGTTGCCTGTCCAACCTCGTGGGTTTTCTCCGGGTCCTCCGGTTTCCTCCCACTGCTAAAGACCCCTACGCGCAAGCGAATTATTGAAATAAAATTGAACCATGTTAGTCCCAAAATTACCTATTTATGTCAAGTGGATGTTAAACCCCATTTCTCTCTCTACCCCCTCCCCCCCACACACACACACCTTTGTCTCTGTCTCTCCCTCTCTCACCCCCCCCCCCCCCTCTCTCTAACATTTATTTTCAATAACTAGGTGGATGAACAAATGGAAGTAGGATTTCTGTTATGGTTCATCAATATGTTTGGTCCTATAAAACAGAAGGGTTTGATAACCAAAGCTTTGGAAGGTTTATCATCGACAGAAGAGAGAGTTGAAATAGCGGTTAATTTCTTGATGGGTAACGTCGTGGTGAGGTAAGTAAAAGATATATGAAAGTAGGTTTGGTGGCAGGATCGTCTAACTCGTGTGCTTTAGATCATGGGGTCAAGCATTGAGTCAATTTGTGTGGTTTCCACCCTACACTTGTACTTGACAAGGAAAATGAAATGAAATGGGGTTTAACATCCTACTGTTCTGCTCCGGCTGGGATAATGAAGGCGGGTGTACGCCATACAGTGTGCTATGAGGGAAATTTGGCCCGGACAGCGGCGCTACGACTTACTCTTATATTGAATTCCAACTGCCAAGGGATCTTTGACGTACACGGGTTTTTCGTCCCATTTGACCGACTAGACAGCCGCCCTTGTCAGGCCCTCTGTCCTGCACAACTGACAAGAGGAAACCAGGCCGGAAGACTTCTATGAACTTCCTCGGCCCACACCGGTAGCGAACTTGACAAGGAGTGGGATTGCTTTCCTTACCTCGTCAGTTTTCTCCGGCTCATCTTGGTCTCACCTTTTCTACGTGATAAGGAGTAAGGTCGCCTGCCCAACCCCGTGGGATTTCCCGGGGGCCCCCCAGTCTTTTCCCATTACTAAAGACCCCTATGATGGCCTGGAAATGATCTAGACCCATGTTGTCTATTTTAACCAATATTAATCTCGACAAGATAGTGTAGACGATGTGTCTGGTTGTTCGCGTATACAATTCGCACTATGACCGACTGGAGATTTTGTGCTAATCCACTAGTTAACAATGCATTCTTCCTCATTAAGTTCGACATTTTGTCTAAATCAATATAAAACAGCTTGAACAAGGCGGTCTTATTCGAAAAATTTTGTTTGCTAAAAGACAAAGTGTATTCTTTTTACAATTTCAGTCCCAATCCAGCGAAAACAAAATGGCTTACGGCAAAACACAAGCTTATTAAAGCAAGGCATAATGATGGGCTGTATTGTGCTGCACAGGAGGTCATAAGGATCTCGCGAGAGGAGAAAGCACGTGAATTGATAAGTGGTGCTAAAATGGCTGATAAATATAAGATGAAATCACACAAATTCGAAGGTATGTTCCAAAATAAAAAAGTGGGGTTGGATGGCCGAATGGTTAGCATGTGCGTGCTGTATCATAAGGTTCAAACTTGAACTGCCAAAGGATATGTTGCGTGCACGCCAATGTGTTCACGGGTGGAAATTCGTTTGTCGATCTAGAAAGATTTTATCTGAAAAAATAGCCTCAGGTTCTTTGTCATGTCCCACGCCTGACAAGTGAGAACCGGTCTTGTAAATCCTAAAGGTTCTTCGGGGTGGAGGGGGGGGGGAAGTCGAATTGTTAGTGCGTGCGCGTTGTATCATAAAGTCTGTCATTGAGTCAACTGGCGTGGTTTCGATTCTCCGATGGTACGTGACAAGTAGGGTCGCCTGTCCAACCTCGTGGGTTTTCTCCGGGTCCTCCAGTTTCCTCCCACTGCTAAAGACCCCTACACGCAAGCGAATTATTGAAATAAAATTGAACCATGCGTTAGTCACGAAATGACCTAGTTTGTGTCGAGTGGACGTTAAACCATCTCTAAAAGAACAAATAATTTCTAGATTTTAATTTCGTTTTGCTTGTTCGATTTCAATTTTTTTGTAAAATATTTGATATATTTTTCTTCATTTGATACTCCCACATTCTTGTGAACACTTTGCAGATGTTTTTTTTTATTAAATTCGCAACGAAGACTCGAACAAAATTCGGTTTTCTTTGATCGATGGCAGTTCGTGAAGTTCATACCTGATTTGATTTCAAATATATGATAAATTTTCTTGATAAAACAGTATTTGTTATTGTTGATTGACACATTTGTGGATATTGGGGAGGGGGCGGGGACAGACAAGCCCCTTCTAAGATTTAGAGTTTCTTCCATTGGAGATCGGGGGATCACGTGGCTAAGTGGGCAAGACGCTGGAGGTCGGGTGTTCGATCCCTGCATTGGCCGAGAAAGTTCATCCAGATTTTCCGGCGTGGTTCTCCCTTGTCAGTGATGCAGGACGGAGGGGCTGACAAGGAAAGCTGTCTAGTCGTTCGGATGGGACGAAAAACCGAGGTCCCGTGTACACATTGGCGTGCACGTAAAAGATCCCTTGGCAGTTGGAATTCGATATAAGAGTAGGCCGTAGTGCCGCTGTCCGGGCAAAATTCCCCTCATAGCACACTGTATGGCGTATGCCCGTCTTCATTAGCCCAGTTCGGAGCAAAACAGTAGGACGTTAAACCCCATTTCATTTCCAGTGGAGATCTTATTTGCTGAAAAATGTTATTTTACAGGTGATATACATTTAATCCGGATTAAAACGGATTTAGAGCATGCAGTAAATCTAGGACCTGATTATGGATTAGGCGATGTCTGTACGGGAAAGGTCATGACCAAATTCTGTGATGGTTCTCATGAAAGTTTCCTGGCGCCTGATAAGGTTCATGCTGTTGCTGATTTCTTGAATGCCAGCATTAAAGGATGATTATTGTAGAATCTGAGAACATTGGTTGTTTGGTATAGTGCTATTGGATCATTTGAAATGGTGCCATTATATAGATAAAAAAGAAAATGTACAACAAAAAATATCATTAAAAGTGTATAGTGCCATCATTCTCCTTTAACACAATTGGATCATCTGAAATGGTGCCATTATATAGACAAAAATGAAAATGTACAAGAAAAAAAATTATGTAGATTTTTAAAAAAGAATGCCCCCCTTCCCGACCCAATCCCCAAAATAAAAGTAGGCCCACATGGTTCCCCTCTCCTATAATTATTATCGATTGAATCATATTAAATGGTAAGAGATTATCAAATAAAAATGTACCCCCCCCCCCCCCCCTGCACACCCAAAAATCAGAAAAAAATGCTTAAATTAATCATAAATATTTATATATTTATTGTAAATCTGGAATTTAGTCAAACAAAAGTTTTTTTTTAAACATAACATGAAACAATGTAATATTTCATTCAATCATTGATACTTTTGTTACTGATTGAACTGTTGGGCTTGTTACTATTCATACTGTCCTTTATATATAATTCACAATCAGTGTTCGCCTTCTTATACTGCTGTATGCTCTAGTGTAGACACTTTAAATAAACATTGTTGAAAGAAACGATTTAAATATTTGCTGTCTACATTTAGCTTCACAGATTGGTAGGCTGCACTCGGAAAACATCGGTGGATTCCGTTACTCTACATCTAGCCTCGGCTGTATGACTGTAAGTGATATGTACCTACGCCTATACAATTACGATTCGGCACCGGTTTACTTATTAGGAAAACTTGCCACTTTTAAAAAGAAGTTAACCAAATTGCGTCGTTCGAAGCGTGTTTAGAATTTTCAGTACTGCAAAGTTGTCCTTGTTTGAAGAAAATCGGATAAACTTGAAAAAAAAAAAAAAAAAAAAAACAGCTTCAGGCTTAGAAATGATTAAACATTCTTTAAAGGCGTCGTCATGGCCAACGCCGTTGGTAATCCGGGAACTTAAAAGTAGTTCCAATCGCGGACTATGTCAGACAGCCGAGGCTTGATGTAGGGTACTGGAATCTGCTTAGGTTTGCCGAGTTGGGTAGTCTAGTTGATGTGAAGGATTAGCCAAGGAAACGATCTGTTGCAGCGAGTTCTTGGCGTGCGATGCACGGAACTGTGGGTATCAAATTTCTGACGTCATAGGGCCAAAGGCTGCTCGTATGACCTCTGATGCGACCCCCCACTACAACCGGTCAGATTTTCTTGTAGTGGAGGCCATCGAAACTATAAAAAAACGAAACGAAATATAGATCTGTATTTTGATCAGGTTGATATATGGGGTAAATTTTGAGATACATGTAATACTAAAAAAAAATGAGTACATCACTTGTATCTACATCGGGGGAGTTTAAATCGCCGAACGGTTAGCGCGTGCGCGTTGCGTCATAAGGTCTGTCATTGAGTCTACTGGCGTGGTGTGGATTCCTTGGTTGTACGTGACAAGGAGTTGGGTCGCCTGTCCAACCTCGATTGTTTTTTTCAGGGTCCTCCAGTTTCCTCCCACTGCTAAAGACCCCTACACGCAAGCGAATTACTGAAATAAAATTGTACCAAATGGTAGTCCCGAAATAACCTAGTTTGTGTAGAGTGGACGTTAAACCCATCTTTTTCTTTCTCTGAAACACAGAACAGGCGGCCTCTCTTATATCGAATTCCAAATGTAAAGGGATCTTTTACGTGCACGCCAATGTGCACACGGGACCTCGTTTTTTCGTACCATCCGAACGACTAGACAGATGTCCCTGTCAGGCCCTCCGTCCTACACCACGCCGGAAAATCTTGGTGAACTTTCTCGGTCAGCGGCACTATTGGCTACTCTTATATCGAATTCCATCTGCCAAGGGATCTTTTACGTGCACGCGAGTGTATACACGGGTCCCCGGTTTTCCGTACCATCCGAAAGACTAGACAGCTGGCCTGCACCACTGATAAGGGTAAACCAAGCCTGAAACAAGGTTGTATATTAGCGTGTACAAAATGTTAATTTATGTCAGCAAACGTGAGAGATAAAATAACAACAAAAATATCTATAAAACATATTTTATTAATCTTACAGAAAAATAGACTGTAAAAGGCAAGTTTGTGTGTAAAATCATAAGACCAAATAAAATAAAATGCGTCATGATTGAATTTGTAAACAAAAAAAAAATATCCAAACACTACTAAACAGAAACGAGCATTGTTTTGCCGTTGACAAATGAAATTGCGCCTGGAAGGTCTACATGGAAACGCGTGTGATAACTAATCTTATGTTCATTTTACCCGTTAACTGTTCAGACAGCTCAATGGGATGGAAGTATCGCTGGTCGACGGTATTGATAGGTCAACCACTTTCCCAATATTTTTATCTTTATAAAAGTACAGTAATGAAATGAAATGTGGTTTAATGGCACTTCAGCTCCAACCGGGCTATATTGCGCCAAATTATAAAGTAAAATAAATATTCGAAAACTAAAAATGACATATAAAACATTTTATATTAAAGTTGCTGAATCTCTAACTCAGTTCTCAACCTTTTTTTGCTAACGGCACACCTTGGAAAACATTAAAACATAGCGGCACACCCGGCTAAGAAAAATATTTTAATTTTGAAAAATAAAAAGATGGCAAGTCATAGACGGCATACAACCGTAGACACATTTTATAATGAGGCGACTTGATGAATTTGGTAAAAAACAAATGTGTCGTATCAAACCGTACTCCCGATGTAGACTGGTCTACTCAGGAACAAGCGACAGCCATTCCATTTCGACTGCTCGAGTATTTCGCCGAACATAACGGATTAGAAGTTGCAATAAAAATTTTAAATATTTAATCTAAATGAGTTTATAGGCATGCTTATTACAATAACATATGCTTTTCGGCCGATATTTGTCCGCCTTAGGACGGAGGGGCTGACAAGGAAAGCTGTCTAGTCCTTCGGATGGGACGAAAAACCGAGGTCCCGTGTACACATTGGCGTGAACGTAAAAGATCCCTTGGCAGTTGGAATTCGATATAAGAGTAGGCCGTAGTGCCGCTGTCCGGGCAAAATTTCCCTCATAGCACACTGTATGGCGTATGCCCGTCTTCATTAGCCCAGGTTAGGAGCAGAACAGTAGGACGTTAAACCCCATTTCATTTCATTTCATTTCATTTCATTTGTCCGCCTTAAAGATACAGTATTGAAGATCAGATAAAGAGCTGATAGCTCTCACTATAATAGTTAAAAACTTGATAATCTAAAGGGAATATGCTGAAAATTTCAATCAAATTACTACACTCAGAAGCGAGATATTAGCAATTGACTTTTCGACCTAGCCTCGGTCATCACTACTAAAGTCGGTACGATAAAAAAAAAAAACATGGTTTCGATTATCCATTTTTTGATTTAATCATCAATGGACGTTGAGCAGCAAATCAGATTAAAATCCAGTGACAATCCGACACATAAGATGGCATCGAGAGTTGATTATGGTCTTGTCATGTTAATAATTGTCTACTTAATAGTTTCTATAACATTACAAACCTAAAGAAAGATCTGCAATAGGCAGATTCAGCCCTTGCATAATGTATGTTTAAGGTTCCTAAGAATAGAGATTTTGTGCCTTTACGTATTTATAATAAAGGGAATAACGAGCATTAATTATATGTATTAGAAAAACAAAAAGACTAAAAGCAAAAAAAAATTATGACAATACGACACACGTTGTGTCTAACAATAAGTTTTATGACAATACGACACACATTGTGTCTAACAATATGTTTTATGACAATAAGACGCACGTTGTGTCTAACAATCAGTTTTCTGACAATAACAATAAGTTGTCTGACTATACGACACACATTGTGTCTAACAATAAGTTTTATAGGGTACAAAATATACTTACATCTCTTAATTAATATTTCAAGAAATAATCTCTCAAAACAATTTTATTCTACCATTTTATAATAAGTTGTTGATTTCGATTTAAACCCCAACAAATAAATCTTTCATTGGATGTTAAACAATAAATTCTAAAAGTTTAGGGAATACTAAATCCCTGCAAAGCTTACTTGTATTTAACGTTTGGGACATGCGACCAAATTCAATTCGCTACATAACTAACGACTAAATCAACTTTTGTAAACGCAGTAGTTTTCCGATCACTTATTAACAGTTTTAAATGAATTGATATATTTTAATTCTTCAGTTAAATGTTGGATTTTCGACGCCATATTTTCCCATTTGGACTGCATCATGAGTTTGTGTTAAATATGCTCTGTTACCATCATTTGGTTGCCATTTATTTGAGGGAGTTGTTATAAACTTCAGCCTCTGTAAATACAAAAAAAAAACGAAAATATTATTTTCAACCTCGGTAAATACAAAAACAAGAAGAAAATATTACAGTACGATCTCCACCATTGGCGGCGCCATGTGTGTTCATGGGCTTGGATTAATATTCCCCATATCCATTGGAATAAACCAGGAAAGGGGAGATTGAATTTTGATGGGAAATTCTTTTTAACAAATACTAGTGTGCTACGGACCAGGAACCGTGGAATTGTGAAGTCATATCACCGAAAACTTTGAATTATGAAAGTCAATCAATCGATGCGGAAACGTCCAAGAAATAAGCATGCCCAGTCGACCGTACTTGAATTGACAATCTGATTAAAACACAGATCCTATTTCGTTTGTTTTTTATAGTTCAAAATTTCGTTTTACTTGTCTTTACTACACTAGGATCTGGAAGAGTTGTTATCATTGACGTGTTCTGAATGATGTGAGAGCTATTAGCCAATGAAACGGTCTGTTACGGCGGCCTTTGGGCATGTTTTGCACGTAACTGTGGGTAATCTACTAGTAACATCAATGCTGATTGATTAATCAAATGTCTGATGTCATAGGGTTAAAAGCCGCTCGTATGACCTCTAACGCGGCCTATCGCTACAACCATGTTTCTCATTAAGTAATTTGACTCCTGTTTGTAGGCATTTTCAAGAAATTTGAAATAATCCTAACAAATTGTACAGAGAATGCTTTTAACATTGCATATGGAGTCTTATTCACAAAGGGGTTTCAATTGCGGAATGGTTAGCGCGTGCGCTTTGTATCATAAGGTCTGTCAATGAGTCAACTGGTGGGGTTCCGATTCCCCGGTTGTACGTGACAAGGAGTAGGTTCGCCTGTCCATCCTCGTGGGATTTTTCAATGATCCGCCCCCCCCCCCCCACACACACACACTGCTAAAGACCCCTACGCGCAAGTGAATTATCGAAATAAAATTCAACCATATGTTAATCCCAAAGTGACCTAGTTTGTTTCAAGTGGATGTTAAACCCCATTACTCTCTCTTGTGAGGCTGAAAAGGAAAGTGTCCCTATAGTCGTTCTCATGGGAAGTAAAAACGGGGTCCATTAGTGTATTATTGGTGTGCACTTAAAAAAAAAGAACCATGGGCAGTTGAAAAACCCCTCTCTCCCCCCTCTCTCTCTCTCTCTCTCTCTCTCTCTCTCTACCTCTCGCTCTCGCTCTCTCTCTCTCCCCATTATTCACAAAACTAAAATATCTTATGAATTTAACCCTTCTATTCGCCAAGAAGCAGAATTTGCACTATAATTTGAACTTTCTGCCAATGAAAAGGTACATTGAAAGGTGACTTACCTCAATAAAATCACCGGGGGCTGTAAAGAAACTGTACAGGAAATAAATAGGAATAGGACACATGACAAGGGCTGATAACGCCCATCCTATACCTTGAGCAAATTCGGGGAAAGGTTCATCATTTGGGTATGTTGGTGGGGAGTATTTTACCATTCTATAGATGAAGAGTAACTGAAAGACAACAAAACTGGTATTTACTCAACATTCATTTCACAACCATTGAACATAAAAAGTTATTGATATGGCTAATTTATAGTTAGGATTTAAAACCATAGACCGTTGAATATAAAACTTAAAGGACAATATTGTTGTCAGTCATTAATACATATGTTATACAACTGTTTAAACACGTTCCAAAACACGTTCGTCACTTCCCTTTCTTGAAATCTTCATAACGCATCTAGCCTAGCAACGCATCTAGCCATAAGCTTCATGTTATGGCTTTCTTTGTATTTTAGAATATTATATAGAGCTATATAAACATAGGTACTTACTGTGATGAGTAAAGGTGCTATAAACGCCCAACAGACCGTCCAGAAAGGCCAAGTAATAGAACGGCTACCCAACATATATTCTATGTCTCTCCAAAACCGTAAAACACCTGCAACAATATCGTAATTTGGCTTATTGAAATGAAATCATAATCAAGAAAAAATATCCCTTTGATCAAATCTAAAATATTCTCATCAGCGGAGAGAGAGAGGGAGAGGGAGAGGGAGAGGGAATCTGAACATCATTCTGATGAAAGATATGGAACATCAACCCTGTAGCATTATCATGATCGCCATTCCTGCATAAAGTGACCATTATATCGGCTACTGAAACTCATCGTCTAAACAACTTGGCTTTCTTTTTTCACCCCCGCTCCCTTCCCCATTTTCAACGTAGACCTCCCGAGGAACCCTTTGGCTTCGAGCAACGCCATACTTTTTCCACGGACCCAAGGTTGGGATGGATACACCGAACTACATGTATAATGGCCGATTTGCATTTTATTCTCTGGTTTACGCAAACCCCCTGTGCGCAACGCGATATTCCATATATTACTCCGTATGAACATGAAATACTCGCTTCTCTTCGTATTCGGGGTGTTGGGTGGACGAATGGTTAACGCGTGCATCACAGGGTCTGTCATTGAGTCAAGTGGGGTGGTTTCGACTCCCCGCTTGTATGTGACAATGAGTAAGGTCGCCTGTCCGGGTCATCGGTTTCTTCCCAATGCTAAAGAGAGAGAGAGAAAGAGCAATGGGGTTTAACGTTCACTCGACACAAACTTGGTCATTTCGGGACTAACATATAGTTCAAGTTTATTTCAGTAGTTTGCTTGCGCGTAGGGGTCTTTAGAAGTGAGGGGAAACCGGAGAACCCAGAGAAAACCCACGAGGTTTGACAGGCGACAGCGTTGTAATATGTTCTTTGAGTAACAATTCCTGATGTGAGAGCCAATTGGATTACACATATGGCAACACTAACAGATATTTACATGCTCGAGTCTATCTCCTGCACAGTAGCTACTGACATCCAGGTTAATAAAGATATCTCCAGTAAGCGATGAGTAGTGGTGGGTGTCGTACATAAGGCATGGTACAAGGCATAGCTAGGAAATTTCGAGCAGACAGGACGTTAAAGATCCCTTTAAAAGTTGGAAATTGAAATAAGAGTAGGCCGTAGCGCCACTGTCGGACTGTTTGTTATGCTTTATTTTATATTGGTGTATCGTTGCTGTCTGATATGAAGACTAAATTTCGACATTTTAAACATTCGCTACACTTTGACTATTTCTGTCCAGTAAGATCAGACAAAATTGGTACCGATTTCCTATTTCATTTATATGCTGGGGACAACCTTTGCTTTACAAGTCTTAGTCGTTCGGGTGGCACGAAAAATCGTGGCCACGTGCACACATTGACGTGCACACATTGACAGAACCCTTGGCAGTTGGAATTCGATATAAGAGTAGGCCGTAGCACCACTGTCCGGACAAAATTTCCCTCGTAGTACACTGTATGGCATATGCCCGTCTTCATTAGCCCAGTCGGAGCAGAACAGTAGAACGTGAAATCACGAACGAGGCCTCGTTTGGCGCCGCCGATCCGGATTTTTTGTTTAATCATACTGACATTTTTGACCATAAAATTGGTGGAGATGATACTTAGGGGTTGGGGTTGGGGTTACCGCGGGTCTGAGGTCTATCCGGGCCGGTCTGAGGCATATCGGCACCGGTCTGGGGTCCAGCGGCGCCGATCTGCAGCTTATCAACGCCGAAATGGGGTAAAGCGGGTGATCTTGGATTTGATGGGTCGGTTTGGGTGGTTCGAAAAGAGCCGCGCCGGATTTTTGGTTGGCCTCGTATCCGCATTTTAACCCCCACCTCGTCCCTGCATTAACCCCTATTTCACTTCATTTCAATTTTCCTGGTGTGTCTTAAAAATGAATATAGTTAGAGTAATTCCCCTTTACAGTCCACCATATTGCTACGCTTAGAATTGTTTTATTCTGTGTGACAGATTGTAAGTGAACTAACTTATTTATAGAATAGGAATAACCTACCGTATACCCATGCAACCGACACAACTTCACAAGCTGCTAAAAATAGGACAGAAAAATCTGCTCCATAATGATCCATGATCGTCACAATATAATCACCACCCTACAACATACATTAAAAAATAATTCAATTTAGCAACAATACATATATACAAGCCAAAATAATTTGTTGTTGTCAGCATTTTATCATACTAATGGTTGACTTAAACAATATTTATTCAGATAAGACGTTAAATACAAACATTGTCAAAAAGGAAGGATTCAAAATCAAGCCAAGGACTTATATTAATTCGTCTCCTTATTAAAGGAACATTATGTAAGATTTAGATAAAGCGCTGACCATTCTCGCTATAATAGTTAAAATATAGATAACGTAAACAGAATATTCTGAAAATTTCAGTCAAATTGCTCCACTCTAAACAGATATATTAGCTTTTGAATCTTAGCCTAGCCTCAATCATCATTACTAAAGTCGGTACGATAAAAAACAAAGTCTTGATTATCCATTTCAAAAATAGATAATGCACAATGATTATATTGAAAATGTCATTTAACTTTTGAAATTTAGCTTAGCCTCGATCATCATTATTAAAGTAGGTACGATAAAAAAAACAAAGTCTCGATTATCCATTTCAAAAATAGATAATGCAAAATGATTATATTGAACATGTCATTCAAATTACTTTCTTTTGAGCGAAGTTATCAGTGGGTGTAGTTTTGATAAGATGTTGCATTGATCGCAACCACCGTATTGGTTATTCAAATCTTAGCCTCCCTTTCTCCAGTTTTAAACTAAATTACGTACGCCTATGATAATATGTCTCCGGTGAGCCTTTATGTTTAGTTTGTATAAAATGAAGTATTTGAACTCACTGGACAGGTAACTGGTAGAGCTATCAGAAAACAACTTATTCCAATACCAACACACATTAGTCCTTTATATTTTCTGGTTTTAGGAAATTCATCTTGAATACAAGTGAGTAAGGTCTCCAATAATCCAAACTAAAACATAAAATAGGAACAGATTAACCCCCCAAAAAAACATTTAAAGAACTTAAGACTGCCACCGAGAAATGCATGTAAAGAGTTTCAGGTCCGACTTAATATTGTCAACTACAAGAGTCTGTAAATAACTTCACGTCCGAACTAGTACTGCCAACTGCAAAACCCTAAGCGGCACATTAAGGAGTGTGGGGACAGTGAATTTACTCTGGAGCCACGTGAGTTTGCGCCACTCTATTAGCGCCACTGCTCACAACAATAAAAATGAAATGAAATGAAATGGGGTTTAACGTCCTACTATTCTGCTCCTATCCTGAGCTAATGAAGGTGGGCATACGCCATAGGCCTACAGTGTGCTATGAGGGAAATTTTGCCCGAGCAGCGGCACTATCTCCTACTATTATATCGAATTCCAACTGCCAAGGGATCTTTTACGTGCATTCCAATATATACACGGGACCTCGGTTTTTCGTCTCATCCAAAGGAGCTCACAACAATAACAAGCCAACAGTGAGGCTGATGTCCCCCGCCAAATCGAAATAGTAAATAGATGACACACTTTTTAAATTCATATTTATCGTTCGATTTTACCATTTTTCTAAATTTTATCACCCGCAACCCCTAACCCCACGCCACTTCTAATATTTATGCCACTCGGTTGATATTCTTCTCGGGTAATTTATGCCCCAACCACGCCCTCTTTACGGAATGTAAAATATTATAATATCATATTTACTTGAATTCGGATACAGTAGTCACTATCGGTCTGTTACCTGGCAACAGACAACGAATAGTCGTTCGGATGGTACGGAAAATTCGCGGTCCCGTGTACACATTGGAGTGCACGTAAAATAACCCTTGACAGTTGCAATTCGAAATAACAGTAGGCCGTTCGAGCAAAATTTCCCTCATAGCAAACTGCATGGCAACTGTTCGTTCATTAGCTAAGTCGGTGCTTATCAGTAGGACGTTAAACCCCATTTCATTTTTGTACCCTTGAGAGTTGGGATACAAAATAAGAGCGGGTTCCCGTGCCACCGTCCGGCCACAATTTCCCTCATAGCGCACTGTTTGGTGTATGCCCGTCTTCATTAGCCCAATCGGATATCAAAAAATATCATTTATATTTACTAAGCTACAATTGAATAAGTTTATGAAATATACAAACCTCACTGTCTAGACCTAAGGTAAATAACATAAAGAAAAAGAGGACGGACCAAAATTGAGGTATAGGGAAGTTGGATAAAGCTTCTGGGTAGGCTACGAAAGCTAAACCATAACCTACAAGACATAAGTTAACATGATTTAATATCGCACTAAACTGAAATATACATATATACAAAAATAAAAATATACACTATAATACTTTATAATTCATTTCACTGTTCGTGAGTGAGAGGGAGAGACCCTACTCCTTGTCACGTAGGGGTCTTGCACATGTACACCAACGTGTAGGCAACACTTGACTACCGCGGTCCCCGAATGGTAAAATCAAACATTATTGTTGATAATTGAATAACAATCACTCACCTGCATCTGCAACGTCTTCAATGGGAGCATCAATAGTTTTAGCCATTGCTCCAAATGTTGTAAATATAACAAAACCTGCTATCACACTTGTTATAATATCCATGATACTGATAAGTAGCGCATCTCTGAAAATATTGATATAAGTTATATTTATAGCATGGCTTTCATGAGTTAACAGGTTTCATCACAGAGGCCGTGGGCCGAGGTGTTAAATCTGTTAACGAGGTCTTTTGGATGGCCGAATGGTTAGCGTGTGCTCGCTGTATCATAAGGTCTGTCATTGAGTCACTGCTAAAGATTCCTACGCGCAAGCAAATTATTGAATAAAATTGGACCATATGTTAGTCCCATTTCTGTCTGTCTCTCTCTCTCTCTCTGCCTCTCTCTCTCTGTCTGTCTCTCTCTCTCTCTCTCTCTCTCTCTCTCGCTAAACTTGTTAACGAATGAAGCGTGCTATAAATGACTTGTAGCACTGACACCTGCTCAACATGCTCGTTGTCATTTTCATTTCCTTTACTTGATCATTTACATTTTCTTTTGACAGTACTCTTTTTTCTTTTGGTTTGACGATTTAATTGGAAATAAAATCTCTTTTCAAATGGTAAATTTTTCAAGTTAACTACTTTTAAAAATAATTATTGAAGAATACGTACGGATAAACATTATTCTTGAATTTGTTGTAACTCCCAAACATAATAATTCCACCAAAAGACACACTCAAAGAGAAGAACATCTGGCCGGCTGCAGCGACCCAGACCTAAACAACAAAATGAAACAATTAATAATACATATAAATTCGTAATGATAATCCTGTAACCTTCCTATCTGTGGACAGTGGTTTCACGGGAGGAGGCAAAGAGACTAAGGAAAGATTCTTCGAGCCAAATCAGGTTACTCCGTATTAAGGCTAAAGTTACTGGGCATATCATGTACTCCGTATAAAACTTAATAGTGGTCTGAATCCTTCTTAATTTCTTTGTGTTAAAATGAGTTACTTCTCTTTTATAATAAACGGTCTTCAATCCTAGAGGAATTCTGGGTTAGAGTAAAATGTAAGACTTTTTTTTTTGATTTAGGCCTTCTGCTTGCCTTGAACAAGTCCGACATCTTGTCGCCTATACGCTCCAATATCATATATAATACTATTAAACAGTGCCAATATGTCTGACAACGTGAGGTGCATCATGACACCAGGAATTGCCTTCAATTCCTCACACAACAAACCCGTAAATGCTGAAGATTTCTATCTGGGGTTTCTAAACCGCTTAATTTTGATGATTTCTAATTGGGGTTTAAACCTCTACATTCTTATAAAACCCTGAGAAGCGAATGAACGCGTAGTTATGATTACCAGTTATATAGTTTTAGTGTGTACTACATTTATTCTCTCGGTACCTACAACGACCAAACTTACCTCTAGTTTAAGGAGTTCCTCCCATTTAGGAATGATAAAATAGATGACCCCATCAATAGCGCCATCTAGTAGAGCTCCTCGTATGAGTAAAATTAGAAGAACAACGTACGGGAACGTGGCCGTGAAATATACAACCTGTAAACATTAAAAATAATCTAAACATCGTGTCGCCAGCATTTGAGAGGGATTGAATAGTGTTAAATAGTAGGTTAATATTGAACACGAAAAAGGATATCCAAATTTCAGCACTGAAGAAAATGGGTTTACAACTCGTCAATTGCGTGTGAGGGAGAGGAGAGAGAGAGAGAGAGAGTAAATAGAGAGGAGAGATGGAAAGAGAGAGGAGAGAAACGGAGAGAAGGGAAAGAGAAAAGGAGAAAGAGAGATTACAAACTAGGTCATGTCGGGACTAACATATGATACGATTTCATTTCAATAATTCGTTTTAGCCCTCGGGGGAAACCGGAGCACCCGGACAAATCCACGAGGTTTGGCAGGCAAACTCTGCAAGTGTGGGGGCGAAACCACGCAACTTGACTGAAAGACAGATATTATCATCTAAGATGATATATATTATGATATATGTAATGATATATGTAATAATATATGTAATCATATATTTGTAATGATATATGTAAAAATATATGTAATAATATATGTAATAATATACGTAATGATATACGTAATAATATATGTAATGATATATGTAATAATATATGTAATCATATATGTAATCATATATGTAATCATATAAGTATTTACCTTTCCTGAACTTTTAACACCTTTTATCAAACATGCTATAACAACAATCCATGATAACATCATACATAGAACTAACCACCATAGAGGATAGCCCAGATTCTCTGGTTCAATTCCATCAGATCTTTGAATAACTTCCTTACTGAAATGATTTGTATTGTTATAAATTAAAGCACCTGTCTGTGATTGAAAGTCACGTAAATACCTTTACTACTTTATTTCAAGCCGTGCAGTGATTATCACAGTGTGTTAAAATAACAATTCACACCGCAGGACCAATCCGGATTTACCTGGGGTATCAAGGTTTGGTGGTGGTGGTGGTGGTGGGGGTCCGGTCAAGGTGTATAATATTATGGACACTGTCAAAGGTCTTTCTTACGCACACTGTAGCCTTAAACACCACTTATCATCCTCGGCTTTTTTCAATTATGTTTAATAACCACGCTTTCATCTCCTTCTAGTAGTGTTGGGGGGGGGGGGGCACATAAGTGGAGTAATCTAGGCCCACTCTCCATCTAAATCACATCTTGACCAGGAGATATTTTAAACGTGTTTAGTCAGTCGAATTTTTAGGGATAATTTACAAACTTTCCGGGGCCTAAGTGAAGGGGGCTTTGCGCCATGGGTATAGAGTTTTGGCGCCCCCTATCAAATGAAATAAATGAATGGTTTCCATGCTACAAACATATTGATATGGCTCAACCAGTGTCAAACATATACTGTGGCAATCTTTTTCACAGAGGTATTGCGAAAGTCGTATTATAACTCTGTATAAGGTCACTGACAGTTATAAGTTCAAGTGTGCGTTCTTCATTACACTGACGTCATCATTGACTCCATACGCGCACGGTGTTTACATAAGACGTAGTAATTTAAGCTGGTCCGGGCAAAATGATGCCTTTTTACTCATTGTATATACCCATTTACACTAAATAGATAATATTTTTTATCCTGATATACTTCAAACACCTTTATTTGCAGAAGGAAAAAAGTAAATATTGTGAACTAATTAATTCGCACCGATGTCATCCCTATCAGCGATTGTAGTGGCCTAGTGAATATTCACTGCTGATCAGTGTGATTCGGTGGCTCACGTATGCTAGCAATGGGCTCTAGCACGTTCCCCACAGCCCAAAATATCTTGGCGAAATCGGACAGGGGGCCACCCAAGCCGCCCCTCACGATATAAATATTATGTTTGGAATCTTCTTCCTTACCAAGCCCCTGAAACTTACTAGAAAAAGAACTCTGCGGCTGACTTTGGTTTACCAGTATAATTAAGTTGTGTACAGTTTTCTGTGTCAAGGGTTACGTTGAAGGTACATCTACATGCTTCCTCTAGTGCGTAGTCTACAGTAGCATTACCAGTACAGTTATCTGGAAACTTAAATCTTTTTGCAACACAGTTCTCCCATTCCTAAACAAATTAATAAAATATAAATTAAACAAATAAATAAATTAATTAAATTAAATGGGGTTTAACGTCCTGCTGTTCTGCGTCTATACTGGGCTAATGAAGACGGGCATACACCATACAGGGAGAGGGGTTAGCCTGTTCCCCTATCCCATTCAGACAAACTGAATAAAAATATTGTTTATAAAAAAAATACAGTGTGCTATGAGGGAAATCTTGCCCGGGCAGCGGCGCTACGGCCTACTCTTATATCGAATTCCAACTGCTAGGGGATATTTTACGTGTACACCAATGTGTACACAGGACCTCGGGGAGAAACCACGCCGGACAATCCCGATGAACTTTCTCGGCTAACGCCGGGATCGAACCGGCGACCTCCAGGCTAACGAGTCGACGTCTTACTGACTTAGCCACCGTGGCTCCCAACAAATAAATAAACAATATGACGTGAACAAATCACTCAGATGTAACAGTTTCTTATAATGTTAGAATAAATAGAGAATGGAGTGAATTGGGTTAAATTTGAGACTTTCGTATCCTTATTTTAATTTAATGGGTGGTGGGGGCGGAGTTTCCCGTCATTACTTCATTCTGACACAGAATTACCTCGGTTTTACATTTCAGCGAAAATCCTCACAACATTTAAGATCGGTATGGAGAGTTATTGCTGCCAATATTAAATGCTCTGCTAAAACGTTTTTCCAAAAAGTACAATGTACAATGTCCTATCATATATAATTGATTCTAGTAAACGATAACGCAAGGAAATCAAAACGAACCGCTGAAAACTTACAGGTTTGCAAACTGTCCAAGGAAGTGTTGTTTGCATAGATGAGAAGAAATAATACAATGTATACGCCATGATGACGTTATAGTAGATAGCAACATCCAGTGATATGAGAGCCATAGACACACCAATACCTGAAACATAAACAATATAATGACGTTATAGTAGATAGCAACATCCAGTGATATTAGAGCCATTGACAAACCAAACAAAATCTATAGTACTTTGAAGTCAATGGGAAAATAATTGCTAGTCTGAATCCTGATATAGACACGTAGACTATTATCTCCCTTGCATGACGTTTATTAATAACATATTCTACAATAGATAAGGCTTGTGGGATAAATTTCATATGTTACTGGAGATATCGCTTTACATGAATTTGATTTATACCCAAAGAATTATGTTTTTTTATTTGTGCGTGTAAGAAAGGGTTGGGTGATAAATAAAATCACCTTCTCATCTTTCTTGGTATCAAAAAATATCAACACTCGTCGATAAAGTAAAAAGAAAATAAAAAAAAACTCCGCAAAGCCTCGTTCGTTTTTACATTATCGACTTGTATTGATATTTTTTTATATCCGATTGGCCTAAGGAAGACGTGCATGTACCTTACAGTGCGCTATGAGGGAAATTTTGGCAGGACAATGGCACTGAAACCCGCTCTTATTTTGTATCCCAACTTTCAAGGTGTACACGGGGCTTTGGTTTTTCGTCCCACCCGAAGGACTAAACACTGTACCATGCCAGGCCCTCCGTCCTGTACCGCTGAAAGGGGGAAAACGCGTCATGTTCTCCGTCCTGTACCGCTGACAAGGGAAAAACGAGCCGAAAAATCCCGAGTAACTTTCTCAGTCAACACCGGGAGCCAACCCGAGACATCCTGGTTAGCAAGCCAACATCTTAACCACCGAACCACTGCTGCTCCTACTGAAATAACTGATATATTATACACCCAAGAAACGTATATAGATTGATATTACCTTTGGCACATGGGTTCATTGCCCATACGCCCGTCGGTCCTTTTCCAGAAAACTGACCCATAACCAACTCCATGAAATATAAGGGTTTGCCTATAACCAGTTGTAGAATAAAGTAGGCAATCACGAAGGCCGCTGTAAAGACAATTATGAAATAATGATTTCAAACCCCAAGAACAATGAATACGAAACGAGACGGATTGTTTACAAGATATCACAATTTAAACATATGTTCTATTTTATTGGATGTCAACATCCACGACACCCTCTCCGCTTGACATCCACAACATCCTCTCCGGTCGACGACACCTTCTCTGTTTGACATCCACGACACACTCTTCGCTCGACATGCACGACACCCTCCCCGCTCGACATCCACGACAGTGACGATACCCTCTCCACTCGGCATCCACGACACACTCTCCACATAAAAAGGTAAACAGAAACACCATTTTAAGCACAGATTAAAAAAGCGTCATCATACATACCTCCACCGTTCTTGTAAGCCAGATACGGAAACCGCCAAACGTTACCAAGACCGACGGACAACCCGATACACGACAAGAGAAATTCTGCTTTATTTCCCCATTGTCCTCTATCTATCTCGTCCTTCCCGGCACCATCGTCATCTATAATTGGTGGTCTAGATCCATTCTGTGATCTTTCATCATCTTTTGAAATATAGCCATCTCCTTTTCTTTCATTCACATACTGAAAAGGATGAGATATACCCAAATAACAATCTGACTGATCAGCTTTAATCATGTAACACAAAACCACTTTATTGACAGATTAGTCTTAATGGTGAACATGACAACATTAATTATAGCCTTAATTTTGTAACTCAACAACACCAAACTGACTGATAAGCCTTAATGGTGTAACTCAACATTATACTGACTGATTAGCCTTAATGGTGTAACTCAACATTATACTGACTGATTAGTCATAATGGTTAACATGACAACATTATTTATACTGAATTTTAATAATAACAAGTCCATTTATTTTCATGTAGCGAGTTCCACAAATTGGCAGCAACAACACTAAATGAGCGAGCTCCAAAAGAGCTAAGTTTATATTTTGGGACAACAAGGTTGTTCTTAATACTTGATCTTAGATTTTTCGATGGCATGTAAGGTACCAACACACAATTTACGCATTGATATGTAAGAGACGTCAATTTAAAATCAATTCTCGCTTGCACTGGAAGCCAGTGGACTGACATAAGTACAAGGGTGATACGGTCTCCCAAAGGAGTTTGTGTTACGATCTGCGCTGCCTTGTTTTGGATGCGCTGCGGTTTATATATTGTGGTTTTGTTAATTCCGGCAAGCAAACTATTGCAGTAGTCCAAACGGGACAATACAAGAGAACGGACTATTGTTGCCGTGGCAGAAGGAGTAATTAGTTGTAATTCAACAACATTGGCCTTAATAATGTAACTTAACGCCATTATACTGACTGATTAGCCTTAATAGTGTAACTCAACAACACCATACTGACTGATTAGTCTTAAATGTGTAACTCAACATTATACTGACTGATTAGCCTTAATAGTGTAACTCAACATTATACTGACTGATTAGCCTTAATAGTGTAACTCAACACCATACTGACTGATTAGTCTTAATGGTGTAACCCAACAACATTATACTGACTGATTAGCCTTAATGGTGTAACTCAACAATATACTGACTGATTAGTCTTAATAACGTAACTCAACACCATACTGACTGATTAGTCTTAATGGTGTAACCCAACAACATTATACTGATTGATTAGCCTTAATGGTGTAACTCAACAATATACTGACTGATTAGTCTTAATAACGTAACTCAACACTGACTGATTAGTCTTAATAACGTAACTCAACACTGACTGATTAGTCTTAATAACGTAACTCAACATTATACTGACTGATTAGTTTTAATGGTCTAACACAACATTATACTGACTGATTAGCCTTAATGGTATAACTCAGCGTTATACTCATTGATTAGTCTTTATGGTGTAACTCAGCGTTATACTCATTGATTAGTCTTAATGGTGTAACTCAGCGTTATACTCATTGATTAGTCTTAATGGTGTAACTCAGCGTTATACTCATTGATTAGTCTTAATGGTATAACTCAGCGTTATACTCATTGATTAGTCTTGATGGTGTAACTCAGCATCATGATTGATTGATTAGTCTGAATGGTGTAACACTGACTGATAGTTTTAATGATTTAACATAACTACATTTACTGACTGGTGAGTCTAATTTTTCACAGCATATTCTACTCTAAAATGTATGGAAAATGCTTCAATGTCGTTTATTATTGACAAACTGTCAAAAATTCTTGTACGTGCTTACAAACGAGTATATTGATAGGCCTCGTTTCTTGTCCCATCCGAAGGACTAAATACCCTTTTCTTGCTGCTGGGCTCTGTAAACTACAGAGTAAACATATAAGCAATTTCGATCTGTTTAGCATCTCTTCGTCGTTCAATTCTATAAAAAAAAAACCGACTCTTCCCTTTTGAACTTGCATTATTCTATGCTTAAATTTTGCCATTTAAAAATCAAATAACTTTGTGGCTTGTCTCGGGTTTTTAAGCATCGATATTCAACGTACAACGGTATATATGCGTTACTGGTCCGAATTCCATAAAAATTAAAACAAATATTTGAATTACAGGCGTTTTAGAGCGATAAAACTACCATGAATATAAACCCACACACAAGTATAAGATGGTTATATTGTCGAGTACGCACTTCATTTCTGTATTTATTAAAAATGAACCGAATTACAGTATAATAAATACTTGTTAATTAAAGTAACTAGTGACCGTTATATCCATAAAGTAGTGTTTAGTATTACTGTATCTTAAGATCTGTACACTTTTAACATTGCTAAATGGCAATACTTGAAGTGGCAATACCTGATAACACTACAGAAATGAAATGAACGTCCTACTTTTCTGCTCCGAATTGGGCTAATGAAGATGGACATACGCCATACAGTGTGCCTACTCTTATATCGAATTCCAACTGTCAAGGGATCTTTTACGTGCACGCCAATGTGTATGCCCAACCTCCGTTTTTAGTCTCATCCGAACGACTAGACAGCTGCATCACTGACAAAGGGGGGGGGGGGGGGATCACGCCAGAAAATCTGGATGAACTTTCTCGGCCAATGCAGGGATCTTAGCCACTTAGCCACCGTGACAGCCCCCCCCCCCATATTAGCGATTTAACTCATTTAAACTACTCGATCGCCTAATCCACACTTTATGTTAGTCTAAAAATGAGAAAATATTGAGTTGAGGAGGACATACTCTCCTTTCCTCTAATCATTTCACGTATGTTTAATGTTTGTAAAGGGACGGCCATTAAGGTCACGTACCAGGACACGTTTTATGTGACTTCATATACTAGCTAATTCTCCGCGAATTCTCTCTTAATTTGAAATCAGTCATGAAATCTAGAATCTCAGGTTTAAAATCCCTGTGCATTATTTGCATTTTTAGGGACAGTAACAAGTTTTTCACCTCTTAATTCAGGCTAAAATCAACTTAAATGGATTATTTAACATTTAATCAGGAAGTCAAAAACGAAATCTCCAGGCTAGGATTCAGATTAAAAAGAGGCCCATCAAAAGCTTTCTCATTATTGTTGTTTGCAAAAGATTAAAAATCCCCCAGCAACCTGTTTAATTTTTGCCTGCGCCAAAATAGGGTAGAACATATGTAATGTCATTTTAAAACAGAACGAACGGAAAAAAAGTTTCACAATGTTGTAATTTGCAACTGATTAAAACTCCATCAAGTGATTTTAACCTGTTTGCAAGGAATTAAAAATCACTCAGTAAATGAAGTTCAAGGACTTTAACCCCAATCTGTTTAATTATAATGTTTTTTTCTATAGGGTTAAAGACATGTAATGTCCTTTCAAAAACAGAACGAACGGGGAAAAAAACTTTCACAATATTGCAGTTTACAACAGATTAAAGTAGCTAAGTCTCTAACTCAATATCATCCAAAATTTTCGACATTGAAAACACGAATTATTTGTCAATTTAAATCAACATTGATGTTGTGATCTTACCGGGAAAAGATGGGCTTCTGATATCCAATATTTAAGACAAAATAAACATTTTACCATTGGTACACGAATCGTGTACCATAATTCTAACAAGGGACTCGAAGAACGAGGCTAGACATTCGACAAGTCATGTCAAACGGTGACGGCATATTCATATCGGGAGAGTATGCGCAATAAATACTATGTAGACTAGAATAACCAGACGCTAGAAATTTTCATGCGATTGAGACTTCAGACATATTTCGCCGAACGTAAAAATGGAAACAATTGAATGTAAATCAGTTTATATATATTCATATTACATTATTATATGCGTTAAGACCCATTTCTGGGCATTTGTGTCAATTTCTAGGTCCAAAATATTAGCGATTTAGCTCCTTTAAAACTCCATCAGTTGACTTTAACCTGCAGCCTGTTTAATTATTGCCTGTGGTTATATTTTTTTATGGGTTGAAGATCTTAATCTTAAACCGTTTCAAACCCGTAGAAATTTGTTGATTTTATTTTTACTTTTGTTGAGTACAAACAAAGTTCACCATGGGATTAAAGGTTACCAATTCAAAATAGGTGGTTTACTCGGTCAAGTTGGGTTATTTTAAAATATTCACGAAGGGCGGGGAGAATAAACCAAGGTTTATACACTGATGGGAGTTTGATTCATGTTTCATTGTTGACACGTGTTTTGTAGTCTGCTTATTTAAGAGCCTCCAAGGCTACGGTCACATTTTATATTTACTTTAAGACCAGAAATGAACTGAAATTGTGTTAATGAGAGAGAGAGAGAGAGAGAGAGAGAGAGAGAGAGGTGGGGGATAACGTCCACTCGACACAAACCAGGTCATTTCGGGACTAACATATGGTTCAATTTTATTTCAATAATTCGCTTGCGCGTTGGGGACTTTAGCAGTGGGAGGAAACCGAGGAACCCGGGGAAACCCACGAGGTTGGACAGACAACAATACTCACGTTATTTATATTTGCCGTGGTATATCATGTTGTTTGGTATTTATAATTGCCGTGGTATATCATGTTGTTTGTTATTGATATTTGGTCGTGGTATATCATGTTGTCGGTTGTTTATATTTGCCGTAGTATATCATGTTGTTTGATATTTATATTTGCCGTGGTATATCATGTTTATATTAGCTGTAGTATACTATTTTATTGATATTTGTATTAATTTATAATTCAACTATTAAAAGTCTACATATAACTAAAGGATGTTTAAACATAATTTATTTTAGCACCTTCAAAATTCATGTTGATTTTTATATCAAATGTCGACGACAATGCAAATAGTCTATAGATAGTTTTTGTGTGTCGTCTACCTGTAGTAGACCACTCAGTGTGTTGTTAATTACATCAGACGATTAAGATGAACGAGTTTAGATTTAAAAATTTTAAATGTATTATTCGCCATATATTAAATTTCACGAAACTTACTTCTTGAATATAGGGGGTTGGATGGTTGAATGGTTTGCGTGTGCTCGTTGTACCATAAGTTCTGTCATTGAGTCAACTGGCGTGGTTTCGATTCCCTGGTTTTACGTAACAAGGAGTAGGGTCGCCTGTCCAACCTCGTGGGTTTTCTCCGGGTCCTCCGGTTTTCTCCCACTGCTAA